TACGAATGAGAAAATCGCGAACAGAACAAACACGCACACACATCCACATTTTTGCATCTGTTTCTCAAAAAGAAGATTTAAACGAGAATTATACTGGTACCGTGACACCAATCCAACCGAAAAAGGGGTTAAATTATAAGGGTGACACTATCGCGATGTAATTAAAAAATATATTGTATATATTGTGTATAAATTGTATATGGATGACATACTTATTTGCAAGCACTTATTGTTTCGCTCTGGTCACTGCACTTATTAATGCGATTCAATAGGCATGGACATTTTGATATAAAGAAATATATATACGGGAAATGTACTCTATAGAAATAATCACGTACAAATACATGAATACAAATACATTTTTTTTTCAGTAAATCACATTTGAGTTTCATGATTGTTCGCAATGGTGATTAATTTTAATTGCATGTCCCAGCTGAGAAATACAATTTCTAAGGAATTTGAAAATAAGGCACTAAGTAATTGGATAAAAAATTTTTTAATTGTGAATATAGAAGAAAAAGTACAAACTGGATCTTATCATTTGTTGCGAAACATTAAACTCCATTTTCATAATATTAAATCATACAATGCAATAATTGACTGGTGAAATAATTTCACTTATACCGTCCCTTCGAACCACTGTGCTCAAGCCCCACCAAGAATACGTTACATTTTAAATTTAAATTCGAACATACGATACGAGGCGGCCAAAACTCTGTCCGTTCAGTTATCTTATGAAAGCGGTTACTTTTTTACGAGACTCGTGGATTTAACTTCGGCAAAGTTTTGGCATGCTTTTTGCTTTTGTGCGAATGAGCGAGTATTTTGTTGTTGCCAAGCTGGTTTGATTTCTAGATTTCTCTCCCCACTGAAAACAAAACTGAATGCGTCACCGGCTGCGTCATCAATTCGAGATGACGACGCCTCGCGATTCCGTATTCCCCTTCCTGATTCTCCAGTTGAAGCCCCGTCACAACGACATTCCCCAAACAACCAAACAAACTTGTATATCATATCGTGTATCGCCAGCAAGAAGGAGTTTTATTTTATACACTCATTTCGAAGTTTCAGATTCGCACGAAATTGTAGAAGGTAAAGTTCTCGAGGTGAGTGGTGTTTGGATGGGAAATGCATGATGCATGCACCCAAAAAAAAAACCGAAAGTTTACATTTAATGAGCGTTGTATTAAAAGTATACTACAGCTAGTATCAAACTGTCAGTATTAATTCAAAACTAAATAATGTAAGGAGCAGACTCAATAGTGTTAAGTTAAGACTAAATAGTGTTAAGTTTATATCCTGAGTTTAATTTCTAAACCGAAGTTTTCGATTTTCGTTCCTGGTGTGAAGCCAGGATGCTCTGGTTTGGAACCTGGACATTTCGAACAGAAAAAGTGTTACCGCTTTTTAATGTTATTCGACGCGTTAGTATTTTAATGGTTTGACATTAGTGTATTTTGTAAACGACGCTGCGGTCTGTTTAAGGTTTGTTTGTGAAAATTTCTTGTGAAGAATTTTAATATTTGCTTATTTTGGGCTTATTTGAAATGTAAGTACATTAAAATTGTGTCTTAGTGCATAACTAATGAGTAAATTCTTTTCCTTTTACTGACACCACCTTGAACTGCGCTCCAGATGCCGGGAACTAAGGATCTTGCTATTGGCTTGCATTTTTTCTGACCGCGGCCAGCGCAATGTTAACTTCAATATCAGCGTCCTCGATAAAGCTTCGGTATTCATCTGGACGGCGACCACTCTGGAGATGATCAGCGACATAAGCGGTAAAACGGCTGCATTTGCCCAAATATGCATACATACGTACATATTTTGTACATGTATTGCATTTATGTTTATTTGTTAAATTAAAAATTACCTTCAGTAATTTATAAAAATGTAAAAAATATTTTTAATAATATATGAAATAAATATGAAATACAAAACAACATTTTTTGAATTTTGTCTCTTTTATACGGGGTATAATATTTATACTGGCATTATACTAAATAGTATACAAAATAAACTAGCAGCCTGAATTTCAGTACACTGAGTGAGTATAAACTGTATACTCGTTAGTTTAAACTTGACAACTTCGAAAGTTTCATTTTTATACTTTCGAAGTCCATTAGTTTAATACTCAGAGTATCGAGAAATTTTTGACACTCAATAGTTTACTTTTAATGTAGAAATAGTTTACTTTCTATGATCATTTTTTTTTGGGTGTGGTGGTGATATGGCATTTATAAAAAATGTAGATTAAGTTTTGGCACGTGATAGGAACGCTGATTACACTTGCAAAGGAACTCTTACAAATGATAATGTAATTTAAATTTTGTAAGAGAATTTTAAATTTTAGATTAAATTCGTTTAGTTAAATTTAAATATATTGTAGTCAAAATCAAAATAAGCACCGGGCACACAGGTAAGTTACTTAAAAATTATGCGTTTTAATATTCCTAAAAATCTTATCTACTATTTCCTTATGAAATGAAAATAAGTTGATATTTTATTTATTTTTTTAAGAATATCGCCTTGACGTGAACCTGTTTTATTTAATAATTTCATTCTTATTTCCTGGTGCTACAAGGATTTCCTTATAAATTAATGCAGTAGTCACAAAATTATGAAATTATGTTATGAAATTACAAAAAAATTTGTAGGTACCTTTCTTCGATGTCTTCTTCAAGTAAGTCAACCCATGAAAGTTCAATGTTTTCTGGCCCTAATGAAATTTAGTGGATCGGTGTAAAAACAACTTACGATCGGTAAATTGAATCAGGCATCACAGAAGATACACTCTCACTCTTTCGAGCGTGCAGTATGGGTAGATATATATTTAGGTATACAACACAACAGGTTGTCGGCGGTGTTTGGAGAAAGTGCTTATTGCCAACAATAATATCAGGTGCAATGACCACATACCTAGGCGGTGGTTGGTTCAAAAACAGTGTATAAATTGTCATGGAAACGCGACGCTCTGTGGACGGCGAAACATGCGAGGAAACTTGATCTGATTAAAATCCATGCTATACCTATACTAGGGGAATTTCCCGTCGAAAAGATTTACTGCGAACCTACTAAAAAATATCCAAAGCTTGTCCAACATTAGACAAGCTACTTACCGTTAATGGAAACCATTAAAACTTTCTTTTCATTACGAAGAGAAACATTGCTGTGTAATGAATAATGCAGTTTAAAATTACTTTTATTAAATCTAAGGGGCACAGATAAATATTAATATATTCCATTCCATATTTTTGTCATTTAAAAAAAAATAAATTGAAAATATAAGTTTGTTAGTAAAAATTTAAATTTTGTAGATCGAATTTGTGATTTATTTCTTCCCTAAGATACATACAAAGATTCTTTGGTTCTTTCATTTCAAAGGACACAAACATGGGTTCAAGTACAGCAAACACTTTCTCGGTCACACAAATCTGTATCTGTATCTACGCGTAGGTGGTGAAAATTGCTGCCCTTTTTCCCGAGTCTCAGTTCTACCCAGATGCATTTCCCAGATGCCAGCATGCTGAGGATTAGGCATTGTCCAAAATATTTGTATGGAAGAGATACCCCGTCGAAATAGTATTGATGTTTTCTCGCACACATGCCTGGAAATATTATTACCAGTCACGGCGTGGGAACCGAAGCAAAGATGTCCCAGAATCTATGTGGGATATTGCCATTTCTGGACGTAAAGGTTGGTAATTTGCGACACATTTACAATACGGGCGGCACCGGCATTTCCCAGGTGAAAATTCGTAACTCTCGAGGGAATGGCTCGCAGTACTGTAAAAATAGTGGTCACCCTGCTTTCCTATCACAGATTCAAGAAAAAATTAGTTTGTCACGGAAAATGAATTTTTCAAAGAAAAAATTAACCCCTTATTCTCATCTGGGACACAAAAGAAAGTGAGGTACAGTACACCATTAACCCTGTCAACCCCTAAATGACAATGGTTCGAGCGATCAAAAGGATATTTTTCAATAAAATATTATCCAAAATAGTTCTTTTGAGAATGGCCTTTCTTGAGAGAGATGGTTTGTTATGCATATGTGCTTTTCCAGGCGTTACAGTTATCCATTGTGAAAGAATACAACAATTTCACAGTTTTTCCACACCAAACCGAGGGGGATCCGCATTTATGAATGGAAAATATCCTTAATCTTATCTTCATGGGGTGGATTTCAACCGGATTTTTTGTCAAGTTTTCTTATTTTTCACGATAGATTCAAACGAACTTTGGCCCTTTTCTCCAATTTTGTAATTGCGCCGTTTATTTGCCGATTGTATTTTCTCGCGACCCGGTTTCACCTGGGAAGAGGCCCTATCCTTTGTTCTTTTGTGACACTAAACTAGCTGGAAAACCTCTTTTTTATATTGTCATCATTGTTACACTTTTTTTTGTATAAAAAACTTTAAGATTTCCCTGAAAATATATGCGCAATAAACGATGATATAATCATGCAATCAAAAATCTGATAAAAAAATGTTTACTTATTTAATATTTTTTCTGAGATTTAATTAGATTTGCCCAAAAGTTTGCTACGGGTGTTCGGTGTTCAGACTTAAAGCAATCTTTTGAGACTCGCTCGCTTTTGTTGTTGTAATCCCGCGGCAGTTAATCCAAAAACAAGTTTTCAGTATGAAAATTTCGACTCTTTCTAGCGATTGATCCCAGCATCCCTTAATGAAATACTACGCCTCTACTTCTACGCACTAAATACAGCCTGCAGTCGAAAAGGTCCTGTGCACCACCTGCTTCCTGTGGCCGAGGCTGAGATTCCGAGATATCCTTGCAGCTGAACATATGCGCCTACACTTCTTATTAGGGTAGGTTCTCTGCCTGTTGGGATTTTCGAGTTAAGGATGCCTTCGAAGGTCCTAAAAAACGAATTTAACTGTACACGAAATGAGGGTAAAAATGATCTTTTAACTACAAAAAGTGAAACACAACTCTTATTTGTATATATGAATTAATATATGTATTTGCAAATATATAATATTGTATATGCTTATTTACACAATTATAAATATATATATGTAGTTATTTAAAGACATATATGTACTATTGTTTAACAAATGCCCTGTGTGCATAACGTTTAATAAATGTTTTTGTACGTTTGCAGATTAAATACGTGTGTGTAATACCATTTCTCCAATATTGTTTGGGTTAATACACGGTAGACAGCTATATAGTATATGCGTGGTAGAGGTACGTTGCTATAATAGATGCCGAAATTCTCGTAATATGTCTCGTTCAACGTTGGGTTTTTCGTTACACGAAGAATTTGAATGGGTTAGTTATGGAGATTTTGTTAAGTACATACGTAGCAGCAGGACTTTAAACCGTATCAGTTAAACAATAAGCGAAACCTTTGTTCTAACCGAGAATCAATTGAAATAATATTAAAAGAAAGTTAAAGAAATATCTAAAATATAAGTAAAACTAAAATTTGTAGCTATTTACATTAAAATGTTTTTGAAATCATTAACTAAAACCCTAACTGAAATATCCTTTTCTATTTCCCAGCGATACTCGTTTCGATTTTAGTCCCTGATCTTTTGTTGAAGCTTTGGATATTATAATTTCAGGAAGAATTGACTTAGGAATACCCAGAGGTTTCGTTTTCACTCTCCTCCACAATGGACTTCTTGTCCTCCGCCTTGCTGCGACCCGTGAATCTCTCGAAGATGGTGTGCTTGCCGCCGCCCTTTTTGCCCCCCGAGGAGGAGCCCTTAAAGGATCCCCAGGGAACCTTTCCTGCCTCCGAGGTGGTCATCAGGATGGAGTACGAGGAGCAGACCTCGCCCTCCTTGCTGTTGCGAATGCCGTAGAGGAAGTACACCACCATGCCGATGCAAACCCAGACGAAGAATCGCACCCAGGTCACGGCATCCAAATGGACCATCAGCAGGATATTACAGAAGATTCCCAGGGCGGGAACGAAGGGAACCAGGGGCACCTTGAAGATCAGTCCCCGGGTATTCTGATTGTGAACGGCTATCAAAGCCACACAGGTGCTGGCGGCGAAGATGATGAATCCATAGATGATCAAAGCCCACCAGGTTCCCGTATAGAGTTGCGTCCACGACACCTTTAGTTCCACGCAGATGGCGAAGCTGAGGAAGATGAACAGCATCACGGCCACGGAAACTACGGATCCCGGCTCAAAGCGTCCAAGAAGAGGTTCCAGACACCTGAACTGGGCCTTCAATCTCCCAGCCAGCACCTCCTCGATCATTTCACTGGTGGGAGAGGAAGTATCCATGCTGGACTGCGAGGCCACATCCTCATCATCCTCATCATCGTCGTCATCATCGTCGGGACGTCCTGCCACCGCAGGCACCCTAATCGTAGTGTGAATCCTCTCCAGCGGTCGATACCTCAGCACAATCACACTGGCCGAAACGATGGTGTAGGCCAGTAGGGTGCCAATCGACATGAACTCCACCAGCTTGGCCAGATCGAAGACCAAAGCGAGCAGGGCACTCAGCAGACCGGAAACGGCTAGGTTGAGCAACGGCACCTGGGTAGTAGGATTGATCCTCCCAAAACAGCTGAAGAGCAGTCCATCCGAGGCCATGGCGTACATGCAGCGCGGCAGGGCGAACAGGGAGCCCAGCAGGGTGGTGGTCATCCCACAGAGAGCCCCAATGGAGATTAGGTACTTGGCCCAGGAAAGATTCAGTTGCCCAAAGGCCTCGGGCAGCGAGGCAGCCGGATTGATCTCACTGATCGGGATCATGAGGGTCAGAGCGGCACTCACCAGAATATAACCCACTGTGACCACGAAAAGGGAGATCACCGTGGCCACGGGTATGGAAACGGAGGGGTTCTTGGCCTCCTCCCCCGACGTGGCAATGGAATCGAAGCCCACGAAGGCATAGAAACAGGTGGCTGCACCCGCAATCACTCCTCCAATGCCGTAGGGCAGGAATCCGCCCTCCGCCTCCGACCAGTTTTTGCTGTCCGCATACCAGAAACCCACGCTGATGACCAGCACCATTACGGCTATGTTGACCAGGGTGAGAAGGCTATTAAAAACCGCCGTGGCCTTGACCCCTCCAGCCAGAGCAGCCGCATAAACGATGCAGACCAGGAAGGCCAGGATGTCGGGATATTGGGCCAGGCCGGGCTCATGGATTCCGCCCGTCAGCTCCAGCGTGGTGTTGCCAATCCAGCCGCCCAGCATCGAGTCCACATAGCCGCTCCAGGCTCGGGCCACCGAGGCGGCGCCCAACATGTGCTCCAGCAGGATGTTCCAGCCGATGACGAAGGCCCAGAACTCACCCATCGAGATGTAGGTGTACACATACGCGGATCCCGCCTTGGGAACCCTTGTTCCAAATTCCGCATAGCAGAGGGCAGCCAGCATGGATATGAATCCGGCCAGGATGAAGGATAGTATGATGCCGGGTCCGGCCATTTCCTTGGCCACAGTTCCAGTCAGCACATAGATGCCAGCGCCAACCATATGGCCAATGCCTGGGGGTGAATGGTACAGATAAGTGGTGTTTATTAGGGATGGGTCTCAAATTTCTGGGTGTTTCAAAGCCATAATTTAGGTGCCACATGTACATGTGCATGTAGATAAGGAAAATCATATTCTATCCCCATGGTGTGCTCAAATCTCTAGAGATTCCTGGGCTATACTTTTATGTACATCAAGTATATAGAGTGCCTCGACTATCAGATACCCTTTACTCAGCCAAAGGAAGTGCGAGAGAGATGGGGATTTCTTGTTCATAACTTCTTAATGAATGGTCCGATTTGAAAAATTCTTCTACATTTGAATAGGTAGGAAAAAGGTCTGTTGGTACATACTCTACACTACTTCCTAAAACAAAACTTGAAAAAAAAAACAAAAAATACATTAAAACCTATATGAAATCTCTTTAAAAGTCACAAAAAAGTTCCCCCACTCTCCTAATTGTAAGATACCAGATGTTTATCCAAAAAGTATGGAATTCTTAACACTTCAACTCTTTAGAAACCCCCATATTGTTCCCTAAATAGGCAAAAACCTGAGCAGCAAGCCGGTAATCGATTGATTCATTTAAAGTACCCAGTAGAGCGATGTCGAAGGTGTTGAGGCATCGGTTCAGCGGCGTCTCCATGACGTCAGTGGGCACCGACTTGGTGCGATTCATTTTGGTGCATATTCCCGACAATATGTGCCGCAGGATCGCACGTCTCGAGCTCGGCATCCTGATTGATTCGATTGAAACCAACTCCGAAGGAATTCACTGCCCACAGGCCACTTTTCGAGATCAGAAACGGGATATTGAAAAGGATATTTTCCGTGTAATATTTTGCGGCACTCGGGACACTTTCACTTGTTGTACACAAACAGCTGTGACTTGACTGTATCGATTTTTGCATCAAATTCGAAAGCTGCAGAATGTTTCCACATCCCATCCCATTGGGCAGGAAACAGCTTTTATCAAAGAGCTTTTTTTGAAGTGCGATAAAAATGTGACACTAAATTAATTTCGAGAAACCCAGGGTATTAAACAAGATGGAAGAATAGCAAATCAAGAATTACCAACTATTTAGGTTAAGGTGATATCTTTAGAAAACAATGCAGAGTCCGGTTATTATATTCTATTTGATGTTATCAAATATAATATCATAACTAATGTATCTTGAAGGTGCAATCATCATTGGTTTTTACCTCTTCAAGAGATGGTTATGCATCGTTAAAATAATTATTTAGAGCCTTAAAGTAGGCATTATAATATTTAAGAAAAAAGATTAAATGTTTTTTAACAAAATAAACTTGTATGAACAAATATTGTAGCATACTTTTCATAACGACTTAACGTTTTAAAAAACATGATTGTGTTTGTGCTTCAAAACCGGAAACTAAATACCCATAACCATTTTCTTTGAGTAGATTGTTATTACGCTTTGCCAATCAATTGAACGACATTTCTAGATGGAATGTGGTTAAGTGAAGATTATACTAAACGGTGTCTTAACTTTAAGATACATTTTTTTAAACGGAATATGAATTCATATTTAGATAGTACACTGTTATTATAAATTTATTTACATGACACGGGGTATGGGTAAAATGCTTTTAAGACCCTTGTACTAAACAAATGATATATGGACAGTCCTAAACGTCGAAAACCAAGCACATAAATATGTGATTACTATTTTCTTGTTTTATAAGCATGCAAATTAATTTTATTCCTCATAAAGGTGTGTTCAAACCATCAAAACTTGTTGGAAAACGAGTGATGCCTACTTCTGCTCACTTTTATGTCTAACTATGTCCGGTAATAACTAAGTCTCTCAGCATTGGGTCGCAAATTTGTTTTTGTCAGCGGTGCCGAGTGTGTGCAAGAATATGTGATCTTCGCTGATCCACGCAATAGATATTTTGTCACACCCTTGATGGTACCGAAATTAAAGTTTCTATTATAACAATAATTTGGTATTTTTATGTACGAGCCCACAACATTTCATTATGCTTTGAAAAGCCTAATCAACCGAAATTGAATGCAATGTACTAAGGCAAGCTGAAGGAAAAATTTAGTAGATGCTGTAAAAGGTAGTCGGATAAGAGATACCTGTTAAAAGGGTAATGGCATTTCACCATCTTTTTATCATGGTGGTGAAATTTAAACATACTTAACTAAGATTCATATCTCTTCAAATTTTAAGAATTAAATATATTGATAGATAGATAACATTGATTCGAATCAAGCTTTGAAATTATAAAACACTTAAATAAGATTTAAATTTTTTATTAGCTATAAAGGGTATTTGAATAAGAGATGCCTGTTAAAAGACTAATGAGATTATACATTTTTTTATTGATTCCTCTAATCAGACTAAGATTCATATCTTTCAAATTTTGAGAATTAAAGATATAGATAGATATTGTTATTGATTGTAATTAACCTTTGAAATTATAAAAGACTTAACTATGATTCATATCAATTCAAATTTTGAAAATTAAAGATATTGATAGATAGATAGATATTGATTGCAATTAACCTTTGAAATAATTCAAATTTGTTGGAACGGCTTCTTTCCTTTGTTTAATTTAAATTAACATCAAAATTCCCAGTGGACTCTGCGAGTACCGGGTATAATCAAATTGCAGTCTAGGTTACGTGATGTTTGTCAAAGGCAGAAGCGCTTTGGCACCTCTTTTATCGCGTTGCGATCGTGCATGCATGTGGGTATGTGTATGGGTTTGGGCTTGGATTTGGGTTCGGGCTTAGTGTGGATTAGGGAATTACCTTACCATCCATCTCCATCCGTATTCTTCCCATGGCGACAGCTCCGATCGCCGCTAAACCATCGCCTTACCATCTCGCCATGACCGTTGCCATTTGGGTAAAATCTATCAGCATCACGAAGCGGACGCTGGGCTTCCAAAACTTTGAATACTAATACCTGTTAGGGATGACCAGGCGCATCGGCTCTCGAGTCAACCTGTCCGCTATGCCGGCTGTAGTTGCATGACAACATCTCCATCTCCATCTCCCCCCGCCACTTAGTATAGGTAGTTACAATGACGGATTTTGACTCTTTGGCCCTAAAAGCACACCGGCGAAGGTGCAGTTTTTCAGCTCAGTTTTCAGTTTTCGGTTTTTAGTTTTCAATTTTTTTCATCTACGAAATGTGCCAGTCGCGCGCTTGGGTCAAGATGGCTAAGACGGCGACTCAGATGGCTAAAATGGCCAAGTCGGCTTAGACGGCGTGTGGCTGCTACTCACGCGTCGCTCTGCCCACGAACTCCACATGAATGGAAAAAATAGTTGGCTCCAGGCGTTGGGCTACTGGATGCTCTTCCCCTGGGCAATCAATCGAAAAAAGTTTATATTAATGATGGCGACCTGACGCAACGACTACGCCCATGAAAAACTTGATCGTAATACCCTTAGTTACAGATCCCAGATATTATGATGACCCTGAGAGCCCGAACCTAATGAAGATGGGTATAATGACCGAATAAAACGGGCCAAAAGGTTAATGGCTTTAATGAGTAGCATTTACTAATCAATAACTGATTTCAAGATATTTATTTTTAATATAATATGATTTATTTTTAAACCAATATAACGATCGTACGATAAGGATCATCCATTATATAAGCATTTGTAGTAATAAAACAAAGAATTTATGTGTGACGTTGTAATAAAGAAAAAATATCTAAGATTTTAAGATTAAATGACACAATTGTTTTTTGTTCGTTTATAAAATTCATAAAAATTCATTTAAATTCATATTGTGTATATGTAAGAACCCGGTGATCCTATAACTTGTTTGCGCTGGCAAACAAATTGAAATGTATTAAGATTCAATCACTTAACCTTTCGCATTTTGAAACTTCACTTGAAAGCTGGTACTGTTGAGCCTTTTTTTGTTTTTGGACTGCTTAGAAGATAAATCCTAATCTGAATTCTTTTTGTATTTGTTAAGTGCGGTTTCCTACCCGTTTAGTGACGCGAATAAATAAGCCCAGTTCGCCAATAAATCGTACTACCCGAGTCCAGTTCAGTGTGCGTGTATAAAACCACGAGCGACGTAAAATAAACAACAATATATAAAGCTACTAGCATTGGTGCTGTTTTTTTGTTGCTGTTTTATTTTACTTGCCGCGTCTTTGGATTTTTGAGGCAAAATCCGAAACGATTTTTGTTAAATCATACGCCGTGTGTGTATATAAGCGAAGACGAGTCTCTTTGGCGCTTAGTGCGGCAACGTCCACTTCGCCAGCTGCATCCCAGCGATTTTTCCCCAAGCACGAGTCCACAGGCCAGTGCAGTAAGTCCAGGTCCAGTGATATTCTGAATGATGGCCGACTAATTGGTCAATGTGTTCCACTAAGAGACGATCGAGTGATTTGAAGTGCCTATTAATTAAGACCAAAAAAAATGTGAAGCGATTTAATGTACTGCATGTGAATGTACTGCAAGCAAAAGTGAACTAAGTGATTGCCCAAGAACTTGTCTGAAAGGAATTTAAATTGTTAAATATTATTGATCATCAGAAAAAAACGTTTTTGAACAGTTTTGCCAAATCCAGTGACAACCTATACATTTTTGAAATACAAAAAAGCATTGGGTGAATTTATAAAGAAATTTATAATTTCGTATTTTCTCATTTTTAAACCCACGCAGACCTGACCTTGTATTTACATTTAGCCGGTTATCGTATATGGTGTTTAAAAAAGTCGAAAGTGGAATGTCTGTGACGCAAGTAATTATATCCTCCAAATCAGAAAAAAGTTACAAGTATGACAGAATCATATAACTGAAATAAAACAGCCCGGATTCGGGTTAAACCCGAAATAATACGGATTATAAAACCTCACGGTTTCTAACTGCGTATATTTTTTATACTTGCACAAATGAGCTGCGGAGAAGATCAATTGATTTAAGCGTTTCGGGATTATTAAATAGCATTCTTTTTGTAAATTCGTTTACCCGCTTTTTTGCCTTTCTTTGTAATCATTTAAACGATAAACAAGTTTCGCAGATCCGGTGTTTGAATGTCATTTGCATTCTCTCGTTTATTTGTCAATATTGCTAACTGTATTTTATTCACTTAAGTAACCCGAAATATAGGTAATTGGCAACTTTTTTATGGCACACTTGCGCAGAGCCAATTAAGAATGTGGCGTTTTTATAGCCTATTTTTGAGTTCATCAACCGAGATCCTTGTGAAATAAACAAAAATATGGTTTGCACACAGTAATCTATGCAAAGTATCGATAAATACCCAATAAACACAAATATGCAACGCAAAAATGTAAATTAGATTGTTTATAAAACGAGCGATCAGCTTACCAAATCGGCGCCTATCCAAAAGTGGCCATAAAATAAATCAAGACGTGACCATAACAGATAGCCAGCATGCAAGACAGTAGAATTTCACCAATTTGTCAATGAATTAAATCCAAATTATGAGAACCTGGCTTCCAATGTCGGTTAAATCAATCGCGACAGAGATCACTCACAGATTTGGAATACAGTATAATATATAATACATATATAGTATGATAAACATACGTGCCTATGCATATTGAAGCCCGCGGTCTAATCACCTGTTCGCCGTGATTAATACCAAGATATACGCCTATGCGAGGCGCTGAAATGTCAAAAGTTCAGGGTGAAGCCATCAATGTCCAAGTTGTTTTTATTAACGCTCGATCGTTGGCCAATACAATTGAATATGATTGTTTATGAACTAAGCACACACTCAGGATCCGCGGGCGGAACACTCAAACTCACACTCATTCTTTCCCATCTTCGCGTTTCGACACCCAAATCATCGCCCAAATCAACAAATGGATTTTCGAAATTATAATTGCCCAATTATTATTATTCGTAGACTTAGTAGGATGATGAGCGTGTACCTATAAATACACATGTTTAATTCTTAATTCTTAAGATCCTCTTTCGATCGAAATAAGCCATTAATGAGTTTGTCTAGCAATTAAACAAATGACCCGACTATTAATCTTTGGCTGGCAACTAATAACTATATCATGATAACTGGCGAACATAAAAATATCAGGCAAAAAAATTAATAATAAATGAGCAATTTTTTGACACAGTGAACCAATTTTTATCAAATTGGGCATAATTATGCAGTCATATAAAAACGCGAAAACTTAGATATCAGGCCAATGTTGTGAGCCAGCAAAAACCCAAGAAAATTAGGTCGTTGAAGATTAAGCGAACGGAAAGCAGGGAGCAAAAGAGATACCATATTAATCGTGTTGAATATGAATCGGATGTATGAATGGGCGGTGTTTCGTCATAATCAACTGGACCTCTTGCCAAATTTAAGGTGTTTTTTTTTACAACCGAAACGATGTTTTACATTTTATTCGTTTCAGGGAACTGATTAATATTATAGAAAAGAAAGGGAAATGATCTTGGCTTAAATGCTAGATTTATTCATGAGGCAGAACAAGTATTTACCCTATAGCAAGTAGTAGTGACGTAAGAACAAACAGAAGACTTCACACGCCGAATCATCCGTAATCAAATGGTACTTTTTACGTCTCGTTAGCCTAATGCTTGGAATAACCTAGACAAAAGGGGCCACAATGAAAAAGCACCTAATCATCCGGGGCTAACATCAATAGCAATAGACAGATAGCAACAGACGTTCGGCAAAAAACAAGAGAGCCATCAAATTGCAGAAGCCAATGCCACACAAAAGGCCCCAAATCGAAGCCCCTTTATCAACGGCGGCTAAGCAAATAGGCACTCGTCACTATTTGTTTCTCAGCTCCCTTCGTGTGTGAGTGTTGAATTTATGGATTTGGAAATCCGCAGCAATTTTTTCTTTTTTTCTCTTAAAGGTTAGTTGTATTATTTAAAAACCAAACCCGTTTTAGTGGCGCTGGTGCAGCACCCTCCATTCGTCGGGCAAAAGAGGTCCGGCTGTGTAAATACTCGACAGGTTGCACTCAACCGTAATTAGCGATAAAGAAGATCTTACCTCATCTCACTGAAGCGCTAGAGATCGTTTGACAAACCCGACGAATGCAAATACATATCTTGATTTTCGCCGAATTAATTTTTCGTCACCTTTATGCTTTGATATATGGTTTTTAAGATCACACCGCAGCCCTTTTTCTGAGCTTTATAATGAGTCACCAAAAGGAAGGTCGATGGGGAGATTAAATTACTGCCGAAGTACCGAAATGGGCATAAATTAAAATACAAATTAACAGTTAAATTTTGTAAAAATCGTAAACAGAAATATTATTATTTTGGTGTTTATTGTATTACAGAAAGAAATAAAATTAAATGGGATACTAAGATAAAGAACCTTATGTATTTAAGACCTAATCGTTTAAACATATTTATATGTTAAAAATGCTTATACTTAAACATCGAATAACCGCAAAGAGTATAATTAGTGTTTGGTTAACCACCAAATAAGCAATAAATTAAACTGCTCAATTTCTGAAATCGTAAACATCTTCTAGCCCATACCATAAATATGCTAAATAACTTTTCATTTACTATGTTTCAGAATAAAGCTTAAGACTTACGTTTAAGATGGTCAACATCGGCCACATTTTCGTGTGGGCCTTGCTCTTGGTAAGTACACCGAAAGCCATCTAGAAATCAAGAAATTTATGATTATAGCTTTGTATAACGCTCAAGGTCACCACATCGGCCACTGATCTGAGCGATGATGAGGCGCTCAATGATGTTTTAAGCGAACTTGAGTTTGACGACTCTTCGCCCAGATTAACTCGCGACACATCTCTGTCGGCCAAGCACATCGAGAAGATCGATGTGAAATGCGATCAAGGTGGTGGTATGATGGTCGAGGTGGAGTTCTCCGAGGACTTCGAGGGAGTCATCTACAGTCAGGGATATTACAACGACCCCAAGTGCAAGTAAGAAATTTGTACAGTCGATTTAAAGCTTTTCTTTAATTACTATTTTATTTGTATTCTTTTTTAATTATTTTTTTTTTTTTTTTTTTTATTTTTATTATTTTATTTATTTTTTTATTTTTTTATTTATTTATTTTTTTTAATTATTTTTTTTTTATTTTTTTTAGCTACGTGAAGGGCGACCGAGCGAGTCGCAGTTTCAAATTCACAGTGCCATACGATGGATGCGGCAGCAAACCCTCGTGCTCCGTGTGCGCCTCAATCGAGAACATCCTGATTATCCAGGATGACAGGGATATTCAAAACAGCTTCGATATTGCACGGAAAATCTCGTGCAGTCGAGGCGATGAACGTGAGAAGACTGTTTACTTCAAGCCATTTGTGGTGGACATGCTCGAGGTTATTTCCGTGGATACACCCAGCGGTCCTGTGGAGTGCTGGATGGAGATCGGCACAGGAACGCCGCCCAATATCAGACCCATCCAGGGCACTCTTACCCTGGGAACCGACATAACGTTCACCATTAACGTAAAGCACGCAGAACAGGCGTGGGACTTGAACATACTCCAATGCTATGCCTCAGATGACATGGACTTTGAGGCCAGAACCACGAAGAGATTGCAGCTCTCGGACAAAAAGGGCTGCTCGATAAAGGAGAAAATATTCGGGGAGTGGCGAAAGTTCGAGGCGCCCTCCAGTCTAACATCCACCTACTACAACACACTCAAGGCCTTCAGATTCCCCGACCGATCTCAGGTGTATTTGAAGTGTGACATTGAACTCTGCAATGGAGCGTGCAAGAGGGACTATTCCTGCGGTAGTTCCAGGTCAGGCTTATGTCCCGAGGGCTCAACTGATCCCCAGTGTCTGCAGGATCATCTAATCTCACCAAAGCCACGTCCAGTGCCTACTTCCCTGCCACCCACAACAATAAGGATACCAATTGCCTCAACCTTTTCACCACGGCCACGTTGCTACCCTGGATCAAGTGATCCGGAGTGTCAACCAGCTACTTACCTTCCACCAACAACTAGAAGGACTCCGATCAAGCCACGTTGTTATCCGGGATCAACTGATCCCGATTGTCAACCAGCAACTAGAGCACCTGTTACCACGGTGAAGCCAAGATGTTATCCAGGATCCGACGATCCCGAATGTCGGCCGGCCACTTACCTTCCTCCAACCACAAGGAGAACTCCAATTCCAACCACCAGGGCGCCAGTAACCACATCAAGACCCCCAACGACTCCGAGACCCAGATGTTATCCTGGATCACCAGATCCTGCCTGTCAGCCTGCAACTGCGCCGACTACTTCAAGGCCAAGGTGTTATCCGGGGTCCTCTGATCCAGAATGTAGGCCAGCAACGCGTGTTACTCAAAAGCCAACTACTCAGCAGCCAAAGTGCTATCCCGGCTCATCGGATCCAGAGTGCCTGAATTGCTATCCTGGTTCGCCAGATCCAAGGTGTCCCAAGATTCCTACTACCAGGAAGGCAGGATGCTTTGATGGCTCGGATGATCCGAGATGTCAACCGGCCACCTATTTACCTCCTTCATCTCGTCGTCCCCCGACAATTACACCGAAACCGAGGTGCTATCCAGGATCAACAGACCCCAGTTGTCCGCAACCGACCACAATAAGGACACCAGTAACAACGACTAGGCCTAGGTGCTATTCAGGATCTAATGATCCCGAATGTCAGCCAGCAACTTACTCGCCACCGACTACCAGGAGGCCTGTTACTACATCTAAACCAAGGTGTTATCCAGGCTCCAGGGACCCTGAATGTCAGCCTGCCACAAGGCCACCAATTACCACCTCCAAGCCACGATGCTACCCAGGATCTTCAGATCCTGAGTGTCAACCAGCCACTTACTTGCCACCAACATCTGTTAGAACCACAATTCCCACGACCAGAAGGCCTGTGACTACGTCTAAGCCAAATTGTTATCCGGGCTCAACAGATAGACGGTGCCCACAGGAACCAGTGACGACACCAAGGCCTAGATGCTATCCTGGCTCATCAAATCCTGAATGTCAGCCAGCTACTTACCTGCCACCAACTACGGGAAGAACAACGCTTCCGACTTCCCGGCCAAGATGCTATCCAGGTTCGGATGATCCTGATTGCCAACCAACAACGATCTCTCCTCCGACCACTCGAAGGCCTATAACTACTACTAAGCCATACTGCTATCCGGGCTCCACTGACAGTCGCTGCCCACAGAAACCGCCAACGACTCCAAAGCCAAGATGTTACCCGGGATCTCCAGATCCCCTTTGTCAACCAGCTACTTATCTCCCTCCTTCAACGGCAAGGACAACGATTCCCACGACTAAGCCAAGGTGTTATCCTGGTTCAAGTGACCCTTCTTGCCAGCCACCAGCAACGAGAACGCCAGTCACTACATCAAGACCGAATTGTTATCCTGGCTCCACCGACAGTCGTTGTCCACAAAAGCCACGCACTACTCCGCAGCCAAAGTGCTATCCCGGCTCATCGGATCCGGAGTGTCTCAATTGCTATCCCGGTTCTCCAGATCCAAGATGTCCCAAGATTCCAACCACCAAGAAAGCGGGATGCTTTGATGGTTCGGATGATCCAAGATGTCAGCCAGCCACTTACCTACCGCCATCTACTAATCGCACTCCCACAATTGCACCCAAACCAAGGTGCTACCCGGGCTCAACGGATCCACGATGCCCACAAGTAACTCAGCCAACAACAAGGGCACCAATTACCACCTCCAAGCCACGATGCTATCCAGGGTCTAACGATCCTTCATGTCAGCCGGCTACCTACTCGCCTCCTACTACAAGAGTACCTGTAACCACATCTAAACCAAGATGCTATCCAGGCTCAAGGGACCCTGAATGTCAGCCTGCCACAAGGCCACCAATTACCACCGCCAAGCCACGATGCTACCCGGGATCTTCTGATCCTGAGTGTCAGCCAGCCACTTACTTGCCACCAACATCTGTTAGGACAACAATTCCCACCACCAGAAGGCCTTTGACTACGTCCAAACCTAATTGTTATCCGGGCTCAACAGATAGACGCTGTCCACAGGAACCAGTAACGACTCCGAAGCCTAGATGTTACCCTGGCTCACCAAATCCTGAATGTCAGCCAGCTACTTACCTTCCACCCACAACAACACGAGTTCCAATTACTACCGCTAAGCCAAGGTGCTATCCAGGATCTAGTGACCCAGAATGTCAGCCAGCTACTTACTCCCCTCCCACAACCAGAACACCTATTACGACATCAAAGCCAAATTGTTATCCTGGCTCCACCGATAGTCGTTGTCCACAAAAGCCACCTACTACTCAGCAGCCAAGGTGTTATCCCGGCTCATCGGATCCAGAGTGCCTGAACTGCTTCCCTGGCTCGCCAGATCCAAGATGTCCCAAGATTCCAACCACTAAGAAGGCAGGATGTTTCGATGGTTCAGATGATCCGAGATGTCAGCCTGCCACCTACTTACCTCCTTCATCTCGTCGACCACCCACAATCGCTCCTAAGCCCAGATGTTACCCAGGATCAACAGATCCGAGTTGTTCGCAACCAACCACAACAAGGACACCTGTAACTACATCGAAGCCTAGGTGCTATCCGGGATCTCGTGACCCAGAATGTCAGCCGGCTACCTACTCTCCTCCGACTACCAGGAAGCCTGTAACTACAGCCAAACCAAATTGTTATCCCGGTTCCACAGATAGGCGTTGCCCACAGGAACCAGTGACGACACCGAAGCCCAGATGTTATCCTGGATCACCCAACCCCGAGTGTCAGCCAGCTACTTACCTCCCACCAGCAACAGTCAGAACAACGGTTCCAACAACGAGAACGCCTATAACTACATCCAAGCCGGTTTGTAATCTAGGTTCAACGGACAGTCGTTGCCGCCAGACACCGCCGACGACTTCAAAACCAAGATGCTATCCCGGATCTACAGATCCTGAATGCCAGCCTGCCACGTATCTTCCTCCCACAACTCCAAGGCCGACTATTCCCACAACCAGGCCAAGATGTTATCCCGGATCAACGGACCCCTATTGCCAACCGAAAACTTATTCCCCACCGACATCAAGACCAGTTATAACCACGTCGAAGCCCAGATGTTATCCAGGCTCCTCGGATCCTGATTGTCAACCAGCCACTTATCTGCCACCTACAACCAGACAAACCACGATTCCCACTTCGAAGCCAAGGTGCTATCCAGGATCTAGTGACCCAGAATGTCAGCCTCCCACAACCAGAACTCCTGTGACTACCTCCAAGCCCAATTGTTATCCTGGCTCCACCGACAGTCGCTGTCCTCAGAAACCTCCTACTACTCCGCAACCAAAGTGCTATCCCGGCTCATCGGATCCAGAGTGCCTGAACTGCTTCCCTGGTTCGCCAGATCCAAGGTGTCCGAAGGTACCAACCACTAAGAAGGCAGGATGCTTTGATGGTTCAGATGATCCGAGATGTCAGCCTGCCACCTACTTACCTCCTTCATCTCGTCGACCACCCACCATCGCTCCTAAGCCCAGATGTTATCCAGGATCAACAGACCCCAGTTGTCCGCAACCGACCACAATAAGGACACCAGTAACAACGACTAGGCCTAGGTGCTATCCAGGATCCAGTGACCCCGAATGTCAGCCAGCAACTTACGCGCCACCGACTTCGAGTTCGCAAATTACTACTTTGAAGCCCAGGTGTTATCCTGGTTCAAGGGATCCTGAATGTTCGCCCCCAACTTCAAGGCCTCCTGTGACAACCTCCAAGCCAAATTGTTATCCAGGCTCAACGGATAAACGCTGTCCTCAGGAACCAGTAACGACACCTAGGCCCAGATGTTACCCCGGCTCTACGGATCCTGAATGTCAGCCCGCTACTTATCTGCCACCTACAACCGCACGCCCAACAATTACCACAACTAGGCCAAGGTGTTATCCGGGCTCTAATGATCCTATTTGTCAGCCAGCAACATATTCGCCACCAACAACTCGAACGCCTATAACTACGTCGAAGCCAAATTGTTATCCGGGATCAACAGATAGTCGTTGTTCCCAAACGACACTGAAACCAATATGCTTCCCGGGATCAACAGATCCCGAATGCCAACCGGCAACGTATCTTCCTCCGACCACTGCAAGGCCGACCATTCCAACGACCAAGCCAAGGTGTTATCCCGGATCAAGCGATCCCTTCTGCCAGCCACCTACAACCAGATCGCCTGTGACTACATCCAAGCCGAATTGCTATCCAGGCTCCACCGATAGTCGCTGTCCACAGAAGCCTCCTACTACTCAGCAGCCAAGGTGCTATCCCGGCTCATCGGATCCAGAGTGCCTGAATTGTTTCCCAGGCTCTCCAGATCCGAGATGTCCGAAGGTTCCGACCACCAGGAAGGCAGGATGCTACGAGGGTTCCGATGATCCGAAGTGTCAGCCTGCCACTTACTTGCCACCGTCAACATATCGACCGCCCACAAGTGCTCCTAAGCCGAATTGCTATCCAGGATCAACAGATCCGAGGTGTCCGCAGCCGACAACTACAAGAACTCCGATTACCACGCAGAGATGCTATCCGGGATCTTCTGATCCTGATTGCGAGCCCGCAACACGAGCACCAGTGACCACTTCAAGGCCGAGATGTTATCCCGGATCTAATGATCCAGAGTGTCAGCCGGCGACCTACTCACCTCCGACCACGAGGACTCCGGTCACCACTGCCAAGCCAAACTGTTATCCGGGATCTACGGATAGACGTTGTCCACAGGAGCCTGTAACTACAGAGAAACCTAGATGTTACCCTGGCTCGAGGGACCCTGAATGTCAACCGGCTACTTACCTCCCACCAGTAACTGTACGAACAACGATTCCTACGGCTAGGCCAAGATGTTATCCGGGCTCCAATGATCCTGACTGCACGACAAGAACTCCTATCACTACACCCAAGCCACGTTGCTATCCGGGATCGAATGATCCTTCCTGCCAGCCCGCTACTTACCTTCCGCCAACGACGAGAACTCCTATTACCACTTCCAAACCCAACTGTTATCCGGGATCTACGGATAGTCGGTGTCCCCAGAAACCAAGATGCTATCCAGGATCAACGGATCCTGAGTGTCTGCCGGTGACAACTCAAAGAACCCCGATCGAAGCAACCACTCCGGTCTATTGCTATCCGGGATCCATCGATCCTCGTTGCCCCGACTCCGGATACAGGGGCACCAGCCGAATTCCTGCCACATATCTGCCGCCCCTGAGTGATCCCGGCTACGATAGGACTGTTCGGAATGCAAAGACGCTGTTCTTCAACGAAATCAATCACTTGGCACTCACCGATAATAATGTCTTTGAGCTGGACGACGATGAAAGCGAACCGTCGAGGGTGAAGCGCGAGTTGAAGAACTTCAGCGAAGAGGACGATGACCTCCTCTCGAAGAGAATCATGAAGCGCGAGTTCAACGAGCTGCCTTCAGAGCAAGAAGTGATTTCCCTGACCCTCGGAGTGAGAACTGGCATCAGTGTTAAGTAGTCGTTGAAGGTCTAGTAGATGTTAAGCTTAACAATATTATAATATCATCATACACCGATATGTATTTACCTAGAATGATATTCATTAAATATAAACTATGTACAAATGTAAACTTGGGATTTCCATTTCGATTGTACTTGTAATGATTTAATTATATAGTTAAGTAATTATTTAGAACAAACGCTTGAGTAGCTGATCTTAAGACTCCGGATAGCGACAATAGGAATTGCTCTCGATGGACTCGTGCGGAATCCACTCCTCGTACAGGGGCAGTCGGTTCTTCAGGGTCTCGATCTCCCGCAGAATCCTCATCACGTTGCCACCGACCAGCTTCTTAATGGCCGCATTGCCCCACACCCGATCCCTGGCCAATTCGGCCAGTAGAAGGGCATAGCTCTTCGGAGCTCCACCTAGTCCAATGTGATCCACACCGGCCACTTTACGCACATAGTTTATGGCAGTGATGGCCTCTCGAACTCCTAGAGTTCGATCTCCACAGCGCTCCAGGTTGAGTAAGATTACACCACCATTTTCAGGCAATAAACTGTGGGTGAGATATTTAAGTATCCTAAGAAGGCACCACCTAGATGATTTCTTACCTGAGTACATGATCGGGAATGGAAGCTATGCTGCTGCTATTGCACATGGAAAGTGGTGTAGCGTTGGTTAGTAATACAGGCGCCTTGGCGGTTTTCAAGACGGCCAGCATAGCAGCCTCGCTGAGCATCGAAATCTCCACCAGCATTCCCAGGCGATTCATCTCAAAGAGCATTGTCTGTAAAAGGGGAAAAATATTACATTTTAATATTAAAGAAGAGAATAAAACTTTGATCGCGCATAACTTTTTAACGAATGGTCCGATTTGAAAAATTTCTTCTACATTTCGATAGGTATTGATAAATACTATAAAACTGAATTTTCACTTTTCCGAAATGTTTAAAGATGTGGGCACCAGACACCTTTTAAGTTCGTTTAAGGTGACTGTAGTTGTTAGAGGTCGGAAATACTTTCTTCTAGCTGTTACATACTTTTGCACGAATACAATATACTCTTTTACTCTACGAGTTACTCTATAAACATTTTAAATATTTAAGTAACCCACCTGACCGAATTCGTTGAAGGAATTCGTGGCGTTCTCCTCCACGAGATAATCAGGTCTTCGTATGGCCGCCGCCGCCCAAGGAGTGGTGCACTCCAGGCTCGTGATGGACACAAATCGAGCGCCCAACAGGTAGATGGAGCGGAGGACAGCTGTGCTGGTGCCCAAAGCATGGCCACCACTTATGCCCATGAGAACGGCCACCTCACCGCGGATGTGGGTCTGCTCCATCTCGTCGGCCGACTCCACAATGTGCATGGAATCCGTGGCGGCAGTAATCCGGTGGGCCCTGTCAATCCCCTCCAGAGTGAGCTGCACTGCATCCAGATACTGAGCACCACATGGAACGGCAATGGGCCAGAGGACAGCGCCAATGTGATTCTGTCGCACCTCGAACAGATTGCTGCTGTTCAGGCTCATGGTGCTCGGTGGCTTCCAGGAGCCCTCAATCAGAGGCGACTCCGTCAGCAGGCGGCGGATGAAGGCGAGTCGGGCCTCCAGGAGCGACGAGGAGCGCAGTTGAAGGGCCAACGGAATGCCTCCGGCCATGGCGATGCAGACAAGCACCAGACCCACGCCCAGCAGAATCTTGCGACCTCGCGACCTCTCCGGCCTTTCGCCTGAGGATTCGCTGCACGAGTCCTTCTTGGAACTGTAGGTGGGTATGCCCCCGTTGGAGCACCTTATCTTCTCGTTCCCACCCCCGAACTTGGTTATCTCAGCGGGCAGCTCGATGTCCGCTATCTCGGTGAACACGAAGCATTGCTGCTTGCAGTGCGGCTGATGTTGGTGCAGAGGATGCACCTCCAGGAATTCGCGACTCGGTACGGGATTCATGGCCAGTGGTGTTCCCAACGGAAGGAAGCCCCTGCCGTTGAATTCGATTCGATTCAACAAGCTTGCAACGCGACGAAAGCTTGAAACTGGGATACTATCGATTTTTACCACGTCCTGCTAACAATTTACTCTCAAGGACATGCGCGCTAAATTATAAGTTTTATCGGTATGGCAGCATCCCAATTTTAGGAATATTTGAATTTTAAAAAATAGATGTTCGAAAAAGAAACTCAAGAACTTGTGTATAATTTAAAAACCTCAGCTTTACAATCATTTTAGAAATTTTTAACGCTTTAAAACCAATAATATTAACTAATATTTAGTTCAAGGAAATACGACATTTTTAAGCAATTTAAAATAGGAAAATGAACTTAAATCAATTTGGAATTTGCAATTAACATATTTAATTTAATATTTAGATATTCTACTACTTCTTATGGGCTTTTATAACGATTTTCATAAGTTTGTGTGGTTATTATTAATATTAACTAATATTTAGTTCAAGGGTATGCAACATAATAAAGTAATTTAAAATAAAGAAATTAATTAAGATCAATTTTTGATATTTCACTTAACGTACAAAACCGACTTACTTTTTCAAAGACTTTATATTTAATAATTAGATATTCTACTACTTCTTATGCGCTTCTATAACGATTTTCATTAGTTTGTGAGGAGGCAAAGATTCGAGGAGGCACAGCAGCTGAATCTGATTGGTGATGCACTTGGAGCTCAGGGCAATTTGCACGGCCTGCGCGAATCGCTCCATGCACTTCTGGTAGGCAGCATCCGTCTCGGGATCCGCTTTAGATTCCCCCAGCCGTGCACAGTGGCTTTGCAGGGACTTCACGATCTGCATAAGATCCTGGCTGGGCAGAGCCGTCGACTCGCCACTGCTGACCAGTTGCTGCAGGGCGCGCAGCAGGGAAAGATGCAGATTGCTGTAGGCGCTACGGTTGGAGACCAAGGGCGCCAGGACCACCCAGCGCAGGAGTCCGGCCAAAGGAGTTGCAAAAGGCATGGCGATGGCGCCGGCGGGAAGAACCAAAGGTTGTTGCGATGCCTGGCACAGCGTCGGATTCTCCGTCATCCATTCGGTTATGGTATCTAGTAAAGCATCCGGCGGCGGGATCAGCGCCTGCGAACGCTGCTCATTGAGATATAGATCCGCCACGGCGACCATGAAATTGGCCGCAAAATGCGGACCCACCATGGGCAGCTGCTTCAGTTGCTCCGGCGTCTTCCGGGAGTACGAGATGAAGTCGCTGACTATATTCTGGGCCACCTCCAGGCTGAGTGGCGTCTTGCAGCCCACCTGTTGCATCCATGTGCCCGCCGAGGAGAGCAGCGGGGCCACGGATCCCGAAACCGCTGTGCTGATCAACCGGGACAGCAACTTGGAACGCTGCGGCGTCAAGTGGCTGCCGAAAAGGGAGAGGAATATGGCATTGCGGGTGGCATCTCTTCCTGGCCGCGAAAAGTACTCAATCAGCGCTATAATCAGCTGAAACTCCTGGAAGAGATTCATCTGGCTGATGGGCAGCGACTGCGACTTTCGCACGTCGCCATCTTTCGAGGTTCTCTCCAGGAATATGTACTCCGATATGATCTGCATCACCATATTCTGCTTGTTTCGGCTGGCTATCAAGGTTTCTAAAATTGTTTTGAGAGTTGTAAGATTTAATTATATAGAAAGATGTACTTTAATAACTTTACCCAGTCGAGTAAGTGCCTCCACCGCACAAGTGGGGTAGTTCTCCAGCTTCATATCGCCCTTCCTCAGCAGGGACTTATTGCTGTCTACCGACAAAGACATCTTTTCAATGTTATTTTATTAAACAATGCAGTTTTCTTTAAAATATGTAAGTGCATAAGTGCATAACAAAATAAAAACAAACCATTTATGGTTAGTGGTGGTTCCAGTTCGATAACTCGCCGGCGATAAGTTTCTTGTGAACAGTGAGAACGGTCACTCTATTACTGATTATCCGTTTTTATCCGGCACTTTTTTAAAATTCAATTTTGTGTAACATAAAAATGCTTTCTTTGTTTTTTACGTTTAATAAAATATCATGAATACATTTTATACTGAGCAATCATAAAATCTTAAACATATATCTGATCAAAAAGTCTTATTTTTTATGTTGAATGAATACATATAGACTCAATATCTCTACTAATTAACATTTCAAATATAAACCACAACTTTTGAAAAAATTTGTTAGTGAAAAATTCGATTAATTGTAAATTACACAATTTATAAAGAGCGGTTACAGTTGCCAATTTTATAAATCTAAGTTTTCATATGAGGAATTTAACAATCCAGACCTTATACGAAAGGTTTATTTAAAATTTGTTTTTCACAGCCGATTTCAATACTGACTTACATGGCTATTCACTTATTTTATATAAATTCATTCTTAAAATATAAACAGCTGCAAAGTCAGGTTGTTAAACTTTCTGTAAAAATATTCGACAAGGTACTTTATTATCCGGTAATAAACTCTTTGCCATTAAATAATCTACATTTTTGCAGATAGTTTAACCTAACTAAACAAATTGATGGATACCAAGCAGACGCATAGAATGGACCAAATAAAAACGAAAACCAGCCAGGCACTGGACTTGAAAGGACTCTGAAAACGATTGACTACGCCGCTGCCCAGGAGTTCTGAGCAAGTGCGCCTCGCAAAGTAAACAAGAAACACGGGGATTATGTATTGGATGCCAGTGCCTGCATAGGTGCCAGTAAAGGCCACCAAACTGGACAAACTCTCCGTAAAATAGGTGATACAAAACGGCGGAATTATAGCGAGAAGTGGAAAGCACAGTCGCACAAGAATGCCATACGATTCATACTGCGACATGTCCAGGAAAAGGGATTGCAGATTGTTCTTGAGAGTTATGGCCACAATGGGAAAACTGGTGGACAGCGTAAAGATGGGAAAAAGTGCCAGAAAGTAGTCAATGCAAATTAACAGGCCTGACCAAAAGTCTATGTAGGCCACATCGTAGGGCAGAAAATCCAGTGTGTAAAGGTCTTCGATTCGTTCAAAGGCAAAAATACCTGTCATGGCTAGTAAAATGTAAAAAGCACAAATGATTATATAGTCGAATGAGAGGATTTTCGAAACCATCGACTTGTGCTTGAGCGGCGCCAGCAAACTGGGCAGTGAATGGTGGCACATAAAGGAGTACACACAGGCGCCAAATAGCGAGGGAATACCGTACACGTTAAAGGTCTCCGGGTGACCCTTGGCTCCCCTGGTGATCAAAAGTTTCAGCGATATGCAGATCATGAGGGTAAAAGCTGTAATAAAAAAGGATTTTTATTATTTTCTATGAAGAATATATAGCAAAACTCACCCATCCATCGAAAGACCGCTGTGAGCATCTGCAAGTACTTCGTTTTCTGTACATTAAAATAGGCAAATGGACCAAAGATCAGGGTGAATCCAATTAAAAACACTCTGTACATGCTGAGGCGGGATATAGTGTGTTGCTTCCAGCAAGCTCGTGATGTGTTATTTTCAAAGTCTCCCGGCCAATACATCAAGTTATTGGCGTCCGTTCCATTGGTTTGATCACTGAAAACAGGAAAGATATTAAAATTACATATCTCTGTTATCTGGGATCACATTTTATCAATTTTGTTATAATTCTACCTGATAAAATAGATATTACTCACCACACTACGTCACGCAGACTTCTTGCCACGGCTGCAGAATATATGCTCAGATCGCCGTATAGATAGACTATCAAACAGAGATAGAACATAATGCGTCCGAATTCGTTGAAGAACAGCGCCGCCATTTCGCCCAGCTCGAATTTGTGGGAGAGCTGGTAGTAGTGGAACTCCCGATTTTGGATGGTCAACGGAACCCGCTCGAAATCGCCCACTTGATCGGCTCCCGAGGCCAGGGAAACCTCATCTGCATTATCGTCATTCTCACTGTTCTCAGCGGAACTTCGACTTTGGCGCAGGGCCTGCAGGGTTTGCCAATTCCGAATGGCATTTGCACAGGCCATCGCCTCGATGATGAAGGTAACCGTCATGTAACTGACGATGGCCAGCAGCACAATGACGATGAGGGAAAGCATCCATCCTGCCCGGGCAAAAACTCCTGGTAGGGTCAGTGCTCCAGTTCCAACGATAAGATTAAAGATGAATATAAAACCAACCTGTGGGTAAAAAAGGAAAGCGTTACTTGCGAAGCGACAGGTGTTCAGTTTCCAGAAACCGAGAAAAATATGTGCACACGCAGCTAAATTGTGCAAATGAGCGATATAGTAAAAATACCCATATTTCTGCATATAAAACTTTGTTCACTGCTATTTCTGAAGCCATAATATCAAAAATAACCCATAAAACTGGGAATTCATTGCGCAAACATGAAAATAAACATCTGCCCTTTGTTTTGGTAAAAGGAGTCTGTAGATTTATTTATTTTCTTATAATATCTTACCAGATTCGAGTATGTGGGTGCGGCCTCGCGGCCATTGACTAGGCGAGGCATCTTTATGCTGGTTCTTTGTCTCTCTAGCAGTCTTCTATCCAATCTAGTCCAATCCTATCAAATGTTCAACAAAAAAAGAAAACAATAATAATAACGATACGATAGTGCAACCCAAATAGTGTGCCCAAGTAAGTTAAAGAAAGAGATGCCAAATAAAATGGGCTAACGCGTATGAGAATTACCCTAATATAGAAAGAGCGCCAAATTTAAAAGTATTGAAAATCGGAAGTAATAAAATAAACGACTTTCTTAAAAGCTATTAACAATTCGAATTTATTTCAATACAATAAATTTGTCCTCTAATATATACATTGCACAACAAGCGTATAAAGCTGATCTAAAAGCGTGCAGGCATCTAGAAATGTTCGGTTTACTCCTCGGGAACTGCGTTGGCGTTTTGCCTCTTTTTACGGTTCTCCAATATACTCGTGATGAAGAACTCGCCGGCTTTGTAAGAACTGCGAACCAGGGGACCACTGGCCGTGTACAGGAATCCCAGTTCGTTTCCGCGCACCTCCCAGTGCTTGAACTTCTCGGGCGTAACGTATTCGATGACCTTGAGGTGCTTATTCGTGGGCTGCATGTACTGGCCCAGGGTCAGACAATCGACACCGGCCTCCCGCAGATCCTTCAAAGTGTTTTCAATCTCCTCGTCGGTTTCGCCGAGTCCCAGCATAATGGAACTCTTTGTGATGAGATTGGGATTGAATTTCTTGGCTTCGGTCAGCACCTGCAGCGTTTGTCGGTAGTGGGCGCGCCTATCTCGCACATAGGGTGTCAGCTTCTCCACCGTCTCAATGTTGTGCGCATAAACATCCAGGCCGCAGTTGGCAATCGTTTCCACACACTCCAGATTGCCACGAAAATCGGGCACCAGGCACTCCACAAAGATGTTCGAGTTACTAAAAATAAATATTGTATTAAAATATATATTTTATATACTGGATCCTAATTGTTTTTCTTTATCCTACCGCGCTTTAATTTCCCGAACCGTTTCAGCTATGTGCTTGGAGCCGCCATCTGGCAAATCTGGGTTGAAAATAACATTTATGAAAAGATTTAAAATTCAGAAACCATTGTAATCCTCACCATCACGATCCACTGAGGTCAGGACAATGTAATCCAATCCCCAGGAGGCTATTGCCGTGGCGGTGTTCACGGGCTCATTGACGTCCAGTGGTGGTGGTTTACGTGCCGTCTTAACCGAACAGAACCGACAGCCTCGAGTGCAAGTGTCGCCCATGAGCTGGAAAATAAATAAATAATATATGTTTAAATAATATGTTTAAAATAAATACAAAAGAATTTGTTAAAAAATTATAAAATGATTGGCTAAGAAACTAGTTTGACAAAAAAGAAAAATTATTAAAAATGTCCCTGTAAACTATTAATATAATAATACCGATTTCTATAGTTTAAGGGCCGTTTTCTCGTTCGTTTGTTAAATTTAAAGTAAGGTTAAAACCTTAAAATCGTATTAGAAATCAGAGATTTAACCCTACTTTAAATTTAACAGGCGGACGAGAAGAACGTATTGTAAATTAACGAATTTTTGAGCCCCTAAACTACAGTGGAAAATTCTGCTTCGATAGGGAACCTATTCCCTTATCAGCAGAGGTCACCGGGGGGTCTTATTCCTCACCATAATCGTGGCTGTCTGGGTGCCATGCTCGCCGCCGCCCCAGCACTCGCCGATGTTGGGACACCGCGCCTCCTCGCAGACGGTGGACAGCTTGAGCTCCCTCATCTGGGCCTTGATCTTGGCGTAGTTCTTACCCACGGGAATCGTGGTCTTCAGCCAGGGCGGCAGTCGCAGCCGCTGCTCCTCGCCCTTCTCGCGACGCAGCTTTCCCTCGTAGTTCTCCCACTCGAGTTTCGTGTTCTCCGGATTCTGCACGAAGTCCTGAAAGTTGGGTCCCTTGGCCAGGCGGTCGCGAATCTCCTCGAGCTTCTCCGCATTTGTTGACGCCGCACGCTGTGTTATTCAATCGGAAGATGTAAGTTGATTCTTCTATTTATTTTATGATCTGCTTACAGTGGCAATTACTATGGGGGCTTCCACGTGTGACTTTAATGCTCGCAACATGGTGAAAGTATAATTTAATGTACAAAATCAATTATTTATAAACGATTTATTTTGTTTGTCCAATTCTTATGAAATAATTAGTGCGACCGTGTTTGACCTTGCAGGTATTTCGAGCGGAAAACAGCTGTTGTATTTTTAGTATTTTATTTTAGTATTTCTCGGAAATCGATAGACTTGATTCCTGTAAAGCCTTTTTAGAAGCCGCGAAAACTAATCACATGTGTTTAAAAAACAGAAGGAGGTCGTTGCTCTAATGGCAGAAATTTTCTTTTCAATTTTTAACAATTCAGCAATTTAATCCCTCTTTGCCTGTTCTTTTACCCCTCCCATGAACCTTCTTAACCAATCGAAAATCGATAGCTGAGCGGCTCTGACGGTTGCGTTGCCCAACACTAGTCAATGAGTCGCTTCTCCTCCAAGTCAAAACAAAAGAAAGTTTTGCCCAGCCACATTTACTTTGGTTCCACTTATTGTGAGTAGTTCCTGATCCTCTAAAGCACAGATCCTAATCGGCGATGGTCCGCTAGAAGTTACCCTCCCATCCCACAACTACGGCTTCGCAGGGGGCGGCGTCCAGCGCTACGGAGGCGAACGAACGCACACCACTGATGGCTGCTGTCAATCTGCAGGCTTCGTGCTCCTCCGGACTCGCCACCGGAGATGAGGCCAATGTGGGCAGCCAGAGCGGCGAGGCGGAGCGTTTGGAGCGTCCTCCGAGGCGGCAACAGCAGCGGAACAACTACGGCTCCAGCAATCAGGATCAACCGGATGCAGTGGGTCTTGCTATTTAGTATGTTGGAGCAATCTAATCTATCTTGCTTCTTTCTTCCAGGCAATACTTGCTGTTCCCAGTGTAGTGATGCGGGAACCCGGCGGACAAAGACCTTCAAGACTGACAGGAGGAAGTGGTGGACCTCCGCCCCCAAATGAATTGGAGGAGGAGCAAGGCCTGAAGTACGGCGCCCAGCATGTGATCAAGTTATTCGTGCCCGTCTCCCTTTGCATGCTGGTCGTGGTGGCCACCATCAACTCCATCAGCTTCTACAACAGCACGGATGTTTACCTGTATGTTTGTAGTTTGATCTTCCTGTTGTCTTAACCACATATACCTATTTTTTACTCCTCTAGCCTGTATACTCCTTTCCATGAGCTGTCACCAGAGCCAAGTGTTAAATTGTGGAACGCCCTGGCCAACTCTTTGATCCTGATGAGCGTGGTGGTGTTCATGACCATTCTGCTGATTGTTTTGTACAAGAAACGTTGCTACCGCATCATCCACGGCTGGCTGATTCTCTCCTCCTTCATGCTGTTGTTCATCTTTACGTACTTATATTTGGAGTAAGTGGTAGTTCATTTTTATCCAGTTCTTTAATAATGTTTTTGTGTTAACATTTTAGAGAGCTCCTTCGTGCCTATAACATTCCCATGGACTATCCCACTGCCCTCCTGATTATGTGGAATTTTGGAGTGGTCGGAATGATGTCCATTCATTGGATGGGTCCTTTGCGGCTGCAGCAGGGATATCTTATTTTTGTGGCCGCCCTAATGGCCTTGGTATTCATCAAATATCTGCCTGAATGGACTGCCTGGGCTGTTTTGGCAGCCATTTCCATTTGGGGTGAGTGGTTTGCCTTTTATGATTGCTAAATTATAAACTAATAATTTATTTATTTACAGATCTCATAGCTGTTCTTTCTCCAAGAGGACCTCTTCGCATTTTGGTTGAAACGGCCCAAGAGCGAAATGAACAAATTTTCCCCGCACTCATCTACTCATGTAATAACGAAGCAGCTCTTTAATTACTTTCATAACTAAACGTAATCCCTCTTTTAGCCACTGTCGTTTACGCACTTGTGGGCACGACTACGCCCCAGCAATCGCAGGCCACCGCCTCATCATCACCCTCGTCCAGCAACTCCACCACAACCACGAGGGCCACGCAAAACTCGTTGGCTTCGCCGGAGGCAGCCGCAGTTAGTGGCGCACGCTCAGGTAACTCCCATCCTCGACAGAATCAGCGGGACGACGGCAGTGTACTGGCAACTGAAGGTATGCCACTTGTGACTTTTAAAAGCAATTTGCGCGGAAACGGTACATATGCATTATATTTTTTATGATTTATCTACTTCTCTCAAATGTGTACATTGCTTATTTGGTCTGTTTTTTGTATTCCTATGTATTTGTGGTCTTGTTTAGTTATGTTGGGCATATGGTATAAAGCGCTGCTAGTAGAATATCAATCATTAAGTCGAGTTCCACCTTTTAAAACTAAATTATTTTTGATTTTTTCAGCCGAGGCCGCAGGTTTCACGCAGGAATGGTCGGCAAATTTGAGCGAGCGTGTGGCTCGTCGCCAGATTGAGGTTCAAAGTACTCAGAGTGGAAACGCCCAGCGTTCGAACGAGTACAGAACAGTCACAGCTCCAGATCAGAATCATCAGGAGGGACAAGAAGAACGTAAGTAACTCCAATTAAAATCAACACATTCATCTAACGAATGATCCCCCTTAGGTGGCATCAAACTGGGACTGGGCGACTTCATCTTCTATTCGGTATTAGTGGGCAAAGCCTCCAGCTACGGCGACTGGACGACCACGATCGCCTGCTTTGTGGCCATCCTGATTGGACTCTGCCTCACCCTCCTGCTGCTGGCCATTTGGCGCAAGGCCCTGCCCGCCCTGCCAATCTCAATTACCTTCGGATTGATATTCTGCTTCGCCACCAGTGCGGTGGTCAAGCCGTTCATGGAGGATCTGTCGGCCAAGCAGGTGTTTATATGAACGTAAAAACGTAAAACAAAAAAGACAAGGACACATCAAGTGGCCCACAGTATCATAGTCTAACAAAGCTTTTTGTAATCCCCTTCTTTATTTAACAAAATGCATAGTAACAAACTCGACTGATTATTGCTTCCGCTTGACGATTGTCTTATCCACGATGTTGATCAGCCAGCCGGGTTCCAGGCCATAGAATACTTGCCTGGGATCCTTGGCAGTGGTGAGCATCTCGTAGGCGGAATCATCTTCGATTTTCGGCAGCTGGTAGCCGTATTTCTGGGCCAAAACCAGTCGATCCTGGCTGATCTCCTCGGGATTGGCCAGGTAGCCGCGATTCTTCGGATTCGTATAGTAGTCGACGGCATCCTGAGGCGGCAGCATCCTGCTGGGAATGGGCACTCCCTTTTCGAACCACTTCTTCGGATTGGCCAACATGTGCAGGCTGCGTGGATCGTAGTAGGCTGTGCGTATCACTCCGCCGTTCTTTTCTATGGCCGCTATGACCGCTTCGCTGGCGTGCTGCACCTCAATGTTGATCTTGGCCTGGAAGTTGTCCAGTCCGTCGTCCGTCAGCTGGAAACCGTACTCCATTTCCGAGGGCTTCAGCTTGAGGAGGCCGGAATTGCATAGCGTGCTGATGTCGGTGGGCTGGCTGATGTCTATGCGGTTCGTGTCGATCAGCACCTGCAGCTGGAGCAGCGAAATGGGCGGATACTGGCGCTTCAGGTGGTGTCCCTTGTAGTAGGGCTCATAGGGGAACCGCAGGTAGAAGGGCTGATTGCCCGTCTCGTAGCCCAGCCGCATGAAGTTCTGCCGCTGACCGGATCCCTTGTTTCCCGCTCCGTGCTTGTCGCCCCCGTGCTGCGCCCTGCCACGCTTGTCCTGCCGGCAAAATTATATTTAATTATATTATTACTATTGGGTACTTTCGATTGCCTGTTGTTATTCAACCACTCACATTTTGTTTTGAGTTGGGATTCGGCCGTAGATTGCCGATCTGCACGCGCGGCAAGGTGCGCAACAGCTTTAGCGCCTTGTCCGAGGTTTCCCGCAGGTGTGCCATGACCGAGTTATCTTAATTTATTTAATAATAATTTATTTTAAAAGTTTTACAGCTGAAAAATTGAATTAGCACGAGCAAACAGTAGGACCGCAGTTAGTCAACTTAAAAATACTAACCGGTTCAAACATAAATACCAAATATTTTGTACTTACGCTATTTTTATCAGTCTAGCAACGGTCATACTTATTGCCAACGCGGAAAAAAACAAACAACAAATTGTATTCATTAAAAACATAAATACTCGAGTTAAATTAGTTAAATTAGATACAATTAATTACATTTCCTAACAATGACGTGTGGATCATGTCGTGGTCACAAGGAGAAGAGTGTAAAGTGCCTTATAGCCGCTCTGGACACGATCAAAGAGCACGCCCTAAGTAAGTCGAAGTTTAAAGATCAGGATTATAACATAAAGCTTTACATTTTATTGATATTTTTACCCCTAGTGATGCAGCGGGAGTCGGAGGAGAGTGCCAGGACCATAGAGCACCTAAGGGCCCACAATGACAAGCTGCACAAGGCCTTGGACTTGTTGAAGGAGCGCCAGGCGACCATGGTTCAGGCGGAGAAGCGCCGGAAGCTGTCGCCCAAAAGGATCAAGGAAGACATATCCCCGCAGCCGCAAAGCCAGAACTCCCTGAACATGAACATTGCCATCAGTAGCATCGATCTCTCCGACGAGGATCAGGAAATGGAGGAGGACGAGAGCATTGCGGAAACGGAGGTCACCGCCCAAAGCCCGCGCAAATTGAGGATTCCAAGCCGAAAGCAGGACGTCCGGAATCGGGAGAATGTGCAGCCAAATCAGGTTTCTTCAGTGGCCAATAGTTGGATCCGTAAGACGCCCAAGAACCCGGCGGCAGTCCTCACCAAATTGTCCCTTACACACAAAAGTAGTAGCTCGCATTTAAAACAAACTCGCCTCAAGTTCGAAGCAAATAAAACGAGCAATAGCGAAAAGGATGTCATAGAGGAAAGCCCCAATTTAAGCGCCAGCCTCAAAAGATCTCGCCCTCAACGGTCTCTAATGCAGAGGTAAATATGAATACAAGTCACCTTAAAGGTGTCACAGAAATATCTTTATAAAAATTTCTGTGACCCTTTTGCTTACCATTATTTTTAATACTAAAACCTAAGCTTGCAGAACAGACAGCGCGAGCGTTTCAAACGCAGACGACTCGCCTTCTACCAGCAGCAGTAGCATTATCAAGATCCCCAAGGCTAGTTTCGACATGGACTTGGACGACTTGGAGTGCTCAGAGCTTCCCGTAATGCCGCCACCGGTCACACCTCCAGGTCTGCGAATCAACAGCACCTCGGATAGCGTTGTTCTGTTGACGCCCGGCACACAGGATATAATCTTCGTGAACGACACTCCCGAAGAAGTCAGCAAACTGGGCACCATGGATGTTCTGGCTGAAATTATGAAGGACGACGACGACGCCTGCTCGAATGCTTTGCGACAGTTCGAGAAGAAAATGATTGACCAGCAGAAGCACATTCAACCGAAAACCCCAAAAGTGGAGAATGCTATTCCAATCAAGAGAGTTGTGAAAGAGGAACCCATATCCCAACCAGAAACTGATGTGGGCAATGAGTCAACAAAGCTATCTCAGGATATGGAAAAGTATCTAATGGAAGAGGAGGATAGCAAGTGTTCGGAGGAAGAGTTTCCGAGACCGCTTTTGATCAAAAAGGAACCCGAGTTGACGGTCAAAGAACGTTTCAACATCGAATGTGTAGAGTGCGAAAAGGTATGTGATCGAATTCATGCTGTTCGCAATAATTAATAACTCTGTTCCCCCTTCAGTTCATCAATTTCATGGGTTCAAACCTAACCGACGAGAAGATCAAAGACTACTTATCCAAGTGCAAGCACGAGGATGCGCGAAGCTCGACGCCACCGGGATTCTGGAATCCCCTGATGGTTTCCTTTGCCGAAGGTGATCCACGCAACGAGGTTTTGATAGACACTCGATTCAGGGACCAGCGATTGAACAAATGACATTTAGACAATAATTCTGTTTAGAACATTTCATTTATTATTATTCATTGTTAGTCCACATTTAATTCACAAGTTACCACGCTTGGCCTGTTCAATTTCGATGGCCGTGAACAGGGACTTAAAGTTGCCAGCGCCGAATCCCTGAAATAGTTATCAAGAGTATCAATGACTTTTCCTAGCAATAATAGTTTAAGCAATAAATCTTACATTGTGATTATAGCGTTGGATAACTTCCAGGAAGAGAGTGGGCCTGTCCTGGCAGTTCTTCGTGAAGATCTGCAGCAGATAGCCGTTCTCATCGAAGTCAATCAAAATGTTCAACTTCTTGAGGACCTCCATGTCCTCCTTGATCTTGGTGCGACTGTGCGAGAGCTGCTCCTGTAGGAGCTCGTAGTACGAGGACGGGATGGTTAGGAATTCGGTGCCCCGAGCCTTCAGGTTGCTCACCGCTTGAACGATGTCATCGGTGTTGAGAGCAATGTGCTGGACACCACCTCCACCGTAGTATTCCACGTACTCCTGGATCTGCGACTTCTTCTTTCCATTCGCCGGCTCATTGATCGGCATTTTCACGGTCTCCTCGTAGTTGGCCATCACAATGGACCGAAGAGCGGAGTACTCCGTATGGATTTGCGAGTCGTCCACCGACCAAAAGCGATGGAACTGCAAGATCCTCTCGTACCAAGAGGCCACGCTCTCCATTTGCAGATCCGGCTGGTTGCCCACCACATGATCAATGAAGTTCAACTTGGTGGAGGGCAAGCCCTTCAGCAGAACATCCTCCTGCGACCGCTGGAATCCGGGCAGGAAGTCCCCGGCATAACCATTTCGCTCCACGAAAGTGTGGGTGGTATCACCGTACTACAAAATATTATTTAAACCTTCTTATATTTTGATTGTAATTTTATTTTTTCACTTACCGTCTTGATGGTGGCGAATCTCACGAATCCCTGGTCATCGCTCTCCTCCCAGATGTCGCGAACCACTTCTGCTCCACGGGACACCGCCAGCGTAAAGATGGCATTCAAATCCTCCACTTCGAAGGCTACATCCTTGACACCGTCGCCGTGGCGCATCAGGTGGAGTCCATGTTCCTCGTCATCCGGCGTGTAGGCGGAGACGAACACAAAGACGATCTTGTTCTGGCGCACGGCATGCTTGGCGAAGCGTCGTTCTCCGGTCTCTAGTCCCTGATAACCAAGTGGTTCGAAGCCCAGACGAGTGGTATAATAGCTGGCCGCCTGCTTGGCGTTGCCAACGTAGAAAGTCAAGTGATCAAAGCTTAGAAATTTGCCGGCTTCAGGCTGAAAATAAATGTATAAGGAAATTAATTAGGATCCTATGATATTAGAGTAGCATTTCGATCGGACTTACTTTGGTTCCTTTGTCAGTATAGCTGGTCTATTGGCGGTGGTAGAAGAATTGTAAATATTACATTATTAACAAAAAATTTTAGAATAAGTTCGCAAATAACGATCGAAGGTTATATAACACATTATTTCCAAATTAATTTAATTTTTCTAGATTTTTAGGTCAATCCGTTCTGGGTGGAATTTGCAACTGACCAAATTTTATTCTTACAATTCTATTAGATCGGAGATAATATATTTTTGATATTTTTTCAGAAAAATTATATTTGTACTGAGTTTTTATAATATTTTCAGAATAATCATTCAGTTATTAGCTGGACACACTTTTAACACTTTCTTAAATTAAATTTCAAAACTATACACTTTTAAGGTATTACATAACTCTCGCCACATGTGTCATTTCATTTACCATTATCACTCAGACTCAATTTATGCAAATCCTCTCCTCACACGCGATATAGATTTCTACTTTCCGTTGATCTTACACGATCTTTAACTTGATTATGGCCTGAGCTTAGCCGATCGGCCGCTTTATATAGGGCCCACAGCCTCGGTCAGGTGAAAATCCTGTACTAATTTAAATAAAAGCCAAACTAGTATTTTGTTTATTTCAAATGCTATATATATCGGAATATCTTAAGTAGCTGGTTGTTGCTCGCATATTTTAGCTGAACTTGCAGAAATTTGTTTACTAGAACAGGTGGATAACTTAATTAATGCAATCGGGTAGAAATAGAATGAGTTGCAATTTTATAAGTTGGGACGGGCCTCCTATAAGCGTAATCCTTATCATTGCGGCTCTTTAGAAGTTGTTACAAAGAAAATTTCACTTCCTCAAGACCGTTACAAGATAATATCGCCAGTCATTATGCAAAACGTGGGGGGTCATGCCAGAACTCACCTAAATATTCATGAGGCAGTCTAGTTTGCTCGGAGATCGGTTGCCAAGTCGCATTGAACTTGATTCAAGTTGCGAGCCCCCAAAACGCAACAATAGGCAAACAGAGTGTTAATGCTATCTGGGTTGTTATTGTTATTGTTCCAGTGCAATAATCTATTTCGTTATTGAAGTTGTTTTGCATTTGAATCGCTTTGAAAAGTTTTCATACCAAATATGCGAAAACTGGTTAACAAAGTTGCTTGTTGTTATTATTTAATAACACGGCACACGATAGACATAAATAACATATTTTGATGATTGCTTTAAATCGACTATTAATTGCTGGGATAATAGGCTTTAAGGCTATTGAAAAAGGATTTAAAAGTATTAACTTTTCTATTCTTTTTCAAACTTTGGGGAGCGAATAATTGAGTTGTATGTGACCAAGGAAAGACTGGTTTATCTAAACTGGAATTCGATTTGAATCATAAAATATAAATTTAATTAAGCATAATCTGCTATTTTTAGACTCGCTTGAAAAAGAAAGAACATTTTGTTTTTATTTATTTTTAGATCTTTAATATTTAATATATATTATATATATTTTTTACAATATTTTAATGGCTGTTTGAGTTATTTATTTTTAATAGAATTTCAAATAAATATTTGATTTTATTATAGATCCCATTATTAAGATATTTACTTGCTCAATAATATTTTGGGATAGGGAGTTCTCTTAATCAACTTGATTGACGATTTGTGTCAGGTGTTTGGCAACATGCGACAAGCCAATAAATTAATCGTTTTCGTAGTGGTCTGTGGGCCGCTCAAGAGCCCCGAACACATGGCGTATGAGCAATATGGGCAGCTAAGCATTAATGATTAGCCCTAGACAAAGTCTCCCCCTAGCTAATGATAAACTGACAGGCCGAACGGGGTGATAGAGAAGGGGAAAAGTGGGTGGAGGGCTACGATATGGTCGATTGGACATTGGCAAGAAGCCAAATCGATGCTTGACATTTATTATGATTGGCTTATTAGGGCGCTGCAGAGGCGATAACCTGACCAAAGTGGCGGCAGTAGAGAATACCACTTGTCGCCAAATTGCTCCAGATGTTGTAGCAGTCATAAAACCATATGGCCTTATATTTTTTCACTATCATTTAAATAAACCTTTCCAACCGAACTATTCATATTTATCCAATTATAATTTATTTATAAATTTGTTCTTTATTTAACGTGTAACTTTTGTACAACACTTGACAAAGAAATCAATTTTCGAATTCCAGTTCAGCTCCAACGTCTTTCCACATCATTGATGCTATTATCGCCCTCATAAATATCAGGAATTTCTATTTGTTTATTCTTCACCTGGCGCTCCTTGGGTTCCATTAGTCAAGGAATCCAACGCACACCATCGGACCTATCCCAATAAAAATCGCTACCCCCTCTTTCGCCACTGATTTGCCATTAGCTGAGCAAACTTTTGTCCTTGGCAAAGGGGAACGGTATTTTGCTCAGCTCGGGTTTGTTTTGGGTTTGATGTGGGTAGCCTGTTGCTCTATGGGGAGATTACATTTCCAGGCTTCTCCCGCGACCCTTTTCTACTCTCTCTTCGCTGGCGGGAGCAGAAAGGTTCTCTTTCAATTGGACGGCATTGCCAGCTGGGAAAGTTTCTCTTTTGGGGGTTGCTTTCTATAAGGACAATTCCCAGACAGAAGGATGTGAGTCTCTATTGTTGTCGTCAGTAACTTCGAAGGTGGTACACAGAAAGCAATTTTATGAAACCAAAGACCTAATAAACTTTCTAAAATAATTTCTAATTATATCTAATTTAGATTATATTTTAAAATATTTTTGAAGTATTTATTTTTATAAATAATTTAAGTTTTTTCTTGTAAAATTAAACTATAAATATTTCAGTTGGTTTTCATTTGTAAGCGTTTTAACTTAATAACAGGCACAGAAAAGGATGCAAAAATTGTTTTCGGTTTCCGATATAATTTTGATTATTATCAATATAAGCTAACATATGTAATTTAAAAGAGAGTTATTTTCTTTCAGTGTTGTGTTATTGTCCTTGTTTTTGTGGTTGTTGTTGTTGCCATAGCCGCAAGCTGTCGCCGGTCTACGTCACGCTTTCTATCCTTCAGTCGCGTTTACTGCGCTGCCCAAACAACAAGCTAAATAACAAGAGTCGCAGTAAAAAAAAACAGAAAAAAATCACAAGTGTGTAACTACTCCAAATTATCTAATTTGATTGTTATAAAATAAGCTCCACACTCAGAAAAAAAAATTTCCTTAATTTAAGTCCATTGACCTTGATTTAAGGAATAATGGCTTTAAAATGGCTAAATAAGGCTATACATGGACTTAAAAATTTTTATCCCATATACATTTTAAGTCTACATGGACTAAAAATGGACCTAAGTCCATGTAACAGTCCATATGGCCTTAAGTCCAAAATTAGTCCATGTAGACTTAAAATGTATATGGGATGAAAACTTTTAAGTCCATGAATAGCCTTATTTAGCCATTTTTAGTCCATCGTTCCTTAATTTAAGGAACGTGGACTTAAATCAAGGTAATTTTTTTTTCTGGGTGCAGCCACAAAAAAATGTCAAACGTACTTGAACTGTCTCTGGTTTTTTGTGTACAAACCAAAAATCATTTGTCGCCATTCTCTATTTTCCGTCCCAAACATTGTTTTTTGTTGCTGTGAAAATGTATGCTCAACTTTTTTTAAATATTGACAAATTGGTGCGTCTCGTTGTGCGATTAAAATCTTAATGTTTGAAAAAACGCGAAAAAAAACATCACCAAATTGTTGGCCCCGAAAAAAGCGAACAATTTTCGAGACTAAAAATCCCCCAAAGCAAGACAAAAAAATGTTAAACGTTACAACATAAATTATCCGAAAGAATACGCTCTGAAAGCATTCTCTAGTTGGTGTTTTAAAAATAGTTTTTTATATGTTATTTTTGCGATTTTGTTGATTGATTATTCAGTGTGAAAATGATCATAAATTTGGTAAAGCCTTAAAAACACTTGGGACACAGAAATCTTTGCCTTGTCCAGCGCTGCTAAAACTGTAAGTTGTGGGGTTACAGTTTTAGAGGCCGAAACGTCGAAACGAGTTTTTGTTTGAAATTGAGAACATTGTTCTTTGAAAACTTACTCTCTTGCAGGATATCTCTTCTCCTTTTTTCCCTTATCCTTAAAGGATTGTTTTCACGGGGTGTTTCGTTGCTGAGAGGGGTTTACAAACCCAGAAGAACGCATGCGCGACCATTTCTAGAGGGTAGGTGAGATTTTGCATATTTTAAGTTCCAAGCAGATGTTTTCGTTTGGATACGAAATTTCTACGGTAGGTCAGTTATTTTGAAAGTGTAAAAATAATTCGGAGATATATAGAACGTTTAAAAAAAAAAGTGTAACAATAAATTTAAAACCAATAATTTCAATTTTTGATTCCTGATTTCTAAGTGTAAAATTCAAGTACCAAGTTCCAGATGACTTATAACTGCTATCTTGATAGGAGGCTTTAAAGCTTACATTCTTAAGAATTGACTAGATTATTTTGTTTTCTTCTAAAACATTAAACAAATCAAAATATTATGATAAAGAAAAAAATAACTTTACTCACCTAACAACTTTTCTTTGTGCTGTCTACAATGTTTACAAAATCCAAAGAAAATCGTAATCAAACAAAACACTTTTACCTACTAAAGAGCTTGGATAAAATCCAAATATTTGCATGCAAATTTGCGGATTTAATTCGGCTCGCGTGCTAGAACTCAATCGAAAAGCTTCGACAGAGTCATTTTTCCATTACCTGGCAGATAGTCGCGCCCTTTGTGTGGCCACTCAGAGAGAGGGGAAGTGCCCCATTAAAGCCATAAAAACATTACCGGGGGGAGGTACAAGTATTCTCAGCATGATTCACTTTCACCTTGACACGCTTTCCCCGGCTCCCTTCGCTCGCCTCAATATCCTTTGCTGCGGGGTGGATGGTATTAAGTTCTTTAAGCCAGATGCCGTCATATAAATGATATTTTTATATAGTCGAGATATTTACACGCGGAATTATGCATTTAAGTGCTGGCTGTGCTAGCTGAAACCACATCAAGCGAAAGGCATTGGGAAAATACAATAACCGCCCACAGATCTTGGGCCCAGAAGAATTTAATAGTCTTGGGGTAGTTCTAGAAAGTTTGGTCCATAAAATGGTGCTTTCCAAACATGAAATCTAGCGGGTTGGCCTGTCGAGATTTACGATTCGGGATGGAGAAGCAGGTTGCAGTTGTACAAATAAACAAAAGATCCGAATAGGAACCAAATGAAAACTTCCTAGCCACCTCGTTTATGTGAGTTTCCATTTTATTTTTAAAACACAAAATTATGAAGCCCAGAGAAAATTACACTTTTACTTATACTTTGCCTAGGTATAGAGATGCAGATATATCTATTTTAAAGGGATCGTTCCGGGGCATTTAGGTGGGCATAAATTATAAAAATATTTCAATGCGTGTCAGATATTGTTTGTTCGGTATGCGCCAAGGTATGTTTGTTGTTTATTTTTTTGCTGGAAAGGGAAATGGTTCTGCTTCATTTTGAACAAATTACTGGGGCTTATTAAGAGCCATATTATTAATGGAGCATCATTTTTGAGGGTATTTGATTAAATGCCTGTTGATAGCTGGCGATAATTATTGTTAAGTGTGAGTAGAGGGAAGAGTTTTTGTTTATCAGGTACTTATTTATGTGGGTGATTAAAAAGTGATCTTATTAGAAGACTTTGTAGGTGAACTAATTATTATATTTACGTATTAAATCACTATCTCTTATATCTCTGCTAATATTAATCTTTTTTTATAAAACAAATGTCAATCTTTTTTTTATAACTTCTGTCTTTAACCAACAAGATAAGAACCATTTCCGTGCATTCTTGATACCGTACCGTACCTTAGCTGAATATGCCTTTAAATGCAACCGCTTGGCGGCATTTGCTTTTATTTAAGTCGAGAGGTTTGGAGCTTCACGAAGCGAATGCTCGTGCTTTTTCTTCGATTTTTGTACCACAGCACAGTGATAAGTATTGTATTTATTTTGCGAAAAAGGGACATCAGAATGCAATTAAATTTCTTGGGGAAAGTATACATAAATAGTTTTTCATGGTAGTAAGTAATTTCCATATTAATATTTTTTTTTACTTATGCTTACAATAATACATGGGATAATTTCAGAAAAATATTTGAGTATTAGCTCAAAAATATTTTACATTTTACTTAAACAGATTCAGTAGTATCTTGGGCTGTAGACTATTTTTTGGCATAAGAAGGGCATTCGTAAAAACTATTTTATTGTATATTTAAATAAGTTTATGTTTTAACATTAATTTTGTCAGCACACATGGTAACTAAAGAAGTGAATCAGACTTCAGGAATAAGTAAATAAAAATTTGACTGAAATACCACCAGTTTGGCCCACTGTGCGCCCGCTGCCACAGCGGAGAAGTCGGCGCGAGTTGCTCAGAACGAATTTGCATAGGCTGGGAATCGGACGTGTGGCCGTCGATCTTGATGCGAAACCATCGCAGCGGTACGACAAATATTATTTCGTTCACTCCGCCTCCTCACGTGCGTGTGAGATATTTGTAACTTTAATTTATGAGATGCGTTGAGTGAGTCGCTGGTCAGCTTCTTAATAAATTATTCCCGAGAATACCAAGCATTTTTTTGTGGAAAAAAAATATCAACAAAATTCTAAGGCAATTTATCAGCAACTAACGAGATGAAAGGGGAAGATTTTGTGCAATAATTTGTGGATATGTGGAAATGGTTTATTTCGAGTTTGGATTTGAACTAGTACTTTTTGATATGTCGAGCTACAAAAAATATTTCAAATATAATTGTGTAAAAGTGTTTTACTTAATACCACAACATAAAAATCAATAAAGTGAACTGGATTAAAAAAATCTATTGAAATGCATCGATTTGTGTAGAATGGTGCTAACATTTTTAAATTTAAGAATCAATCCAGGAAAATAATCAAAATAATTTAGGTTAATGTAAAATGTCACAGTAAATTGTAGATGTGAAAAGTGAAAACCAAATGCAATATTTTGCATTTATCTAAAACTTGGCCTATATACTCAACTCAAGTTGCCTGCCACATTAAATTACTGCAGTCAAAAGGAAAACGATGAAAATTGTTTAACAATACAGAAATGCCATTAAACCAATCAGCTGTAAAGTGAATTAGACAAAAGTTGTTCGTGTGGAAAGCACATAGAATCAGAGCCATATATGCGATTGGAATCTATATTCAGATCACGACCGCATTCTAAGCATACTATAGTCTGGGCCGATCTCTCTAAATCTAAATCTCAATCCCCGCATCCGTGTGACTTACAGATCGTATCCGATTGCTGCGACCGACCGCAAACGACGCACAAACTGAACCGAAATAAAACGCCAATAAAATCCAGCTAATTAATGTGATAATTGTGCACAACAAAATGATCGAAATCGGAGGATTAAACGCGATGTGGAGCGAATTGGAATGCAGCGGACTTGCCATACAGAATTGCCAGTGCCCGAGATTACAGCGATCGCCGCCAAGATCCTCCACCGATAAGCCCTTAATGCCAAGGGTCAGCCTGCGTTATCAGCCAGCGGTGATCCCATCATTCCTGGCCATGGGGATTGTGCTAACGATCTGCTTGGGATCTGCCCTCGGTGCTCCACAATCCTCCTGCATCATGTGCGACAAGGAGGACCTGCGTCCACGAATCCCACCCTATAGCGACAGCTACGAGGAGTACACCTTCGACCACCAGGTTACCCAGCAATCGGCCATGGAGTCTATTCAAAAATTCAATGGGAGTAAGTAGCTCTTAAATATGACAAATTCTATTTATGGTATTATTTTAGTTTTTTATTAATAGTTACTTCTATTAATTTGCGATTTACCATTGGAGATATTGATCATAAAAAATTAGTGATTACAAAATGTAGAAAGTAATAATCGTTCAAAAATTATCAAAATCAAGTCAACAAATAAATATATAATTTATTAGGAATTGTATTAATTTAAACTGTTATTCGGAAATCTCCCTGTTTTAAGAGCAGAAACTTTTTAATCGATACCCTTTCAGAGTGTTCTAAATAAAGAACAATTAAAATCATAATCACAACAAAATTGTAAACATTTAAATTTTATTTTTAATTTGTTCACTTTTTGTTGATTTTATAAAAAAGAACAATGAAAATCAGATTCGCCACAAAAATGTAAATATTTAAATTATAAAAAAAAAGTTACGAAAGTAAAAACAAAGACTCTTTGTATAAATTCTACGTCAATATTAATTGTTTACCAAAATTAATTAATGCTTTATTTTATGTATATCCTGTCTTTATAGCAAGAGGTCAGAACAATGCATGCAGTTCAATCAAATGCCCACCTAATACACCGAAATATTGCCTGGGATCTCAGGTAAATATTATATTTAGTAGATTAATCAATCAAAGTGATCTGTTAAACGCGTTTACCTTAAAAACTCAGATTGTTAAATTTAAAATAATTCTGTTTCCAGTTTATCAACGATCATTGCTGGTGCGAACTGCAACATCGAGAAGGTGAGCCTTAAAATAATATTTTTGCTTTTAGTTCTATATTTAAATCAGGGTCATTCAGAACTGTATAACTTTTGGGTCCTTCTTAGCTCTGAAGTTTTCGTAGTGTACTTATTCACCTAGGTTGATATTTATGACTTGCCGCATGAGTCTCAGCAGATGGCGCCAAACAATAATAAACAAACCTCTGCAACTTCTCCGCACTGGCAGACTCCCACAGTAAACACACGAAATAAAGACGTGCCACTAACCCACTTGCAACGCAGTGGCAAAGTCAACTCTCTAAAGAGCCTCATTAGCTCATTTTGTCCGATTCAGAGGCCCTTAACAAGCCGCACTCACGCAAATTACGGTGTAAAGTACTTACTTCTATGCCGCCGATGACGCAACAGTTGGCATAACCATCCAAGATAAAGCCACAGAACTATCCCATGGTCGTAAAGGTGGCGGTGGCGGATACTTATTCTACGGGCTGCTCTCTTCGACTTGGCACGTGATGCGGCACGGAAGTTGTTAAGTCTGGTCCACTGATTGAACCGCACTCTAATGCTGCGACACGCTTCATTGACTCGACTGGCAACCACAACAGTGAAGCCTCTATGGGAAAATCGAAGGGTTTCTTTTATAGAACATTTTTATAGAACAGCTAGACCTTCAGAACTTTAAGAAAAGAATTAGGTGTATTAGAACCTCCAACTTAATTACAGAAAATAGGATAGATGCTCCTAGCTTAATACTCAAAAATGTATATTATTATTATAAAAATTTTTTATTATTATTTCAACCTATTTTAAAAATTAAAAGATAGGTAATAAAATATTTTTTAAACTTTTATGTTTTTTAAACTTCCTTTTAAACGTGTTACAAACGGAAAAAATGTAATAAATGTAACATTTAAAATGATTTTTATGTTATATGAAGTTAGTAAAATTTCAAGTACCTTTAGATGATCTCCCTTGAGTGACATTCACTGTAGTGCGATAACTTGGGCATTCCCAATGTCCAAGCGTCAGTTTATAATTCTTCCAGTTGTTTTTTTGTTCTGTTCAAATTTTCGACTTGTCGATGTGCATTCTGCCTTGATGGGGGAAATTTTTGTGGGTTCGGCGCTTGGGTTGTCCACAGTTGAATGATTTTCTTCAAGGCGCGCAGTTTTCCATGCCCCTGTAGTTTTCCTTTTCGAATGCACTCGGCATTTGAATTGAATTGTTTTGTGTGGGCCACTCATTAAATTTAATTTCGGCTTATTAGGCATTTGACTTGGTTGTTTAAGCCATTAAGGTCTTTTGAGCAAAGAATGCAGTAATATAAATATTGGTTAAAAAAATAAAAAATAAAAATCCCCGATTTCCGAGAATCACTATCTCCAAGATAAGGAATACCTTAAGTATCAGACCCTTTTTGCTGTTTACTCTAAACTTAACTTGGTCATCAGTCTTGTGAATTGGGCTATATAATGTGAGTGGTTGACACTGAGTTCCATAACCCCTTTTCGAAACAGATCTTAACGTTTATCAGGGTGCAATATCAGCGGCATTGTAAATTACAGATACTCTGACTGTTTGCAACGCAAGTATTTGATCACTAGGTAAACATTATATTACGATTGACTCAGCATTTTTTTGCGGCTGGCGGGATACCTTTAGTATGCTGTGGGCGATTCCTACTACCGGCAACAAATCCAATCGATAAGGAACGTGCCTGAATTGACAATCGGAAAACACCTGCAATGGCAACTGGGTGGGTGGCTATGCCAGTACTTCGCGATGGCCATTTTCAGGTGCCGATTATAGCTTCCAAATATTTCCATAATTTTTCGCTATTAAATTTGACAGCTATTTCGCTGTTTTTTTTATTTTCACCACGCAGCAACCTGCCAATTAAATCCATTTATAATTTTCGTGATTATGGAAATGTTGACAGATGAAATGTGAATCATCATAGATTTGAAAATAATCGCTATTTACTTTTCCTTGGTAACCACATTTATTGTTGCCTCCGTTAATCAATCACACTTATATAAGTTAGATTTTCTTTTCTAACAATCAGTCGATATTTTTACGTCCTCGGCTTGTCAGACGTCGCTAAAGATTATTAACAATTGCGAGAGCATTCACTAAATTGACCTAACATATTACACGCTGAGCCTCGTGTCTGTTTACATTAAGTAATAATTATTTAATTGCATAAATATCTGCGACACGCACCATCAAAAATATTCTCTGTGTGGGTTTTTCGATGTTCCTAAACATGTAGACATGGAACTTCATAAAATTCAACACGTTGAGTTTCTGTAAACAAATGGGCATCTATAAACAGGCCAACCGAAAAATAATACAGGCATTATGATCCGATCGAAAAACAATGGTGTTCACATTTAGTCATTCCGCACAGTTTGAATTTTCTTAAAAATTATTGTGGCTTTTTCGTGCCCAGCTCCTAATAAACATATTCTATTTTATTGATTACCGTTTCTACTCAAAGCGCAAAAGTTCCATAAATTGTATATTTAAATTAAGTGGTTTCTATTATAAAAAGTTAAGCACTTGATTTCAGAATGGGGGCAGCAACACATTGGATATTTTGAACGTTTTTCTAATTTTTCCAGTAAAATCAGCTACAGAAATATTGAATATTTATAGTTTTGTGAATGGCACAGACAGCTGAGAACCTAAATACTGTAAATAAGTAAATTGATTTTTTTTAAGGTCAAATATCATCATAAATAATAATAACTGGGGTGCTAGGGTAAGTTAGTTTATGGTTTTAACAGTTTCAATAAGTTCTTTAAATCAAATTTTCTTAAATACCCAAATGCTTTTTATTCTTGTTTGTTGACTTGACTCATTTTTCTGATTTGAGTCATGGTTGAAAGTTTTCAATTTTCTTTGTTATCATTACAGGAAGTCTTTTTCATTTTTTTATAAATATAATTTAGTGTCAGTCTTAGGGTATATGGGCAAATCCTACTTTTGAGACGCACGATATATGACGCATAATAATTTTTGGGAAAATTAAACAATAACAGAATTTGATATTTATTACCAATTCAAAAACTTAACTCAATACTCCACAAAAAGACAATAAATTGACGTAGGTATTAGGTATTTAAAAAGTATATTCTTACTACCATTCAATTTTGATTTAAAATTTACAGATTTAAAAATTAAATTCCTATTATTTTTCAGAGGGCCTGCCCTATGTTCCCCATGTTTGCTTTGCGGATCAGAAGGTGCACACAGCCTCCGTGGATTCCTGTTTCACATTCGTCCAGGTCAAGGAGTGCTGCTGCGCTGAGATCTGGCTCAAGAAGTGTAAGTATTTCATATATTTGGAAACTGCCAATAGGCATTCGTGGAGCTTTGCTCGTAGTCATCGCATCTGGAACCACAATATCCATACTAAATGCTCATGCCACTCACACATGAGGAGGGATTAACAAAGCAATGCTAATTTAATAACGTAAATATACTTTTTCGATGATTCTGGTTCCACACGGCGCCTTCGATAAACATACACATACCAGAAATAACAGCAACAATGGTGGAGAGATCATGTCAATATCATCCGCTGGCAGAAAATCGAACCATGCTAATTATATTTAGTTTATAATGCTAATTGAAATCGCTCACACCAAATTTTCAGCTGGGCGTCAAAAGAGAGTTATAAATTATAAAATCATCATAAAATATAACAACACATTTTTAAGGCCTTTAAAAATGGCCAACTATAAATTTGAAAAGGCAAATTAGCCTTGTATATTATCGTTAAGTAGTTTATACCAAGAAATTTTCGAGCAGACTATCATAATAAACATAGCACTTTGGCAACTCATAAATAAATATGAGAAAAGCTGGAAAACAATTTGCTACATTTTTTCCGTGAATAAATTACAGCTGCCCATTAATAAATAATTGAATTACATTAGGATTACGCAGCCAAGTGGAAAATAAAGTAATATTCTATCTTTGCTTTTTCCAGGGCGACACATTTCCGGAAGCTCTCGGAGCCAGCACACACCAAAATTATTAATACACCTGCTTGCTGCACTCAGTGCTCTGCACTGGATAAGTAGAAGAAGGACATTTTGTTAAAGTTGAGACGTGGAGATCGAAGTCATCGTGTGAAAGTTGTACAACATAGTCATAGCGAAGTAGGATCTAGCCGTAAAAGCATTCGAATAAGTGTACTTAGTTCAAACAATGTCCAATGGTAATCAAACCTACTTGCTAAGCATATATTTAAGCGTTAATAAATACAAGTTTATAAAGCTAACCGACTTTAGTTAGCGTGTGGCTTAGATCACTAAATAAAGAAGCTGTAATTGCTTACGTGCATTTTAAATAGGACAACATATCGAGGAACAAAATTAAAAATATAGTTTATAACACATGCTGCGCCAAATATCGTTCGCTTACTGGCTAACTTTCGCCTTAATTACTAGTTTCGGTCCACTAAACCTCGAGTTCAGCAAGTCGGCCTTAAAAGTCTATAGTCTCCACATTGTTTATAGGCTAGTACGGTTGTTAAGCGTACGCTGCAAGGCATTCACACAGGACAGCACGTCCTCGTAGTCCTTGGACCATTCGCGCAAATTGCGTTCCAGTGCCTCCAGTCGCGGCTGTCCCAAACGCATTCCGCCGTGCTTAATGGCCGCGTAGCAGGAGCAGGCCAAAAGCTTGAAGCACTGCCGCCGCACTGCATTGTGGGCGTGACTCTCCCAGTTCGGTGTGCTGGCCACGCACTGCCAGGCCATGGTGACGTAGTCCACGAGGGCGTCCCAGTGGGTGGAGTCGTGCAGGCGCTTGGCCTGCGATTGCAACACCCGCTTGAATTCGTTGAGATGCATCGACGCCTTGGAGTAGGCAGCCGCATCGGTCTTCTTGCACAGCCGGGAGGTGGGAAGGGATTTAAAGATGAGTCGCTTGGCATGGTGGAGCTCCTGTTCCAGGGAACTACAATTTAAATTAAATTAAATTAGTTTCCTGCTTTTACATAGAGTATGCTTACTAGAGCCCTGCGTGAATCATTCAACTTTTGTTTTATCATAGTAAGCCAGGAAATTTCTGATTTGTTTAATTCAATTCTATGTGAAATAAATTGAATGTTTTTCAAATTCATTTCAAATTGAACGAATGAATGCATAATTTTTATGAATTTTTTGAATTTGTTAGATATTTTCTGTGCTTTCTTTTAAGAACAAAAAGTGGAAAATTTTTAAACAAATCAATGTTAACTGCTTAGTAAATAAAATTCAGGCAGATTTAATCACAAAATTATGGCCCTTTCTTCTTCAAAAGAAATTGTTATTTGAATTATTTCATTTCTATTAAACCCAAAATTCTAATTAATTCATTCATATAAAACAAAAAATTGAAAATATTTAATTGAATCCATTCATGCAGGGCTCTACTTTATATGCTAAATCTTACCTAATATCTGGCGTGGGCAGCTGCCTCCTAATCTCCCCTTCATCAGCTGTGCTCTTCAGGTTATTCATTATCAATGCGATTAGCTGTTCCTGGGAGAGACCCTGCAGCAGGGAAGGTAGCGACGCATCGGTGTTCGTCTGTCCCACAGGTCGGTCCTCCATCTTCAGCTTCTTTACAATGGGTGTTCCCGGCCAGAGTTGCTTGGTGGTGGCCATCTTAATGGGCGAATAGGTGTCCATGGGCGTGGGTTCCGGCGGGGTGCTGCCCATGGTCAGCCGCTTGCGGGGAGAGCTGCGCAGGATCATGCCGCTGGTCAGTTGCAGGTTCTTAGTGGGCGTGCGCTGGAAGGGACTGCGCATGGAGGAGCCACCCGAGGCCCCGCCGCCTGCGCCACCACCTGCGCCTCCACCATTAATCTTATCCGGCGAGAATGTGGTGGTGAAGCGCCGACGACCGCGTTGCCTGATGACCAGTTCATCGGGCGAGGGCAGCGGCGAGAAGACAAAGTCCTGGGCCTGCACCACATTCACATCGTTGTCCACCCGCAAGCCCAATCCTCCGTTGGCATTGGGTGTGTTGATTACGGCCGCCTGAGTGGGCTCATCTGGAGTCCTGCGATTGGCGTTCGTCGGCGTGTTGGCCATGCGCAGCGCCTCCAGGCGGTCCGGAATCTCGGCCAGCGCCATTCGCGTCTGCAGCGGGGTCGTCATTGTGATTCGGCCTGCTGGAAAACAATTCACATACGCATTAGATCTTTAGATCGTCAGATCGGGGATTGTATAAACATTTTCACGCCGCCCTGCACCTGACGACATACCACTTGGATGCTTCGCTATATCTTCGCTGCTGAGGCGACGATCTTGGCGTGGGCGGGTGATATATCTTCCTGGTGCTCGGATTTCTTCCGGTTATACTTTGGGCGTCCCTCCCGCGAATGCAACGGTGATTTTTTACTTATTTTTGTTTAAATTGCGCCAATTCGCTCAAGGTGGCAGCGCGCTCTGGAGATGTGAGTTCTAAGCCGATACTATCGCAAGCGAAGCGATAGTGCACAGGCATTTGGATACCCTTCCTTTGCTTTTATTTTTATTGCACATTATATTCTTGCCAAAAATCAAAATAATATTTAAAGAATATTCTGTTGAAAACTTTTAAGCGTACCTTATATTTCATTTAGAAGATTAAGCTATTTGTAATTAAATTCCTTTAAAAATTAAATTTTTTAAAAATTTATTAAATTTATAATTTTCTATTGTGCCAAGGAATTTTTAATCTTTCTCATAAATAAATTTAAATCTTAAATTAATTTAATTTTAACGATAATTTTTATTAGTTAACATCCATTACAAACGTCTGGCAACTCGTAAGCAGTGGCAACTACATGGCCATCTGGTAACCTTATGCCTTCTTTCCATTTGGAATTTCTTTTGGTTAAGATCGTCGGCGCTCTTAAAATTTAAATTAAATATAATAATGGATCGAATCCAGCTTATATTTGGCATATTCAATGGCCAGATTGTGAGCCTTATATCCTTTCTTAAAGCTGATGCTAAAAGCAGTAAGACAAAATGAAATATCCGGCAAAAGTGGGACTCCCTGGTTCCACGTGGTTCAAAGTGAGACACTTGGAGGCACATATGTTCGCACATATTTCTAAGGTAATTTTATAGCAAGACAGATCATTTTACTTTTCCTTACAACTCAAAGGATGACACCTACATACCCAATACTGAAAAGTCATGTTGAAAATTACTAAACATGCATCACCATCTGATTGAATTTTAACAAAATTTACTTGTGTTGTAACTTAAGAAATCTAAAAAAAAGTATTTATATTTACAGGTGAAAATGCAACGGCTATGTCCAGATCATGAGGTGCAATGGGATCTTCAATCCTCTTAAAGGTAAATAGTCGGTTTTAAATATTTTATCTTATTTTGCAAATTGATGACAACTTCATACCCAACTCAGAGAAATTATGTTGAAATCTATTTAACATGCATCACCATCTGAATAAGTCCTTCTTATTTAGTTTATGCCATAAAAAATATGTATAAGTAACCTATTTTTTCTTATTTTTCCAGGATATGAAAAGGATTCTACAACAGCAGGGCATTTTGATAGGCCGTTGATAAAAAGGTAATGTCTATTCCAGCAAGTATTAACTTAGAAAATCCTTAATTGATGACAACTTCATACCCAACTCAGAGAAATTATGTTGAAATTCTTTTAACATGCATCACCATCTGAATAGAAAATTTTTAATTTAATTCTGAAGCCATTTATATGATATATTAACTTGGTTTCTTTCTTATATTTCCAGCTTTGCAGGCTTTTTCTAACATCTACGTTGATATTTTGCTTCTCGTGAGCGCGACAAAAGTTTATAAAGGCAGAATTAATCACGGGGGCTTTTCTGGCCCTAACTATAGGTTTCTTCTTGGTCTGCTTACGTATAGTAGGGACGGCTTTCTTGGCTGGATTAACGGGTTTACTCGGCTTCCTCACTGCTTTCCTTATCGCAATGGCAGGCTTTCTTTTGAAGGGGATAACTTTGGTATCGCTTGGATCAATCAAAAGGTATGGATATTATTAAATTTATATTCAATTTTTTCCAAACCCCCTAATTGATGACAATTTCATACCCAACTCAGAAATATTATGTTGAAATCAATTTAACATGCATCACCATCTGAATAAGATTTTCATATTTAGTTTATGTAACTCAAAATATATATAAATAACATAGTTTTTTCTTACTTTTACAGACAATGCAAAAGGATAATTCATCAGCACTTCATTTTGATTACTAGTTAAGCAAAAGGTAATTATCATTCTACTATTTGTAATTAATATTTCTATAAAATCCTCAATTGATGACAACTTCATACCCAAATCAGAAAAATTATGTTGAAATCCTTTTAACATGCATCACCATCTGAATAAGATCTGCATAATTTTGTCTGTTAATTTAAATTTTTATTACTAACGCAAGTTTTATTTCTTTTTTTTTTTAGGAGATGCAAAGGAATAAACCCCCCTTTCAATAGATAAATGTTGTTAACAAAATACCTTTTAATATATAAAATAAATTCTTTATTTAAGCATACACAATAAAATATTTAAACTGTCTAAATAGAAGGCCTTAGAAAACTGTTTAACACGCTCTCCACAACAAAAACAAGCTGAGAAAGAGTATCTCCTTCTTGTGCAATCGATTCCAACTGGACGAGGCTCCTACTCCATCATAGTACACCTCCTTGTGTGCTGTTTTCCGCACAGCAGCACCGCCATTGAAGTCTCGCTTTTTCTTGAAGCTCTCGTAGTACCAATCCATGCCATCCTTGCGATCCACTCTATCCACCTGAAGGAGCTCCACCTCTGTGCGTTTCTGGGCTTTAGCCTGGAGCTGATGCTCACTGGCCACGCCCTCGTTATCCGCACTGGGCGTAGTCCGCTGGTACTCCTCGGCCGTCGGCTGAGCCACTTGCTGTTGATAGGGAGTGTACACCTTGGTGATGGTGGAGCGTCCTCCGCCGCGTAAAGGAGGAGAGGAAGGCGGCACTGAGCTCGTGGGACGCACTGAAGTAACTTGATAGTCACTGGGACTCTGGGTGGTCACCCAGGAACGACTCTTGATCTGCGCCACATGCTCTTCGGCAGGAGGAATCAGCAAGATGGTCTCCGCCGTGGTTGTCTGCACCAGAGGAGGAGGTCTCAGCAGGGTCACCGACTGCGCCTCCAGATCGTCATCATCGTACTGCTGCGACTCCTGCTCACTGCTGGCTGAAGCATCACTTGTGATGGCAACCTGGGTAGTAGTACTATTGGTTGTTGTACTCCTTGCTGTAGTCGTTGTAGAAGCTCTAGTTGTGCTGGTTATCCTCGTCATCAAAGGTGTTACAGTGGTCACATCGGCGGTGGTTTCTGTGACCTCGTAGGTAGCCGTCTCCGAACTTTCACCACTACTTCTGGTGGGCTTAAGTCCCGCCTGATTATAAATGGGAATAAACTTCCTTTCACCCTTGCCTTGGATCATCTCCGGGAGCTTCCCCGTAACATTCACCGCCTCCACCAAGCCACGTCGCTGCTGAGGATCATGGACAGGCATAAAGCCACCGACATGAACCGGAACAATGGGACGGAAGCCACCGCGTTCGATGCTCGAAGGCTCACGAAAGGTGGTGCGAAAGACGCCCACTGTGGTGGCGGCACTCCCACTTTCGTTACTCAGTGCATCCTCCACGGATGAAGTGCTTGACTCGGTGTCCACATAACGATTTCTGGCTATATTCTGCTTCTCCTGCTGCTGCTGATCCTTCAGGTACTTCTCAAACTCGGCGCTATTCGGCTGGTACATCCTGGTCTTGCCACGTCCACTGGGCAGACTTATGTGGGCCATGCGATGGGTGGCGGGCATTTCATCGCCTCCATCCGTTCGCTGTTTTCTTCCTCGATCGCCGAAACCAAAGAATCTACCCAAACTCACACTGGGCAAGGGATAGCCGAAGAAGGTAAAGGGCGATCCATTTCCCGGCTGAGGCCTTCGATTAAAGTATTTCGTATGTAGGACTGTATTATTCAGATCAACATTACTATTTATCGTGGGATTTGGTTTGGGTCGCTGCGAAGTACTGATCACGGAATTCGTGGTATCCGGTGCCTCGGTGGCGTCCACGTACTGATCATAGAAGTACTCGCTCTCCCCCGCCAAAGGTCGATCTCCTGGCAGCCTGGTGCCTTCGCTAGCCTCACACTCATCATTGAAATCATCCGGCAGATCCCGCTGGAAGACATCCCCGTGCTCGTTGAGCAGTGGCAGCTGATTGCCATCGGTCCGCTCGTTGCCATAGATATCCACACCCACGCAGAGGCTTCTCTCCATTCGGGCCGCCCTCAGCAGGCGACCATCCTGGCACTTGGGTCCCGGATAGGGAAAGTTCGTCTCCTGCAGCCACACCGAGAGCCACTGTATCTCGCAGTTGCAGTCAATGGGATTTCCTAAAATGATAGGAGGAACTCATTGTACATTTATTTTGGGTTTATTTTCTATTTGGTCCTACCATCCACATCCAAAATGGCTATGTTTCCTCGGAGGTTTCGGAAGGTACGCTCTTTGATACTTCGAAGTTGGTTGTTTCGCATGGAGAGGACTCGCAAACGGGGCATCGTCTCAAAGGGAGAACCCTTTAGAAATAGAAAAAGTCCTAATTAAATCTAGTTCTTTAGGTATTAAATCTATAATAAATAGGTCATGAAACCAATTACCAAACTTTATACAAAATATCAGTAGTGCAGCGCAGTTTAAAGCAAAAGTAATTTCCCATTTCCAAGAAAAAAAAATTAACAAGAGAGAACGCTATAGTCGGGTTCGTGTCCCGACTATCTAATACCCGTCACTCGGCTAAAGGGAGTGCGAGGGAGATGGATATATATTTTTGGATTGCGTATAACTTTTTAATGAATGGTCCGATTTAAAAAATGTCTTCTACATTTCGATAGGTATAAATATACACAACAAAATTGCATTTATACTTCTCGGAAATCTTTAAAGGTGTGACCGCCAGGCACATTTTAAAATCGTTAGTGGGCGATTGTGGGCGTTAGAGGGGGCGTGGCGCTCGTCTGAAATAAACTTGCGCTGCGTAGGAAGCCCAAGAATATGTGTGGAAAATCTCAACCTTCTAGCTTTTGTAGTTTCTGAGATCTCAGCGTTCATACGGACAGACAGACAGACAGACAGACGGACAGACAGACGGACAGACGGACATGGCTAGATCGACTCGGCTAGTGACCCTGATCAAGAATATATATACTTTATGGGGTCGGAAACGCTTCCTTCTAGCTGTTACATACTTTTGCACGAATACAATATACCCTTTTACTCTACGAGTAACGGGTATAAAAAAATAAAAAAATAAACATATCGACCCTATCTTTAGATTTAATGTAAGTATAATTAAATTTGTGAATTAGAGGTATGTTAAAATTAGAGGTATGTTAAAATTAGAAGAAAAAAAATTAAAATAAAACAAAAACAAGTAAAAAAAAAAATATTTATGTCTCACCTGAATTCTGCATATCTGATTATTGTCCATTTTGAGTTCCACCAACCAATTCAGCGCCTTCAACGGCATCGTCGACACCAACTTGACACCATTGGTGGACAGATCCAAGACCTCCAGATTACGCATGCTCCTTAGACCAATATTCTCCATGTTCCTGAAGTGATTGTTGGACAGATTGAGAAAGACCAGCGAATTGGCATTGTGGAAGCTTTCGGGTGAAATGTAGCGCAGCTTGTTGTATTGAAAGTGGGAGGCCAGCAGACTTGGCAGCTCCTCGAAGACATGATCCTTCAGCTCCACCAACTTATTGTCGGCCAGAACGAATTCCTGGAGTTCATCCAGTCCTTTGAGAGCCCCAGGTTCCACATTCCTAATCTCATTGCTACTAAGATCCAGATACTGCAGCTTGGGAAGATTTCGAAAGGTGCCCTGCTGGAGTTCTACAATCAGATTGTTGGACAATCGTATCTCCACCACATTTCGCCAGCCACCAATGACATCGGATTGGACACGGGATATCTGGTTGTAGCTGAGATCAATGTCTCGCAGGTTGTTCAGGTTTCCCAAACCCACCGAGATGTCCAGCAGGGCATTTCCCGAGAGATCCAGATACTCCAGTGATCTCTGCGTATCGAAGGCAGTGGGTGAGATGCTGCGTATCAGATTCCTCGAGAGGTCAAGCTGTTCGAGTCTGGAGTTGTTGGAGAAGAAATTATCCGTGATGGCCTCCAGTTTGTTGGACTGAAGGTTCAGGTTCCTCAATTCCGCGAGGGGCAGCAGGGCCCGCTCATCCGCCTCACCCAGTTGATTCTCCTGCAGATGCAGCAACTCCAGTCGCTGGATTCCTATGAACGAGGTGTCCTCCAACTGACGCAACTCGTTTTGGGCCAGACTCAAGACCCTCAGCTCCGAGGCACCCTGAAATCCGTTCCTGCTTAGCTGTTCTATGCGATTCTGGCTGAGATCCAGCATTCGCAGATTGGGCAACTGCAAATCCTTGCTAGCTGCTGCTGGCAGAGATGTGATATGGTTACCTTTGAGAGAGATGCGCTCCACAATTCTGGGTAGCCCACCGATCACCGATTTCAACTGATTGTAGCTGGCATCCACCTCGAAGAGCCTCTCCAAGTGGATGAGAGTGGAGGAGTGGATTTTGCTGAGCTCATTGGAGGATATGTTGAGGGTTTCGAGGAGCGGATTATGACGAAAACTATTGGGAGCCACTTCAGTTAGCCCATTCTCGCTGAGATCTAGACGTCTTAGGGAAGGAAGTCCCGCCAGTAATTGGGAATCCACCCGACTAAATTGATTCTGCGCCAGATCGAGACCTTTCAGGCCAGGAAGATTCCAAAATGGTAGGGGTAAATCCGAGGATAGACTGTTATTTCTCATTCGCAGTTCCCGCAGAGCAGGCATGGCCATCAGGGCATCCCTCTCAATGAGTCTAAGCTGGTTGTGATTGAGATGCAGTTGCTCCAGAGTTCCATGACCGCGCAGAGCTCCATAGGGCAGTTCGCTCAGGAGATTGCCACTCATGTCCAGATATCGTAGAGTAGGTAAAGCATCCAAAAGGGCTCGTAGAGCCTCCACGTGACCAATCTCATTGTTGTAGATGTGAATCGCCTCCACGCCACTTCCGCTGGCCTGAAGCAGGGATTCCGGATGAATGCGCCGGATGAGATTGTTGTGCAGATAAACAGTCTTTAGCTGAGGTGTCCCCAGAAAAGCTCCATATTGCAGTTCTGTGATTCTATTATCATTTAAATGGAGCTCTGAAAGGTTGGGTAGATCCACAAAGGAGCCATCCTCTATGACAGTGATGAGATTGTGATCCAGCCGCAGTTTCTTCAAGTGCTCCAGATCCTTGACAATGCGACCCACCATGCCCACGTCACTGATTTGATTGTACGAGAGCTTCAGACTAACCAAATTGGGTAATCTTGAGAGGGCACGTAAATGTATCCAGTTGAGGCCATTGTGGGATAAATCCAGGTTCTTCAGGGAGATCAAACCATCAAAGAGACCAGCTTCCAGTCGGGTGAGACCCACTCCTCCTGTTATGTGAATGTGCTGCAGTTTTGGGAGGTGTCTAAACAGATGGGACGGCAACTCCTGGAGGGCACCAGTCTGAACACTTAGATAGGTAAGACTAAGAAGCCCCGAGAAATCCGGCAAATGCTTCAGCTCGTCGCTCTGTATGGTGATGGCCAGCATGTTGATCATCCCATTGAGACTCTCCGCCGGAATGCTGCGCAATTGCGGTTCCACAACGAATATCTCCACCAGGCCGTTCTCCAGCTCATTCAGCCATCCATTGGAGACCCTCTCGATGCTGTTGTGCCGCAGCATCAGTCGCACAATCTGCAGGCTGCCAAAGAATCGTCCTGGCAAAGCCGGCAATTGGTTGTTTTCCAGGACCAATTCGTCAATGCGACCCTTGATGTTCCGTTCCACGGCCTTCAGACCATCCATTATCTGCGGCAGGTTACTGTGCGAGCACCTTTTATAAAGAAAAATATTAATTATTTAATAATAAAAAAAATAAAAAATAAAAAAAATAAATAAATAAAAGGAGTTATTTTCCAATTAAAATGATATATTAAATGTATCAAATATATGAGCACCTTTTATAAAAAAAAATTTATTTAAAAAAAAAAAATAAATAAATAAAAGGAGTTCTTTTCCAATTAAAGTGATATATTAAATGTATGAACTCACCATATCTGAATTTCCTTTCCCCGCAAGGAGCAGCGGCAGGGTAAAATAGCCTGTGATGGAGGACAACTTTCGGCCCTGATTAGAGTTAATCCAATACAGAGTAGTAAGAAAATTGGTAGCAGCATCATGATGGGCTAGATCATAGGCTTTGTGGGTAGAGCAGGTTGGTTGTACCCAAATTGGCACATAGCTAAAGGAAAAATAAAAAAAAAAGTTGGAACAATTACAACCTTATCTTTTCTACCTTCCAAATTCAAAAACCATTAGTCCATTAAATTATAATAATTTATAAGTTTAACCAGCAATTTTTATTAATCTTAAGCAGTTAATCTAAAATATTTGAAGACCATGTGAACTCCATAAATAATATCCAAGAATAGAAACCAACAAACCAAGAATGAAAACAAACGTCATATGAACACTTGCGCCAGGAAATCCCTCCCGTCGTATATTCATCACACTTAGCAGGCGGAATAGATTGAATTAAAAATAAATTATGTTTTATTATGGTCGGGAGTTCCGCCGAACTACAGACAAGACCCCCTCGATTGCGATTTCTGTCCCTATCAAAACCGAACAGGTGCACGCTAATCGGGACATTCTTGCACTTAAAAACAAAATGGAAAAAAATATTGAAAATTTATTATTGTTATATATATTAAGTTCAAACTCCATTAATAAAAGTTTTTATGGACTAGAACGATTTGACTCATATTTTGTAAAACCAAAAGGTCCTTGAATGTTAAATTCAAAGGAAACTCGTAAGTTAACTAACAAATCATCAAGGATTTTACTTCTTCAATTTCCTCTTCGTAACATGTCAAATTTATAGGTCAATTTAGGCCAAAAAGTGTCTCTACTAATTTTTCGAGTGTTTTAGACAAGGGTATCTATATAAATCAGGGGCGAAACAGGGGCCTGTCGATAAGAAGCGACTATATAAAGACTGGCCCCACGGCCAGTTAGCCAGCAAACGCGATTGCCCACAATGAATCCAATCGTCTACGCCCTATTGTTCAGTTTGGTGGCGGGCCTAACCGCCGCCGAGAAGTCGGACTACTGCCTGAGTGAGATCGTCAAGTCGGACGAGAGAATCCGTTCGCACGGATATCCAACGGAGACGCACCAGGTGACCACCTCGGACGGCTATGTGCTGACCCTGTTCCGCATCCCGTACTCCCATAAGCTGAAGAACCAGAACGAGAATCGTCCAGCGATTCTCCTGCAGCACGGACTGTTCAGCAACTCGGACTGCTGGCTCTCCTCGGGACCGGATAACTCGCTGGCCTACCTCCTCGTGGATGCGGGCTACGATGTTTGGTTGGGAAATGCCCGTGGTAATATCTACTCGCGGGAGAACAACCTCATCTCGCTGAATAGCCACAAATTCTGGCACTTTGACTGGCACGAGATCGGTTCCATCGACATCCCCGCCATGGTGGACTATATCTTGGCCATAACTGGACAGGCACAGATTCACTATGCCGGCCACTCGCAGGGAACCACCGTCTTCTTGATTTTCCTGATCATGCGTCCTGAGTACAATGCCTTTATTAAGTCGGCACATTTGCTGGCCCCATGTGCCTACTTCGGAAACGGATCCTCCTTTATCTTCAAGCTCCTGGTTCCTTTGGTGGGTGAACCGGGTGGACTGTGGAACCAACTGATGGTGGACACCGAACTGATACCGCACAATAACCTCGTCAACCGTGTGGTGGACAACAGCTGCCATATGTCCAACACGATCTGCAACAATGCCTTCATCATGTTCGCCAATGGCGGTTATGTGAATTCCAATGCGGTGAGTAAAGATCGATATAGATTTATAATACTCTTTCCTACTCCTATGCCAAAATTCATATCAATCCATCGAGAAATAGGTGAAATATTTTTTTTAAATGAGTTATAAAACTACCCCCTTTGCTTTTCAGAGCTCCATGAGCGTCCTGATTGAGACCCACCCGGCTGGCTCCTCCAGCAACCAGGGCATCCACTACCTGCAGTTGTACAAGTCCGGTGAGTTCCGCCAATACGATTGGGGCACCAAGAAGAACATGGAGCTCTACGGCCAGGAATTGCCACCCGATTACGATCTCAGCCTGATCACCGCCCCCACGCATTTGTACTCGAGCAACAACGACGCCCTTTGCGCACCCAAGGATGTTGATAAGCTGGTCGAGAATTTCGTTAACCTGAAGGAGGATTATCGTGTGCCCGTCCAGAGCTTCAACCACTTGGACTTTATCATTGCAAGGAACATGAAGGAGCTGGTCAACGATCCGATCATCGAACGTATCAACGCCTACGAGGGTCGCTAAATAAAACAATAAAGAAAACCGAGATGCACTAATTTTAATGGTCGTAATTTCTAGATAGATTGAGGGGTATAGATTGGAATTTCTTAGTTGGCCAACGATTGTCAAATCAAAATAACCTCTAAACATCCTTGACTTTAATTATAAAACTTTTCCCAGGAAAAAAACCAACAGTACTGAAGTGCAATACATAATTTAAAATTTTGGACAGTCAAATGTGCATGTGCCAATAAAGAAGTTTATTAACGGGGGTTTATTATAATTTATTTAAGGGCTTTGTCAGATTAGATATCGTTGTCATCTATTAATCACTCCTTAGCCTGTCTGGCTCTTGTCTTGAATTTATGGCCCATTAATAGGTAGCTTCATGTTAATCAAAATTTCCACTTCGATTAAAGTCATTTGTTCGTGTGAATTACTTCAAAACGATTGATTAAATATTTCCTTTGTTGGCGAGATTCAAGAGTTTAGGGAAATTTGGTTTAAATCGATGAAGATTAGATTGGCTATTTAAGGTGGGGCCCCTGTTTGTGCCAGGTGTTAATAATTTCAATTTATTTCAGGTATATGAGCTATGTTCTTATCGTGATTTGTTGAAGATTTCACAAATCAGTATTACCAAATCAAAACAATTGTTGTATATTAAATAATACAAGTTAGATTAATTAAATGAAGAGAAAAATCTCTCTCGTTTGTGGAATTAGGTATAGTATCTGGAGATACATCTTCAGATGTTCGTCTAACGGCTCTTAGGTCCGAACTTTTGCGGTGGGTCGTACGACAGGAAGTTATACGTACGCTGTCTTGTGCAATAGCCCCGAAGACTCGTCGCGTCTTCATAACGTATAGACATTATACCTTTCCATGCCATCGCTATAACTATACCACCCTCACATGCAACTGCGCAACTGCGAACCGAAAAAAAAAGAAACTCTTTGCGCCAAGAAGCGTAACATGGCTCTTTCAACGATCAACGAAAATTTTGTAATCATTTAACAAAAAACTGAAAAACAGAAGCAGTAGGAAGCGAGTGGAGCAGCTGCAAAGCATTGGACTCGAGTGAAACGCTAACCGCCGATTCAACTTCGGTTTTAGCTTTATCTTCTGCCGCCGTTTCTACGCATGCGCAGCGGAGTTTACATCAAACGAACCTTGAAATTATTGTCGTTTTCATCATTGTTCGGCTCCGCAGTATCTGCATCTGTATCTGTACTATATCTGAATCTGCAGCAGTGTCTGTATCTCTCTGTCCCCGTAGTTGTGTGTAATTTCTTGCATTGCACGCCTTGAAGTCACACTAAGTGAAGGCCCCACTCTGCCCGCCATCCCATTTCGCCCGACTCTGTCTATAATGACAATTTCACCTGCTCTGATTTCTTTTCGGTCCCCCTCAAACTCTCCTAATTAAGTAACTGTTTAGTTCTACATCGAACGGTTTTTTGCAAAAATGTAGATTAAGAATTTAGATGTAGGTGAGGTATTCAGTTTAATAGATCAAAAATAGCTAGTTTTAATACAGGACAAAATAGTTTAAGTCAGGAGATGTAAGATAGGTTTTTATTATAAGGTATCAAAAATTGGCAATCGAAATTGAAGAAAAGAACGTTTTTATTTATGAACTTAGATTCTTATCTTTTTAAAATGAAAGCCACGTATTACATATCGTATTACAACACATATTTTATCATAAATATCTAGGAAAGCTATCGTAATTACACTAAAATACTTATGAAAAGGAAAAGGTCAACAAAACTAGGTTTTAACAATTAAAATGAATTGCTATTAAATACTCTTTTTAACTTACTCAATCACAAAATAATCCAAGATACTATTTTCTTGCGCTATTAATCCGATAAATCCAAAAATGTTTAAATCACTATCCGTTTTTTATTCACTTAAGATAACACAACTCTCACAGTTTTAAGCAATATTTACAAATAACTTTTGGTTTTTTGTAAATTTAATTCACTTCACTTTCGAAAGCACTCTTGCTTTTCTATAAGACGTTTTCATTCAATTAACCACCGCGAACACCTGGAATTCATTTGGAATAAACTTCGGTGAGTTCTCCGCGATTTCAGTTTAGCCGAACCGTCTCGTTTGGAATGCACGCGAAAACTGTTTCTCGAACTTAGTTACAGCCCAGCAGATTACTCAAGATTTCTACCAGAAATGTCGGCTTGAGCGGAGCTTCCTGCCCGGGCAATATGGGAGTTGGGTTCCACGTTGGGCGCCACACTTGGCTGATTCTCGCCGAGGAGTGGATTCCATTATGGAACTCGAGTGAGTCGATCTGTGACCACGGATCAGAGGTCGCTCTTCCCTCGAGATCGGGGATTCGGCCCAGTCGGTACTCAAAGTTGTTTGGAGGCAGCGTTTTAATGAAATTGCAAGTGAAATTATGAGAATTATGGCAGGAAATCACTGTGGAAACAAAGGCCAAGTGCTAATGATGGGATATAATTTGATAAACGTAGCAGTCCTTACTATCATTATTACTTTCGCAGGTTAACAACTCCCATATCTCTCTTACTAAAAATAGGAGTTGATCGTGTTTACCGATTAAATAAATCAATAAATATAAATTCGAAATTTGAATAAAAAAATGGAATACTGTCTTTTAGGATTAAGGATCATTTGTTAATTTTTCAGTTAATTTAGAATTTGCTTTTTACCATTACATGAAAATGAGAAAGTGGGCCTTGATTGAACATTCAAATAAAAAAGATTATAAGGACAAATGAAATCATATAAATGTGCTTTCCTAATGCACCATCACGTGACCATCCTGATTTCATATGAGGTATCTCTACTCCGGGCTCATCTATTGGATCCAAAGTATAATAGTCTATAAATTCTGTGTTTTGAATGTTTTTGTCGTATTCTCCAGGAATATTTCCAGGAGGAGAATACCTGATTACCAATATCTTTCTTCCGTTTTCGTTACTGAAAAAGAAATGCGTGACCAGTGAGGCTAAAAAATTACAAATTACTTACGATGGATCTTTAAGTGCCCAACCAAAACCCATTTCCAAGGATGACTTCCAAGTCAGTGCTGAAAATTTTTCGGCCAATGATTGTTCATGTGCGGTTCTATCTTCTTTTGGTATACCATAGCATTTTGCCCCTTCAACAGACCAGAACTTAATACACTTATTTTTTACAAATTCGCAAATACTTTCTGAATACATGGTTTTATCTGGATCCGATAGGGGAAAGTCCAATTGATCCACAATACCATCCCCCACCTGGACCTCTTCATATAACGTTCGATCTGGAAATTTCCGCTCAGCCAACTCGAGTGCATATTTTTCAGCCCCTTCGGAGAGATTTAGGGACCACATAAACTCTGGGACTAACCAATCTCTGCGATGTCCATTGACGTCAATCAACAACTCCTCCGTAGTGCTATAATATTCTCTTCCTAAGCATGGCTGGTAGATCTAATATGAAAGTAATATCAACAAGTGGTCTTCAAAATAATAGATTTTAAGTAACCTTAGCAAGAACCATAAGTAGAAAAGGGATCATATTATTTTGTGTTTTTTTTGTTTCAAAGAAGTGACAAGTTTTTCCAAACATTTTTTAAATTCTAATATTTATCTAAAAGTAAAAATAAATATATATTTCGAAACTCCTAAAATACAATGAGGTCATTTATTTCACGATAGATGCAAAACATGCAGGAAGAAAAAGTGAAATTCTCAGCTGTTTTTGTTTTTCTCTTGGCAAGCAAATGGAAATAATATTTTTAGTTCTATATGCATAATATTTACTGAACTTACCCCGTGCAAACTCATTCACATCATGTTGTTGAATAAATACGGGTGTGTTGTCAGGGCCAAAATGCACCCAATATATGCCACTAGATGATAAGACCACTACGGAACCCTAAGAACCCCTAAGCAGTCAGTCATCTCAACTAGTGCTAATTCACTGCACTTTACAATCACTACACGTGTCCGATTTAGATTCGGATTAGGATGTCTAACCCGCTAATTGGAATCCATTTCAGTCTGACCCCCGAGGAACTTTGGTTCATTGTCAACGAAACTGAATTTCGCACCCAAGGTTAATTTGATTTGCGGCACATTTATCATATGAGGCCGGTCTATGTTTTCTACTTTCCATAAGGTGGGTGTGTTGCTAGGTCATATATGACCATATATTCCGATCTTCAAAATCGTACATTTAATATTTTACATGACTCAATAAATTTTTTAATATGCCAATCCTTTTTCCAGATTAATAAGGGATGTAGAAACTAATAATATCTTAAGAAAATAATTTTAAGTATTTAAATATCGATGAAAAACTGTAGATTTTGTTTAGAAAATAGGAAGTAACCCTTTGGATTATGCCCTTAGATCATTATAATAAGTAAGCCTAAAGCTCATTAGAAACTAACCAAACACACCCTCTTAAACTGACCCCCTTAAAAAGAGGGGCCTGTCCGAGAACCCAATTATGGAGCACCCTGTAGCCCCCAATCGTGCTTGCATAACCCACAGCCAACGCAATATGTATTATATGGTGTATTTAGACATTCCCCGCCACCGAAAAGGAAACCCATCCATCTGAGGCTCTTGTTGTTGTCAATTGTCGGGCCTCCGCCATATAATTTGCTTTCGTTTTTATTGAATCTCGGGCCCCAAACAAAATCGCTGCTCGCCATGGCGACAGTTCCCCTTTCGCGTTTGCGTTTCCCGGCTCATAATGAATTTGACTGGCTGCCAACTAACACTCACTAAACTCACCAAGTAAGTAACTAAGCGACCAGACGAGACGATTGGAAGAGCCGACGGGATCCGAGTGCTCAGGCGATATATGTGGAAAACATATAGCGGAAATTAAGCAGTGGCAGTAATGTTGAGGGCTTGGTGAAAAATATTTTGCGAATTTCGAAATCAGTTGAAAACCGTAGCTCGCTGGCAGCGCTCGTCGCGAATCGAGAGATCAGAGATCGGTATCAGATCAGTCGCATCCCGGAAAATGTTTCGCAAATGCCTTGCCAGCCTGGCTCTGGCTCCCGTCCCCAGTCCACTGGCGATTCCCAGGATAACCCCGATCGCCAGCCAGCTAGTCCAACGCCGCTCCTTCCACCAGGTGCCCCTCGAAAGTAGACCACCCAAAATCCTCATCACAGGTCAGTCGCCGCGCCACGTGGATGGGCTATATTTAACCGCATAGCGATGCGTTCAAGGCCAATTAGACGACCCAACCGGCTGTCCACCGGAAAATTTATCACCCCACCTATATAGCGCACACGCTTTACTAATTTTACAAAAATAATTCCATTTAAAAATATTTAAAAAAGTGTTACCAATCTACAATCTTCTACAATCACTTAACTTTAAATGAAACGTTTTATAAAAGTAATCGTCTCTCCTAATAAAAATGTGTATAACAAGTTAATAGTTTTTAAAAATATTAAAGTTTTGTGACAAAAAAAGTAATTCTTTAAAAAGTAAAAATGTATTTTCAAATATTCGTAAGATAATAACACTTTAAAGTAAAAATACTGGTAAGCTTGCTTAAAATCCCGGTCGATTTCGGTGTCCTTAATCTGAATAAAAAAATTAATGAGAAAAAGTTTAGGTTACATTTATATGGATAGATATAATATTAAAAAATTTCTTGAATAAAATATTTGTTGCAAATATTAGTCATTGTTAAATTGTGCTTCCTACTATTTGAAATTTTTGTGTTCATAAATATTTATTGCTAAACATTTTGGACGAAAAATAGATGCCTGAAAGAATGCTATGAAATATAATTGAATAATACTCGTACAGTTTTTAATACATATATTAAAATCATGTTTTTATTTAGAAATCGAAACACTAAATGTATTTCCATTAACATTTCATCAAAATTATATTATTTTACCTACCCATAATATTAATTTAATTTACCAGTAACATTTTGTACTAATATCTTTCAGGTGGCCTGGGACAATTAGGAATAGAGTGTGCCAAACTTCTGCGGACGCAGTATGGCAGTCACAATGTAATTCTCTCGGACATCATAAAGCCCAGTCCATCCATCCTGGAGAACGGTCCTTACATATTTGCGGACATCCTGGACTTTAAGGGTCTTCAGAAGATCGTTGTAGACCACCGCATCGACTGGCTGATCCACTTTTCGGCCCTGCTCAGTGCTGTGGGGGAACAGAACGTTCCTCTAGCTGTGAGGTAGGATATTTACTATATATATTATTATTCTTGGCATAGGTTTAGGTATATTTATTAATATTTTTCTTTCTTTTAAAATCCCTTGCAGGGTCAACATTGAGGGTGTTCACAACGTCATTGAGCTGGCGAAACAGTACAAGCTCCGCATCTTTGTACCTAGCACCATTGGAGCTTTTGGCCCCGACAGTCCCCGCAATCCCACGCCAAATGTTACGGTAGGACTCCTCCATCTATAGGCAAAAGTTTGTTCGATACTAAAGTCCCAATTCCCCAGATCCAACGTCCTCGCACTATTTATGGCGTTTCCAAGGTGCACGCCGAGCTAATTGGCGAATACTATTACCATAAGTTTGGACTGGACTTCAGATGCCTGCGATTCCCCGGCGTTATATCCAGTGACCCGCCAGGCGGTGGTACCACAGGTATATCAAATCGTATATGTAATCACCTGTACTTTCTTTGAAAGCCCATGCATGTCAATCGGCAGGAAAATATCTTTGAGTTACTTTTCCCCGTAGAAACTGTGTCGTCGGGCGCATTTCAAGCTTTATTTAATCCAATTTTGTATCATAAATGCCTCAATTGATGATAGTTGATGATAATCAAAGAGCATGACAATGGGCATAATTTATTCATGAGATAGTGGGTATCATGCTAACCGGGTAACCCATATTAACTTTTTCTTTTAACAATTGAATCTATTAATTTAATAGATTTTTCAAGTTCCTACATTATTATAATTGATGCTTAATGCTTTCACTTAGGTTTATTAACATTAGGGAAAGTCAATTTGTATTTAATTTTATAAAATAAATTCAGGAACACTTATGAAAAGCATTTTCTGAAAGTATTCTAGTAAACAACATTTCAAAGAACTAGTACAAATATCTGAATATTCTATTGCTCCGTTTGAGATATGTGGCCATTATTCCTTATTTTATTTTTTAAATTTTAGACTATGCCGTTGCCGTATTCCACGATGCCCTGCGACATGGAAAATACACCTGTTACCTGCGTCCCGATACAAGACTGCCCATGATGTACATTGAAGATTGTTTGCGGTGAGTGATATTAAGAAAATATTTATCAAATAAATAATATATCAATATATATAAAAATTACTAGGATTATTTCTTTGCTATTGGAACTAATTTAAGTAACTTGGAAAATTAATAAATATATTTATTTATATCCCTATTTTAGAGCCCTTCTGGAGTTCATGCGGGCACCGAATGAGCAGCTGAAGCGTCGCGTCTACAATGTCACCGCCATGTCCTTCACTCCCGAGGAGCTGTTCACTGAGCTGGGCAAGCACGTGCCCAATCTGCACGTGACCTACAAGCCGGATAGCCGCCAGTTTATCGCGGACGCCTGGCCGGAGGTGTTCGACGATTCGGAAGCTCGGAGGGACTGGCACTGGCAGCACAAGTACGATCTGGGCAATCTGGTGGACTTCATGGTCAAGGATGTCCAGGATAACTACATTAATGCGCAGCCGGAGCAACAGACGCTTCAGATCTGATTTGCTTTTAAACAAACAACCGCATCTAGTATTCTTAAGTAATGAAATTCAAACGCATTTAACACTGCATTTATCTAGTGAATACCAACACAAAACGCTGTACTACTGTTTACCTTTGAAAATACAGAAAGGCATTTATTGGAAAGGAAATTCTCCTACTGGTAAAATCATTTTAATGGGAATCCAAACTATAATATTAAAAAAATTCAAACTTATTTGGATTTATCCACAAAAACTTTCCCACAATAATTAATTCTAAACTTAAAATGGGCTTCGCAATGATTGCTTATGGTTTATTTGAACTCAAATACTATTTCTAAGCACCTTCCAGTTGCGATATGCGAGAGCTTATGTTACTACTTAGGTTAGTTGCAGTTAGTTGGGGGCTACATTGACCTGCCTTATGGGCTATTGTTCAGATATCAGACTCCTCTAGCTCCGACCCGCTGAGCTTACGGAAGTGATGCAGACAACCGCCGTGTGTGGCTATATACAAGTCCGCCTCGGCCTCGCTGCCTATTGACTTAACTTTGATTTTCTCAATAGCGTCTAAAGATTTTGGCGGCACTCGTTGCTCTGCGGATTCTGTAAACGAGCAGAGAGTGGAGAGAGTTGTCTATAAGTTTTGGATTTTTAACATCGCTGCCGTAGCTCTGGCCTGTTGCGCTTGCTCTCTAGATCTTTCACAAAGTGTTTTCATTATTCTCATTCATCGATGCGTGCTTTAAAGTTTGCTGATTACTCAAGGTTTGAATATATTCTCTCAACTTAATCTTAATATGTAATTAAATTTCATGTTTGAAATAGTTCAGGTTAATATTGAAATAGAAAATTAATAAAATAAAAATCTAATAAAATATTCATTCATTTGTGATCTTAAAGAATAAAGTCATCTATCAGCTTAATTGCATATTTAGATGACAATTTGAACTTATGGTGATAGACCTTAAAAGTAATCTATAACTAATGCTACGGATCAGCAACTTCACACTTGCGGAATTACATGTCAAATACACATTTCCAACACTTTGTGAAGGCTCTAAGCAATCGCCTCAAGCTGATTGAACATTTCACTTAAAATTATATTGCTTTTGTATTAGCTGATTGCAATGCTTCGCAGGTTGAACGTTTACGTATTGAAGTTAGTAAAGAGTTTAATTTCTTTAGGTAATTAAGTACAGTATTCGAACGTCTTTAAAACAAAGTATGTTCGACTTAGCATTTGTTTTTGTACAGTGGGATGTGTGCTTAACAATTTATACAGAATACTTATTATTTCATTCGTTTGCTGATTGTTATTTTTACAGATTTTCATTTTTGGTACGTGTTAAGTATGTGCATTGCTATTAATTTCAATTCAATTGTTTGTCTGCGTTAATTTGGCTTTTGAGTAATATGCGAACACTTTACAAATAAAGAGACGCGTCGCTCGGTGAACTGTTGCATGTGTTTCTTGTGCGTTTTCCTCCGTTAGAGTACATGTTCATTTTGGGTTATGTACATTTTCGAATTTGTTGTGTGAACGAGGGCCCCTAAATCATGTGCGACATCATGCAACGACTCACATCACGGTTAGCGCGATGCAAATGACCTTGATAATGCTGATGAATGCGCTGCTGATGATGCTGTTGCTGCTGTGGATGTTGCTGCTGCTGGTGTGCTGGAAAACTCGTCTCCGATTCCATCATCATGCCGCCGGTGGCCTGCATCTCGTAATCCATCAAACAGGCCTGTGTTCCAATTATTTGTGTGGCAGGCAGCGAAAAGAAATCTGCAAGGTGGAGGAGAAACCGATTAATAAGTGCAATCACACAGAAACATATCTGAAACATTCTGATTGATTAAATTAATATTTATAAATCTTGATAGTTTTGCAATTTAAATAAGAAAATGTATTTTCTTTCTGATTAAGTAAATTAGTATTTATAAATCTTGATAGTTCCTTAATAAATATACTGCCTTAACAATTTAAATAAGTAAATGTATTTCTTTCCTATTGATTAAATTAATATTTATCAATCGTAATAGTTCCTTATTGAATATGGTAAATATTGCCTTAAAATATAAACAAGATTTGCATTTACAAAATCTAATTTGTTTTTTTTTCTTATTTTTTTTAGTGTAATGGCAATGCAACGCAACACGTTGACGCTATCGATATTTGCCCCAATTACCGATCGTTTATTTATAACCAATTCGGAGCAGAGCGGCGTGTTCAGTCGTCGTTGTCATTTCTTATCTCCGAGTTAGTTTTTTTCTTTGCTTTTTGTTTGAGCTGATACCTTATCAAAACAATCGGGAACTACTAGGTAACATAGTTGAAACAAAGTTGAAAATAAGAAAAAAGACAAATAATAATACAAATCTTTCAATTAATGTACGATAAAATAATATATGTTCGGAAATTTAAAATTAGTATTTATTCAAATATTTTTAAAAAATAAATTGTAAAATAAATGTATTAATTTGAGACCAAAAACAAGAAAACATTTTTTTCCCAAATGTTTAAACCATTTCTAAAAATCGAGTATACCTTCTGCAAGGGTATATATTATTGATTCACTCTCGCTAGATATACACACTTTTTTTACCGGCTGTATATACACCCACACTCTGCCCGGTTGCCTTTGTTTTTCTTCTACTGTTGAAACACTTTTGCGAATGATTAAACTCGCGGGGTAAGAAGAACTCAAGCACTCTGCTGACCCCTTCATCGCCACAACCCCTTCCAGATAATCCCCTACTTTGCTGTCGTGTGTTTAGTCGGGCAAACACAGCGATATAATGACTGTCAAGCCGGTTTTCTCTTTGCTGAAATTAAGCGGCTGTCAAGTGCTTATCGTTTTGAGTACCGCCGTTTCTGTATGTCGGCGATAGCACAAATCGCACCGAATAAATGGCAACTGATAACCCAGGTCACTGAGGGCCACGGGGAAAAGAAAAACGGGTCGCAAGGTCAGATAACTTTGTAAATTTACAAGTTTTACGACACTTTTCACGCAACGCCAATTAAGTAAGCCGGCCAAAGGGCCCAAGGTCGAATGATTAAAAACGAAAATTACAGCTTAAATCATCAGGTGTGTTCCGGTTTTTAAATTCACAAATACAAAGTGGGTTTAATAAATCATTGGGATTTGCGTTATTTTCTTAATATCTTTAAGGTTGCTTAATATAATTATGATATTATTAGCAATGGGATTTAATTTAATCCTTTGTAATTTTAAAATTACGCAGAATGGACATAAAAAAATTGTTTATAATTTTTAAAATTAATTATCTTTTAGTTTTTAATAAAATTAATTTTTTTGAGTGTCTTTCGGTATTTTACTTGAACCGCAAAGTAATAAACTCGTTATAAATATTTTTATAAAGCAATCATAATAAATTATTTTTGATTTATTTATGATTATGTGCAAATGTTCAGAGGTTTATATGTTGAAGAAAGATAAATGGAGTTGTAAAGCTATGGGTTTACGGTCTATAAGTAATTAAGTAATAAATATTTAAAAAAATAGTATAGAAACGAATGTTTATAATTTGCATTTTAAAAACCCATAAATATATTTAGTTAATAATATTTACCATTGCAATACTGGGCGGCCAGGTCGGCTTCATCGTAGCGGCAGCGCTTGGTGTACACCGGCTGATCCTGATCGACTTCCTCGCCAGGAGAGCGACCAGGATTCATTCGCTTCTTGCAGCGCAGGACTTCCATTTCCAGGGGCAGGACTCCAGGCATCGACTGCCCCACTTCGTTATTATTATTGTTATTGTTGTTGTTGGCGTCGGTGGTCATGAAGTTGACAGCACGTGGATTGAACGGGTCCATCGAAGGACGCAGTGTTCCGGTTTCGAAAGTGGCGGCTGCCGACGGATCGCCATGTGCCCAGCACTCGAAATTCGTCAAAACCATCGCGACTCTGGGCTGCAGTGGAAATTCCCCACAAAAAAATTCCAAACGCAAAAAACGCGCGTCTCAACTGTACGAAATCGTGCGGCTAACTGCAGGCGCGCTGTGTTTTATTGTATACCGTATACTGTGTAGTATACAATATGGATTTGGCTGGTTAATTACCGCCGAATATACGCAGCAATTGGCAATGGCTGAAATAAATTTAATTAACACACGCAAGCGGGAGGCGCGAGCCAGCGGTTCGGCCAAAATGCGACTGCGATGACGGCAACTGTTAAAAATAAACCAATAAGCAAGTTTTTACATTTTGCCGCGTGCGCCTTTTGATTCACGATTGCTTTTTTTTTGGTTGTTGTTGTTTTCCTTTCGCTCCAGTGTGACCGCACTGCTGGTGTCGCAATATGGCGTTCGGCCCTGGGGTAAATACTGGAATATACTGAGGAACGAAGCAATACTACACTTGCGGTTGAAAAAATAGTGGTCACTAGGTCACAAACTTGTTAAAAATTATAGAATTTTTTATTAAACACGTGTTTAATATCACTTTTTAAAATATGTTTTACAAATAATAATTATGTCACGAAATAAATCGTTTGAAGATATAAAAATCGATGTGATACTTTGAAAAACTTGTTTTATCTTAATTTTTTAATATTTAGAAAAATAGTTTGTCGAATTCGTAAATTCATTATTTTATTTATTATTAAATTTATGTGATTAGAACTGTAAATAAATCATCAAAAATATTTTTAAAAACAAATTTATTTCGATAATAACGACCTATCGAATACCGACGGTATATTTTAGTATATTCTCATGACGCCCACGGTACTACCATTTTATCATGTGATTTGTGATTTGTCAAATATTTCTGATAACCGAATGGCAGGCCAAAGCAAAATCCGAAATTAAAAGGAATTATTGCTTTTTTCACTTAACCCGGGTATTATTTAGCTAGCAAAATGTCGAATAAGACCAAGAAAGCCGCCGGTGGCAACGGAGGTGCATCGAAACAAAGCCTCCAGCAGTCGCATGTAAGTGACATGAAAACCCCATTTGCCGGCTGGCCTAATCCCTTGTTTATTTTGGATTTTGGATTCCAAGGACTCGCAGGACTACAGCTCCTTTAAGACAGTGCTCTTCTACTGCATGCTCATCGTTTTCCTGCCCGTGGTGACCTTCTTCGTGCTGAAAGGCTTCGTTCTGGATCAGTTTCTCAACATTTCCGAAGTTAAAGTCAATATAGCCTCCGCCGTGGGAGCGGTCGTGGCGTTGCACATCGCTTTGGGACTTTATATCTACAGGGCCTACTTTGGGGCATCCGGCTCTAAGGGCTCCAAAACGGACTAATCCTCATCTACCCAGACTGTTAACCCATTTCCATTTACCTATAAGTCGGAAGGCACTCTTGTACATACATACCATATAGATACAATTGTTTACATGCCAGCGAGGGAGGAGAAAGTCGCCTGTAAACCGTGTGTAATCGTTTTCCATTGCATAAGTTTCGATAACAGCGTGGAAAACGTGTTGTCTAGTGTTCTGTGTGCATGATTTTGTATTAAAAAGACATAAATAAGTGAAATGCGTGTGCTATTCCGAAATTATTCAATGATGGAGGCCGTCAAGAGATTGCTGCCGAGGCCCCGCAAAAAGATCTACAATCTGGGCGCTTGCTTCGAGCTGGTGGATATTCCTAAGGTTAGAGGTGGACCATTAGAAGAAATTACTATTGGGGCTCTGTATTTAAAAGGGGAGGGCATTATAATTCCCCAACACAATCAGTCAGAGTCACGCAAGAAAATGTATCTATTATTTAATTCTAAGAACTGAGTGAATTCATGTAGCTGATTTTTTACCATGTGCAAGGCAGTGTTCGAACTCTGAATAAAAAGAAACAAACTATTATTAGAATGTCAGATAGGAACTTTGTAATTCCCAATAGGTAGATGGTTATTTCTGGTCGAAACAAGTCAATATTAATAATTATTATTATTTTTAAAGCAAGTATTGTCAAAAACCCCCATTTTAAAATCTTTATAACGCCCCTGCCACTGTTGTGGGGGTGCCACCTGCTCGGCGTTGCCACCTGTTAAGAATGATAAACAGCTGTTTTTAATAGCATGGGCGTAAACATAAATATTTCATGAATAGGGGATAATAATATTCTCTTTTAATGGAAAAAGCAATAAAACACTGCGAAAAGATGTAAACAAAATAAAAAACACACAACCAACTAGACCATTATTTATTATTATACACATTGGATCCCAATTAAAACCCTTTACTACGCCCATGCTTTGTTGTTTTGTGCCCCACAAGTTGGCCCGAAGAATTGGCTGAAATGATAAATCACTAGAAACGCCAGCGAGTTCACAGCACATGCCGCAGTCTGCCGCAAATTCGTGCCCCAGCCGCACGTCCTTGGAACTCCCAGCACACCTGCCGCTATTGATTGCAACCACCTGTTGGGGCCAAACACCCCCACTCGCGGAACCAAAATACTCAGCCACGTAGTCTTCAGTCAGTCGGTGAAATATGCTCCCACAAAACGCTAGAATTTGGACGCTGTGCGTGCAGACGGCTTTGTTAGCCACCTTGGTCAGGGGATCCGAGTCGCTCAAGGATCATCTCGTGGGCAGATTACAGGTTACTCAAAGGAATGCCCCCTTCCAGCTGCCTGCTAAACTTGTACCCTCTTTTTCATCCCCAACAGATATCCTACAATCCCAGCGAGCTGTCCGAATCCCGCTTCCTGGAGTACAGCAATCTATCCGATAAAATGCACCTGCGAGAGGCCATTAACAATATTCTAATACCCCGAGTTGTGGGCTCGGGAAATCATACCATCGTGCGGAAGTATATATCCGACAGCTTAGAAGATCTCGGTTGGAATGTGGAGATGGACAGCTTCCATGACGTGGCGCCGATCAAGGGAAAATTGCATTTCCACAACATCATCGCCACGCTGAATCCCAAGGCTGAAAGATATCTAGTGCTCGCCTGTCATTACGATAGCAAATACATGCCGGGAGTGGAGTTTCTGGGGGCCACCGACTCTGCGGTGCCCTGTGCCATGCTCCTCAATCTCGCCCAGGTCCTCCAGGATCAGCTAAATCCCCTCAAGCAGAGCAAACTGAGCTTGATGCTCTTGTTTTTCGACGGCGAGGAGGCCTTCGAGGAATGGGGACCCAAGGATTCCATCTACGGAGCAAGACATCTGGCTAAAAGATGGGAGCGTGAAGGAAAACTGGACAGGATAGACATGCTGGTGCTGCTGGATCTTCTGGGAGCTCCCGATCCCGCTTTCTACAGCTTCTTCCAGAACACCGAGTCCTGGTACATGCGTCTCCTTTCTGTGGAGACTCGGCTGGCCAAGCTTGAGCTCCTCGAGCGCTACGCCAGCAGCGGAGTCACCCAGCACGATCCCACGCGCTACTTCCAGTCGCAGGCCATGCGCTCCTCCTACATCGAGGACGACCACATACCCTTCCTGCGGCGAAATGTGCCCATCCTGCACCTCATTCCGGTGCCCTTTCCCGATGTTTGGCACAAGCCCACCGATAACGCCGCAGTGATTGATTATGCGACGACGGACAACCTGGCGCTGATTATACGACTCTTCGCTTTGGAGTATCTGCTGGGCGGAACCGAAGGCGAAGCCAAGTAGTCAAGTGGATCCCACCGTGAATCACAAATGTTGTATCTAACTACGGCCTTATCTAATTGACCTGTTCCCCATATCGAGGCATTGTTAAATATTCTTATACCTTACCTTTATTGTTGACGGACTGTGCGCTTTAAAATTACTTAAGCAGATCTAAAAATTATAATCCAAATATTTTTATACACATGTATTTATAGAAAATGCTTAGCTAATGACACGTCAAATTAATGTATATTTTGTAATCTTTCGGTTGTAAATTTTTTCGACTTACATATGTAGTCCAACATATACATAGTAAATGTACCTTAAAACAAATAACTTGTAAACTAACTGCACGGGTGGGAAATATTTAGTTAGTTTCTTGTCACAAGAGAAAGAGAAGCACATAATTAGATATCTAATTCTTTCTATATTGTACCATTGAACACTGATACTTTAGTTTAAAAAGTCGACGATTTAAGATTAAAATCAAATAACAATACTTCATTTCATTGCGTTTACATACATTTTTAAATAAAGGGTGTAAATTGTATTAAATATTTAAACCAATTTATCATTATATTCCTATTCCACTCTTGTGACCAAATGTTCCTTCCCTGTGCATTAAAGCGTCTCGTTAAAAAATGAGCTCCAACATCTATATATATCCATATGTCTATATGGCAAATTCGTAAACTAACTTAAGAACTAACTAAAATCGTTAAGCCTTGATTCAATACTATAGTTATTAAAAGGTGAATCAATCGCCACTCGTCGGAGGAGGTAGACAGTCATTCGATTTGGATGTATCAGCTTTCATTGAGGGAGTATCCTCGTTTGGCGTTTGCTCCAGTTTGGGCATGGACTGACCTTGCCCCTTAAGCAACTGCGCTGCATTCAGTTCCTTGGGCTTCTCCACAACCACTGCACTCAGTTCGGCACAGGATTTGGACTTGATTCTGCTATGATCGTGTCCATCGCCCTGACATTTCGTTGGAGAAGACGACTTCCTGCCACCGGGAGCATCACAAACCTCGCGAAGATCGGTGCGAGAATCTCGGCAGCAAACTTTCTCGATGCATTCCGCCGCCTGGCATTGCATCAGGCATTCCAGCGAGGCAGAGGCATTCTTATTGGTGGACGGATAGAACTCCGGTTGGATGGTGACCGCTCCGATTCCCTGATCGTGGAAATAGGCTCGCACCTGTTCGATGATCTTGAGGTAAAGTTTGGGATTCTGGAACTGGATGTGTATGGTGGCCACGTATCGGTGGGCGGCCAACTGCCAAATGTGCAGGTCGTGATAGCTGATAATCTCTGGGAATTTGGTGACCAGTGTCCGCTCAAAGATCTCCAAATCGATGGAACCCGGAATGGTTTGCAATAGGATCAGGCAGGATTCTTTCACTAAAGAAGAATAAGAAAATAATAATTTAAGTGATTAGTGAAAATGGATTAGTTGTATTCCGAAATATACCCACACAGAAAACAAAATTGACAAAAGATCAGATTGATATCAAAATTTTAAGTTATTCATATCATTTAATAATAATAAAGATTATGTTTAAAATATACTTAATTTGGTATTTTATATGATATGAGACATAAATTTGACATAAATCATTTTTTATTGATATGAAATAAGGTAGAATTGAACCTATTTCATATCCAATTTTTTCTGTGTAAATATAAACTGGAATATTCATTTTATTTTCTAGACTTACTGTAGGGATAACTGAGCGTGACCAGCAGGACACAGGAGAAAATGGAAAGCACAGGATCAATGAACTTCGCCGTATGCTGCTCATCCTCGGCCACATAGACGATTGCGGCACAAACGATCACGAAAATGGTACTGGACACATCCCTTAGCATTTCGACGGCTCCCTGGCGTTTGGTGGCAAAGTAAACACTGCCCACTTCCGCTTCGAGTTCCTCGCGTAACTGACGATCATTCCGGGATTTACTGAGTTGCCTTTGCATCGGTTCGAGCGATAGATCCAAATTACTGGACATTGCGGGACGATCGAGCACCACATTTCCGCCGGGTGTCAAGTGCAGAAAGCTTCCCTGATGCAGGGTATATCCTCCAATCAGCAGATAAGTCAGTCCATTCAGGATTAGGCCCACGAAACCCAGCATCATCACGGGAATCGGTAGATGCATCGTGTCCTGATGATCGATGTGCACCAGAGTTTGGAGGGCCTCCACCACCAGCGAAAAGGATAAGGAGGCCAGGATGATGAAGACAATCAGCATGGTCAATATATCGATCCTGGCCCAGCCAAAAGTGTTGCGCAGCTTCTGCTCCCGACACTCCCTTTTGGCCCGAGTTTGGGCCTCCGTTTCGGCCACGTTGACAATAAGCCCAGAACCATTGCCATTTACCTTCGTTTGGATAGGGGGAGGATCTATGGCCTCCGGTTTTTGTTTACTATGCTGTAAGAATTCAAGAAGAAAGTAGAAAACCAATTAATACCATTGTAGAATCGTTAGAAAAAGTAATAAAATATTTATGGTAACAATATTTAATGTTAGATCTTAAGGTTTGACTCGAATTAAATATAGGAATTCCATTTAAGATATCTATAAGTATTTATATAAATTTGGCAACTCTTCTATGATTTATTATTAAAAGTAACTACCTTAATTCTCTTTAATTTTCGGCTTATTGTTGTTATTATAAAAGTCTATGTTGAATAGACTAATTTATCTTCTATTGCCAAAATTTTTGTACAATGTTGTTTACCAAAAATGTCACATAGAAATAGAATCGAATGGAAATGTTCAATGATCGTCATGCTTTCTAAGCCAAATCATAACAATTGGCATTGGCCCATCGACAATGGTTGGCAGCTATTTAAACGCTCCGCTGATCGTCCGTCCGTCTGCCCCATTATATAAGCCCAAAATCAGCCCACTCAACTGTCCACACCTACAACATCGTCAACTGTTGGGAAGCTTTCGATTTCTGGTGTTTGGTTTTTTGGCCAAGTCTTGTTCGGTTTCTGCGGTTTTTTGGGCCTCGTCTTTGTCTTTTGCGAAACGTGCTTGGCACGCTTTCCCATGGCGGCAACGATTTTTGCATCCATTCAATATTAAAATATTAGCTTTGACTGCTCCATAAATTTTCAGTTGGACACTGCCTTTGGAAGTATTCACCTTGAATTTCAATCAATGTGTAGCAAATTTTTGAAAAAAATAATATTAAGTAAGAGATTTTAAGGGATTAGATTTTTATTATTTAAGTCTCAATATTATTATTATTATTTAAAAGCAAAATAAAGCTAATTACTCTGAAACTTATACCCTTTACAATCATTGTTAATATTTTCTAACTATCTGATCTTAAATCTTTTGCCATTTTCGCTTTCTAACAGACGATTTCCATAAAAGTAGGTGACCCATTTCGACGTATCTGATCAGAGAAACCCAGCCAAAATGAGTCTTTCCAATATCTCCGTGTAATCAACCTGATTTCATGTCACCTGCTGTGTAGACAGAGGCATTACTCTCGAGCAGGCAATTACACAGCAATCGGTTGATAAGCCCCTATGAAAGCAGTGACTAAATTGACTGATAAACCCAAATAATAACTAAGAGAACCACTCCCCAGGTAAAGAGATACGAATTTCGAAAATTCACCCATAAATTATCGAAAAAATCCAAACGAAACCAGTTCTCCGCAAAATAAAAAGGTGTTTGGAATGCGTTCGATACATTTTGTTGTGGTTTGCCTTTCTGGCCACAATAAAAGTTCAATGCACCAGCATCTGTTTCGACTTTGCACCAGCACGCGACATTTCCTGGCCAAAAAAAAAAATGTAAAACCGGCAATCACAGTAAAGTAATCACAGAAAAAATCAAGTTTCCATTTTATAGAAATATTAGAAATAATTTAAATAAAATGTAGGTAGTCAGGGACTATTTTTTATGAATTTTTTATACAAATAAAATAGTACAAATTAGATTTATTTTGCGAGTGCTTCAACAAACTTACCTTAATTGTAATAATGCAGCCGCCGAGTGCGAAAATGTTGCACAACATGTGATGACTGGCCATCAGCAATGTGAGTCCATGAGTCAAGTGGCTGAGGATCAGCTGGAGCACGAAGTAGCAGATGGATAGCACCAGCACGGTGTACAGGGGGATGGGCCTGCACCGCTGGAGAATCTCTTTCACCGGCATTATCTGTGGGAGGAACGCATCGAAAGTCGGTGAGAATTGATTGATTAAATATTTGATAAATAAATACTATACGGAAATGGCGTACGGAGAGGTCAGCACCTGACAACGAACTGCTCAGGGTGTGATCTATATAAATTGACTTAATTTATTGCTAAGACAAATTTACAATTCGCATGTTTATCAACTTGTCAACCAGTTAGTCTATTTTATTGGAAAATGAAAGATGTAAAAATATTAACTGTCTCTTTTTTATAGCGATTATTTGACCGAAATTGTATAGCTGTAATTTATATTCAGTAATAAATTAATTCTAGCCAAACAAAATAAATCAAATGGATAGTATTTCCAAAAAACATTATCAAAAGTACTTAAAACCCCGTCACCTCTATCAATAGATAGAACACCTATAATTAGCCTTTAAATCAGTGAAAACCCCTCCGAACTGTGTCAAGTTCAAGTCGCCAATGCGGGTTAAATGAACCGAACCGATTTGGAGCGATACTGCCGAGTTGAACCTGCCATATTTAGGGTTCAGCCCATGCCAACCCCGTATGCAAATCACCATCATCATGATCATCATGTGGGCATGGGCCTGGGTTTCAGCTCCTCCTGGTTTGCATGCAAATGAAGATGCTAAATGGGCTCGTTTTACCTGTGGCTACCTCAGCGTATCTCGCATCGAATCGAATCGATCGCCTGCGACATTGACGTAACTTTACGTGATCGTGTGGATATATGGCTACCGATTGTTTGTTGGCCGCCTCCTCTGTTTGTTGGCTGACTGTTTGTAACCCCAAGGTTGAACCCTATTTACAATGTTTAAATGCCCTCCGGAAAAGTAATTATCGAGGGACATGTCGCGGTTTAATGGGGTTTTTGGATTATCCAAATGGAAGGGCTAAAATAATTTAAGGGTCCAATTGGCCTTTAAATTAATTGTGTTTACTAGAATTTTATGTTTTCTGAATAATCAGATTATTATATCTAATGATAAGGGGTTCTTAATGTAATTTTCTGTTTTTAAACAATATGAGATCATTGTTTTTAAAACCCCATCCCATTTCAACATCAACCGATTCCTGATTTATATCTGTCGCTTCCATCTGGAATGCTCAATAAGTATACTACGCAAATGATCACTGTCGACCAGTATTCTATTTTATTAAATGATGCAACCTCCCCCTGCACAGTGTCGACTTTTAAATGAGCCAATTGCATTCCAAATTGTCACACGTGCATTTGCAAATAATTGGAATCGATCAAATGATACAATCCATTGTTTTAGTACCCCCTATATCTATATAGAAGGCATGTAATTAGAGGCTCAGTACAAAAGCGCTAAATGGCGCCTCGGGGGCACTAGATTGTGCACCCCGGCAAACAATCGAATGTTTCCCAAAGTCCCAACAGAGATATATTGTAGAAACAACAATTAACAAGATAAAGCTGGACAGGTAGCAACAAACCATTTAGATACCCAGCGGGAATGTGAGAAGTTGGTTTTTGTGTTCTTGAAATCCTGTTCCTTTTTGCAGGCGGCGGTGTAGGGATAGATAATTTCTGAGCGCTAAATGAGGGTGGGTTTCTGAGTAGCATCAATATCAGGCCATTTATGCGCTGTGTGATTTCTGTGGCACTACGATTATAATATTTTTAAACAAGAAAATCACCAACTTATAATATTCAAAAATCCTATGATTTACACCAAAACCAAAAGACTTGTTCTCACATTTAGTTTTAATTTTTAGTAATTTTAAAAGTCGTAGAAAAAATATTAATAATTGTTAATCAAAAAAATTAAACTATATAACATTATTATCATAATGTCTATAATGATAATATTAATTTATTTTACTCAACATTTTTCAAATAATAATAAGGATGAATGTGGGATTCAACCAAATTATAGAGAAAAGCCACGGTAAGACGATTAAAATATTTGATCACATTTATCAAGGAATTACATTAAATTACAAAGAAAACTATTGTTGCTTTTTACATTTTTAAACATTTTCTGTGAAATAAAATAATTTGATCGTCAGATCGTGGCCTAAGCCATTTTTAAGTGTTGTTAAAATATAAAAATTCGTGTTGGTGGTATTGATAACACGAAAAATGCCTAACATACCAATAATATACGTAACCTTTAATGATTACGGTCCCTGAAAAGTATTTTTTAAACGAAATACTTATTTGGCGCCAAAGTGTGACCGGACTTTACAACGAAATTTATATCAAATCTGCATTTAGTATTATCAAGTATATGATGCAGGGTCACATCATTTTTAAATTTGTTGGAAAAAGTGAAAAAAAGTGAAAATAGTTAATTTTAATCTAAAAAACAATAAAAAGGTGAGTGATAAAATGAATTTTGTCTTTTTATAACCTTTATTTCAGCGTTACAAAGGTTAGTATCACAGATATTTTCGCCATTAATAAATATACGCCTCCGGATGCTATCTTCAACACAAATTCTGCATTTTAGTGACACTTGAAATGTTTTTAATCTTTACCAGTGGTAAATGGTGTGAGGTGTTCATTAAATGGTTGTATAAATAGTACTTCAGTACTAACTTAGTTGTTTAACTTAATCAAAATATTACATTTATTTCAGCCAGGCCGACTGAGACTTCTTGGGACCAGAAGTGTTGCGCCTGCGTTTGTCATATTTTATTTTTTCTTCTCATAGTTTTTGATATAGATACCCGACATAAAACAACTGAACAGAGGGTAAATGATCGGCCATGGCAAACCAGGCATAATTTCTGGAGAGATCCTTTAATTTTGTGCGGAGACCTAATAATGGTAATTACTCTTATTATTATTCCTGGTCTTACATTCATATCTAAAATATGTTTGATATTTTCAGAAGACAGACAAGAAATGGATATCTAAGTACTGCATTCGGCCAAGCAAAACCCGGGAATGCTTCATTAAAAATTTGTAGTTCCAATGCTTCGATAATAAATACACAAACAAATATTACAAAAAAACATGATTTTTATTGTGGAAAATCAGATACTGAAAAGCAGTGCAAAACCAAAACTGCGAGGGTCTGGAAAAACCAAAACTGGGAGGGTGTAGAAAAACAGATATTGCAAGTGGAGGAAAACCATAACTGGGTACGTGTGGAAAATCTATAATGCGGGAAGTCGAAAAACCAGTGGATTTTGTCCTGCATTCTTCTGCCAGAGATCCAGATAGAAACCTCATTTCCCCCTTACTTTTTGTGTCACCCCCGTGTATTTTGAAACCAGAGATGGAAGAAATGTAAGGGGTGAATGAGGTTTAGTCCCTTCCGCTTCTATGGAGAAACCTCTTGAAAATATGTTATTTTCCAGAGGAATTTTCCCGGTGGGATACTCCCCTAGACATGTGTTTGGATGTATAGATACTATATATATGTATCTCCCAGTTGTTCCACTTGCCACAGCCACTAAATGTTCATTTCCTCAATTTGATTTCATTTTCATTCGAATTGGGAGGTGGGTGGCGGTCGGTGGGTGGTGGAAGGCAATGGAACAGGGGCTCGAACACGAGATAACAAAAGTTAAACGGAGATATAGATGCAGAGATACGGGTATTCAGGCATAGGAAACCTTAGTTCGTATTTTGTAATAGTTGCTAGGGGATAAAGAAGATAACATTGTGATTCTCTAGATAAAATATGGTGTGATGGCTCTTAAGTCTTGTAGGCTCTATAAGCCCATTTAAAATAAAAATGTCACATTAGAAATGGGGCTTTGTTTTTAGATTTAATTATTTGCATCTAAAAATTGGAAAAAAAAAAAATTAAATACAAATACATTAAATATACATTAAATTAAATATAATACAATCTAAACTGCTTCGTTATTTTCTTAAAATTTAGAACATTTTGTCAATGGATCACGGTCTTTAAAAAAATATGTTGAAGAATTTATGAAAGGTTTAATCAAAAGGCATTTTACTTTGTCCAATATCTTCTCGATTTTTTTTATATATCAAGACGTGATATTTTTTTACCATTTACCAAAATATTTGATTACCCTCGAATCCGGACTTTGTTGGCCTGGGTAAAATCCAGATCGTAAATCTGCGCCAATGCTTGACAACTCGATTGTCAATTAGATCAATGCAACAACTCACTTCATCAATTGAAAGTATCAACAAAAAGCGAAGCTTACAATAAAATTCGGGACCAATAACTTTGGTTTTTTGTTTTGATTTGCCACCAGATGCATTAATTCTGTTTGTTTGATTTTTCGTTTGGGCCATCGCCTGCATACAAATTAGAATTGGCAACAAAAACCATTTGTACTTTGAGTTTTGCGTAGATTTTGAATTAAAAAATACTTCCTATGCAGGTCCCTGGCCTGTTTTTATATAAGCCAACCAAACCAATCTAATATTTTTGACCATTTCACACACGTTGACAAGGTCGTCGATGCCTTTGGAATTTTTAATTTACAAGGGAACGCAAAACGAGCGGATTTTGTTTAAAATTCTATCAATATTGTTGTGTCTATCACTGGGCCATAGACAAAGTGTGCTGCCAATATTTTATTACTTTGTTGTCGCTGGCAATTAGCTATTGCCTACAGGCGATATTTGAACACTTTTCGAACGCGCCAAAAGCAGACACCCTGATAAGCAGACAGAGATAACTAGACATTGCCCCCCTATCGCTATCTCATTAAATGGGAATTGGACAGGTCCGCTGATAAGAATTATTTTCAAAACAATATCGAAAACAACCCGGCTTCGGGTGGGTTAAAATACCATCGCTAGACGGGGGATTTGATGGGTAATGTTGATAACAACGCATGTTGCTACCGGCATTCTATAGATTTTCAGTGATTGTGAAATTGAGAACCTGGGATTAAATAGATAATATTTTATTTTATTTTATATTTTAGTACATAGATAATATTTAATATTTTTCAAGAAATACAAAATGTTGTCAAACTAAAACTAATCTGGTTAATATTGGATTTGACTTTTTCTGACTGACTAATGAAACTCAATACTTTACTTAAATGTTCATAATACATTGTACATACATATGTATTTTCTGACGAGACTGCACAGCCCTGACCACCTGTACATAACATGTGCTGGGGCCCACGATTCAATGAAATATTCCCATTAAAATAAACAAAGAAGTGTAAAAATTTTAATTACAATTTTATGCACCACGATCTACGTGAGATCTGCGCCTATACCTATATATCCATGAATGAGACGCCCAGCAAAGCACTTTCCCTGCATCCTCATCAGAAACGTGATCAACTGGGATATGTGAGATTTTGATGATGATATATAAACCCATTAAAATAATACACAAATTGATATTAATGCTGATTACTAAAGACCCACTTCAATTACACTTAATGACTCAAGTTTGTAATACAAAAAATTGAATTAAATATATAAACATACAGTTGCGGTAGAAATTATAGATTTAATAAAGGTTTTACTGCTTAGTTCTTTTATAAATTAATAATTTAAGATAAATTGAAACTAAACCAAACAATAAATTTTTGTAAACATTGTTTAAAAATTGTAAACGAAGAAATCGGATGGAAATGTAAACTTTTAACCTGATGTTAGTTTATTAACGTAAAATAATTGCTTCTCTTTTTGATTTAATTTTTAATCTGATAAATTTTGTATGATAATAAAACTATTTTAGAAAATCTATTTCTATAAACAAATCCTAGTAATTTAGCCCCTTTCGTTTGTTTATATTTTCATCAAATAACGGATGGGTAATTGTTTATAATATTGGGAACGCGGCTGGGCTCTTCAGAACTTTAGCCAAGGCCCGGATCAATTTGCATTGAATTAGCTTACAGTGAGAATTTGTTTTTAGCTCAATCTTAGCAGTAGACAGACAGATATAACCTTTAATTAGCATTAATTTCGATCGAACTTATTTTTATACCCCGCAGGCAGATGGTGTTATTTTAGCTTTAGTAATATTTTCGGCTAATATTTTTTCACATCGGTGCCAAGAGGCGCGAGGCGTCTTAATAATCACTTGCTAAATGGATTCACAGTCGGGACTGCTAACGAATCAGTCATCTATATATCTACAAATATCTAAAACTGCGGCATTAAGGTGTGTTTTTCGATTCCTGGACCCAGATACACAGCCGAATAAAATTCGCACAAGGCCAAAAACACTCTTATCAGTCTAGACCCCTTGGGATTTTGGCCTGGAACTGGAAATTTACCGTCTTTTGGTATGTGATAAGCGGAAAACGCGTGCGTTCCTTGTTCGTTGGCTATTTATAGCCGCGCCACTGTAAATTGCTTTTGGAAAATGTGGCTTTTCCTACTTTTTTTTATATTGTTATTATTGTTCACACAAAACCCACACGCACGTCCGCGATTCAAAATATTTCGAGGCACACGCGTTGATTTTTTTCGGGAGCAAATTAGCGAGCGGTGTTCACTGCAGCGCGGCTCAAAAACGAATGATCGCAAAAGCCGACGCAAAATATATGGCAAACTAAACGGAAAAGCAAGGTATTTTGGGCGAGCCGACTTATTTATACCCTTTTTTAATGTTACAAAAATAGTTACAAATTTATTTTTAAAAATCCAACCCCTAATTATTTTTTATGTTGTTAGTTTTAAAAAATTATATAATAAAACTTTTTTAAAATTGGCTATTTTTAATTTTTCAATGCTTTATTTATGGTTATGATTACCGTAAAATATTATTTAAAATATTTATTTAAATTTTGTTTTTCCGAATCATAGAGACGAAAGTCGTAATACCCTTTGTAAGAGTATGAAAGGCAAAGAGAGATGGTCGAATAAAAACAACAACAGCAATGACCACAGCCGGCAAAACAAAACGAAATGCCTGCGAATTGAAAGTGAGCGTAAAACTGCACGTGTGTGTGTTAACAGTGGGTGGGCGAGGGGGGTCGTAGCGATAACGTCAGAGAGAGAGAAAGCAACAGTGATAGTGCTTGTGTGGGTGAAAAAAGTGCGTGAGCAGGTTGAAAATAATCAGCTGGCGGAGAGCAATAAAAGAGAAAGAGAGATAAGGAAGGGGGAGGGGGAGCAGGTAAGCTTGTTTTTTCGGGAGAGAAAGAAAGGAGAATAGAAGAGCTCGTTCATGCATGTCTGATCACATGTATGCTTGTATTACAGTTATTTTATTATGAGGCAACAACAATTTTCTAATGATGCCTATGTAAATATGTATGTGTGTATGTACACACATATGTAGATTTATAAGATAATCACTGCATTACATCCGCATTTGTCAAACGCACTAATCTATTTTGTATGTACAAACATATATGTATGTATGTATTTAAATAACAATAAAATAGCGCTATAATTTAAGTATTTTTAGACAGGGTGATTCAATCAGAATATCTAGAGAACATTTTATATTGATCCGAATTTTTATATTCAAGGGCACAAAGATACAAAATAAAACTGAGAACAAATAAAATATGTAACTCAGTTTCTAATTATTTTACCGATACTTTTTTAAACGACGACACTGGCTAGTGCTGATATTATTATTCTTGACCGCAACAATGTGTATCCATATCAATTATTTTACCACAAGCTCACTTTTATTCAACCGCTTATCGGTGTTGATAGCACGGCAGTTAATCCTTAGTTGGCAGATTTTGAACAGATAACAATAACACTACTACGATGCTCTCGGTTTTGCAGCTCAAAGGCGACTGCCAGCTGAATTCTTTGTCCCCAGAACCCAAGCCGTGCCGAATTAAACGAGAAAATTGCAATTAAACCACGCACATTAGATAAAAAGTCGGCGGTTTGACTTTGGACAACCAAGGTGGTTTCATTTCAACTGGGACACGGCTGGCTTATGTCTTGTTTGTCAAAAAATATTCATAAATTAAGAGCAAGTTGAGCAGAGAAGCTTATCTTTCAACTGTAATTACCACTTAGCAAGTGATTAAACAAGATAACCACAGCAAGGTCGATAAACTATAAATAAAGAAGCGGTGAGGTTTTTACAATGTTTCCCAGGTACCCATAGTTTATAATACATATATATTTTTTTTCTAAATTTAAAGAATTACAGAACATTCTACAAGACATTTTGAAAAACGAAAGTTTTTAAAATAAACAAAAAGATCGTTACTTTTTTTGCATTTCCCCTCTGTCTGGCATCCCTGTTCAATTGACAAACGACACTCTTATTTCTAGTATTTTTCGGTATTTAACAGCTGACTGCGGTATATTTTAATGGTTGAGGCGAGGCGCGGTCACACTAATTTGGAGCAAAAAATAAAATAGAATTAGGTTTTTAAGCGTTAAATTCATCTAATCGAGTTGGTCCAGTGTGCCGGTACGAAATGGCCGCCATAGTACTAACCCGCAATCTCCAGCTGGCCAGTGAGTACGCTTGCCTGCGGCCAAAAACCGCCAGGCAAACGAATTATGTAATATGACGTATCGCAGCACTGTTGTGGCTAACTTTTGCCTTATTTCCTGATTTTTAGAGCACCATGGCAGTGGCGTGGTGGGAGTCTTGTGCCTGCGCGGATACTCCGCCGCTGCTGCGCCCCCGGAAGACGGTCCACGTCCGCTGAAGACCACCAATCCGGCTGCCATGAAGCGCGGAACTGGCGGACGGAGCAGTTTCAACGGGATTGTGGCCACCGTTTTCGGAGCCACCGGCTTTGTGGGTCGCTATGTTTGCAACAAACTGGGCAAATCCGGCAGCCAGATGATTCTGCCCTATCGCGGTGACGATTCGGATGTAATTCGCCTAAAGGTCACCGGAGATCTCGGCCAGGTGCTGTTCCACTTCTACAACCTGGACGATCCCGCCTCCATTCGGGAAGCCGTCAAGCACTCGAACGTGGTCATCAATCTGGTGGGCAGGGACTTCGAGACCAAGAACTTCAAGTACAAGGATGTCCATGTCAACGGAGCCGAGCGGATCGCCAGGTGAATATGATAGGGATATCTTAGAGATAGGAGTCTTGATAATCAGGAGGATATCTATTTCTAAAAGAGTGGCTAAAGTTGTTTTTTAAGGTTTATCATCTTGGTATTAATAATAATAAAATTAATTATATTATATTAATTATAATAAAAAACTATTTTATTTAATTAGAAGATTTAACTTTTTGGTACCACAAACGTTCCTTATAGATATTTTCTTTACTTGTATCTTATAGATATGAATTTTGCAAATTTTCAAATCTAATTTTTTTATTTTAATTTGCATTTTGTATTTCCAAAAAATCAATCATTTTTGTCAATTTTATCACCTAATTATTTGTTTTAATATATTAATTTATGATTCTAACTGCCTTACTCATTTAAAGTAAATAAACGAATTTACAAATTCGCATTTCTAAAAAATCAAAAATTTTTTGGCAATTTTATCACCTATTTATTTAATTTAACATAGTGTATTACAAATATTTTACTGACAAAACGTATGATTTTCACTCCTTTATGGAAAACTAACATGAAAAAAAAGAATCTTACAGTTAAACTAATTACTTTTACCTTACCATGATTAAATTAAATATATTTTTAATACATTCCTATCCACTCTTTCCAGAATCGCCCGCGAGGCTGGCGTGGAGCGCTTCATCCACCTGTCCTCCCTGAACGTCGAGGCCAATCCCAAGGACCTGTTCGTCAAGGGCGGCAGCGAGTGGCTGAAGAGCAAGTACGAGGGTGAGCTGCGCGTGCGCGACGCCTTCCCCAATGCAACGATCATCCGTCCGGCGGATATCTACGGCTCCGAGGATCGCTTCTTGCGCTACTACGCGCACATCTGGCGGCGTCAGTTCCGCTCGATGCCGCTGTGGCACAAGGGCGAGAAGACCGTGAAGCAGCCCGTCTACGTGTCGGACGTGGCCCAGGCCATTATCAATGCCGCCAAGGATCCGGACAGCGCAGGTCGCATCTACCAGGCTGTGGGGTGAGTCGATTGAGTCGATTTAATCCAAATATTTTTAGTAACTAATTTCTGATACCACCCCTCTTTCAGACCCAAACGCTATCAGCTGAGCGAGCTGGTCGACTGGTTCCACCGCCTGATGCGCAAGGACCAGAAGCGCTGGGGCTACATGCGCTACGACATGCGCTGGGACCCCACCTTCCTGCTGAAGGCCAAGCTGAACAGCTTCATCTGCCCGGGCACCCCAATTGGCGGCCTGCATCCGGCTCGCATCGAGCGCGAGGCTGTCACCGATAAGGTTCTGACCGGTGTGCCCACGCTGGAGGATCTGGGCGTCACGCTGACCACAATGGAGCAGCAGGTGCCCTGGGAGCTGCGTCCCTACCGCGCTGCCCTCTACTACGACGCCGAGTTGGGCGAGTTCGAGACCCCATCGCCGCCCAAGTGCATCGAGGCGCGCGACGAGCTGCGTTTGTTTGCCTAGGCAAAGGGCGGCAATTGTCTGTGTTGATTGGAAATTTTTAGTTTGAATTGTTTAAGGCGATGCGTCAATAAAGAGAAGTCGAAAGATTAAGAGGTCTTGTTCTGAATTAAAAATGAGTAATTTAAATTAAACTAAAATGTTTGTAAAATGTTGGGAAACTTGCTTAATCAAATATCCCTTAAAAAATAATTTTAGATTAAAAGAAAGAAAATATTTATATGGAAAAATTAAACAAAAATTTAAAATTTTAACGAAATAAATTATTGTAATATTCTTTTTATTAATTGCCTATTTAATTGAATATTTTAAAATTTACATTCTTTATATTCAAACTTGGCTTAAGGCCACAGCAGCTATAGCTACTATTAAACACCAAGTTTATAGGCAATTTATAATTACCTTTTCAAACTGACAATAAATAAAATTTTTTTTTATATTTAAAAAAAAGCCCAACTGTTTTTAAATATTTATGCCAAACAAATAGGTTGGCAGTCCTACAACGCTTTAGTACTTTTTCGAGTTCCACCGTGTGGCAACGCCCCGGCGAAACCAAAACGATTTTTCTTCCTTTGCGACCAGGAGCTTTTCTGCAGCCCAGCAGTTTCCCCCGAAACTTACGCCCGTGCAGATTTATGGCCGGAAAATCATAGTACGGAAAATTCGATTTCTCAACCTATCCCTGTGTGTGTGTGTGAAGATTTTTAACTTTTCAGCTTGGTTAAACGGAGAAAAAACAACAACAACATCGACACAAGCGCGCGCCCGCCTCTCTTTTCGCGTTTTTGTGCGTGTGTGCGTGAGAGTGAGTGTGATAATTATGGCATAAGTGCATAAAAATTATGATAGCGGAATTCCCACGGCCAACGACGAATGTGAATTGTGACAATCGGAAGAGCAGGGAAAGCCAGGAGGCGGAAAATTCGCCGAACGAGAGCCGCAAAGGCGTGAAATCGATCAGCTGTGACGTCGGCCGAAAGTTTGGCCAAAAGAAAAGGTCAAACAAGCAGCAGCAGCAACAACAAAAGTCACAAGGAGAGGAAGAGGAAGAAGAAGAGCAGCCAGAACAACAACAAGAAGAACTGATTGAGAAGCTCTGTCAAAAGCGAGAGGTAAAGGATAACAAGAAGAAGCAGAAAGGTGAGAAGGATAAGAGGAAGCAGGACCAGCAGCAAAGGAAAAATCCCAAAAAGAAGAAGCAAGAGCAGCAGCAAAGGGCAAATAAGAAGAAGAAGAAGCAGCCTCCCCGTGTACACGGCAAAAAAAGCCTTGTCTTATTTTTAGATTATTCACGCCAGTGTCCCGCCATCGAAATTGTCAACGTCGCCCCAGCCCCAGACTGGTGTGACGTCAGAGGAGCAGGCTGCCATCGCGCTAACGGTAAACACGCCGCTAATTACGGCACTTCGAGTCATTTCGAACATAAAACCAAAATTTATGCTCTATATCGTCACCTGGAGATCGGTGGCCCGCTCGAACAAGTGCAACAGCAACAGCAGCTGAAAGTCGGCCAAATCCAAATCCGGCTGCGCTTCAAAATGCTCTTCGCCGAGCCACCGCCCCCGCCCACACAGGGCCACGCCCCCACCGCCCATGGTCACGCCCATGCGGCCCACGACGATGCTATGCCGGATGCGCCACCTAGCGGCGAGCCGGTGATCCCGATGCTGCAGGATCAGCAAAGCGGCGAACTTATGGCAGGTGAGTGATCATTATTTGTTATAATAATTACTATTAAAAAGTATTACAATGGATCCTTTAAGAAACAATATTTCCATAATTATATGGAAATTAAATAGTTATTGGGTTCTGGGGTCGAAAGTGAAAAACTCAAGCACCTTAACGGAATACAACAAAAATATTATTGCTTTCGTCATACTAAACGAATTTATTGGGTATCATTTTTGAGACTGTCAAAGCTTAAAATATTCTTGTATAAACATTTAAAATGTATGCTATAAAACAATTTTTTAAATATTTAAGAAAGCTATGTTAATCATCATTATATGATGAAAACATTAAAACAAAATCTTGGTACGTAGGCATTTAAAAAGATATGACTCATTTATTAAAATGACTGAAATCGCTGATGAAAAGTATAATGTGACCTTTTCGAAAAATAAATATTGAGAATTTCTTATTTTAGGGAAAGCATTTTAAAGGTCAAATGTCAGTTTAAGAGGAAATTGCTGAAAATTGTACAATGCAAACAAATTATTCGATTATCGAGTATTACTATAAAAGAGTAGATGTCCATATTATAAGATTTGAAATTAAAGGTAAGGTATGTTATAGTTAGGGGGATATGGAAAGAATATAAGGCGTTCTAGGTGGGTTTAGTGTGGTGCTAAGATAAGGTTAGGCGGGATTTTACTGGGATATTATATATCATTTTGAAATATGAAAAAATCAAGTTAATATCTATAGCCAGAAATGCATTGCTAATCGGATATTGCTAGTTATTTAAATACCAAGAGAGCAGCACAGATTTATTTATGGGAAAACTGTTTATTCGGAGGCACACTTAGGCAACGTATTTAAGGGCACTGCACGGAAATATGTAAAATAATTGTTAATTACAAATTACTGTTCTGGACTGTTTCAGCTAAAGTTCTCGAATTTACAATTAGAAAGAATTTAAAACGAAACTTGCCTATGATGACTGTTGTTATAGGCCATGATAAAAATCAATCTTTACTTAAATTAATATCGTTTGAAAAATGAAATAAGATTTGTAGTTTAGGATTCTCCTATTTGCGTCTTAAGGTGAAATTCTACAATATTATAGTTCTCTTTAATAAACAAAACAAACTTATACTGCACAAATTGATGAATCAGATTCGGAAATTGCTTGAAAAATTGGCTCAAAACAAATTTAACCCATTGAAGGCGACGCAACTAAGTTTATTACTGTTTTCAAAAACGAAATATTAAATATTTTCCAGTGCAGCCATAACATTTTTTGTTAAGGCACTAAGGCGTATAAATTGAATTTTAAACTGTAGTTGTTAAATTGTCTGTCGCTAGTCAGTTCACGTTACGGAGTGCTTATAATGGCGCAGTTCCAGTTTCTAAGACCCCTAGAGAAAATATTGGTCAAGCATTCGGGAATAGGAAAGGCAAGTGTTTGGCACGCCGTGATCGTGACCTTTACGCACTACTTTGCCTGGGGTCTACTGATAGTGCCCTTCATCGAGAAACTCTCGGTATCCTTTGGAAATCGCGTCCTTCTCGTCGATGGGTTGGTCTATGGAGTCCGTGGAATCCTGGGATTTGTCACCACGCCTGTGATGGGCGCCATTTCGGATTTTCGGGGTCGCAAAGTGGTGATGCTGTTAGCTGTGGCCACTACCTTTTCACCGATTCCATTCATGATGATGAAGAGCTGGTGGTTCTTCGCCATACTCACCGTTAGCTCCGTTTGTGGCAGCACTTACTCCTCGTCCTTGGCCTATGTGGCGGATGTCACCAGTTTGGAGAATAGATCGAATGGATATGGTATTTTGGCGGCCAGCTTTGGTGCTAGCATAGCTTTTTCCCCGCTTCTGGGCAATTTCCTGATGATGTCCTATGGATCGGCAGCAGTGATTTTGATTGCGACCATCATTGGCCTGATGAACATCCTTTTTATCATTTTCGGAGTTCCGGAAAGTCGAGTTTTCAAAGAAAATAGCTTCGTCTTGGAGGAAAGATATGACAAAGAAGATTGGAACGAGTTACTTGAAGAAGAGGAGGATGGGGAGATAACCATAAACCTTAAGGAGAGGAAACAGATCTTAAACGGTGAGATCTTGAAAAATAAACCGATCCTTGTGATAAAGGAAGAAGAACTTACTGAAAAGGAAATAAACGATAGTACCAATAGAAAAACCTCGGATCTCTGGCAAGTTCTAAGTGAAAGTCGTAAGGATAAAAATTTACTAGTTATATACCTCATATCATTCCTATCGATATCTGCCTTCAACGGCGTAGACTCCACTGCGCCGGTTTATTTGAAAACCAATATGGGATTCGAGTACGAAGAGGTATCCCTGTTGTTGGGATTGCTATCCTTGCTAGGGATCACATCGAATCTTCTTTTGGGCTACATTATGAAGCTAGTTGGAGCGAAGGGATCGATCCGTTTGGGCCTGTTCCTCCTGCTATCGCAACTGCTTTGCTTTGGATTCGGAAAACGTCATTGGATCTTCTGGATGAGCAGCATATTGGCCGCCATGGCAACCATTATTCCGGCTGCCAACAATGCGGTGGCTTCGATTTACGCCAGTCCCGAACATCAGGGCGCTGTCCTTGGCATTCTCTCGGGGATCGAGTGCTTGAGCGAGGGTCTGGGACCCGCCATCTTCGGAGTGCTCTTCTACCTCTTTCAGGAGGATTCGAGGGATTCTCAACCACTGAAATCACCCATCTCAGCACCTTTTGTTCTAAGCGCCATCGGGGTAATTGTGGCCATCCTTCTGACCAGTTTAATTAAAAAGGAGACTCTCGAAAAGGAAGAAAATGAAGGAACCGCGGATGAGGATGAACTGGAACCGCTAACGAAAATCGTCTATAAGGGCGAGAAAAATGATGGCTATGTAAAACTAGAGATAGATGACTAATACGATTCGGACTGTAAAGAGCGTAGCTTTAAATAAATGTTATTAAATTAATTTAAAAATGCGTTTTTAAAAGTTCCCTAAACTTTTTTTTCGGATTAAGTCCGGCGATACACAGAAAAAAACCGATGTGAAATAGGGTTGTTTCTACCTTATTTTATATCAATAAAAAGCCGATATGATTTATGTCAAATTTAAGATTCAAACATATCAACATGATATTTTATCATATCATAAAAATACCAAATTTAGTATTATTTGAGCAAATAATACAAGAAAAGATTAACATAATCTTTATTCATATCAAAATGATATGAATAATTTGTTCTTTAAAATATCAAATTAACCATTACCATTTTTCTGTGTAGTAATCAGTATTTTCGGAATAAAGTCAACGATGAATATCGAAAACCCCCCCTTTAAAATAAATTAGCTACGCTAGAGGACCATAAAAATAACAATTTCAGTTCAGCTGCATTCTTAAACAGCACAACTTAGTATTCGCATCGTTGTATCCCCAACAAAGAGATATGTCCAAGTTCGGTGTGAAAAAATTACTCGTGACACTCGCCTCTATTTCGGGAGTTGGAAAGCCGAGTGTTGCCCACATCCTGATCGTGGTATTTCTGGAATATTTCGCCTGGGGACTGCTAACCATGCCCATGATAGCCACTCTGAAGGAAACCTTTCCGGATCGCACTTTCCTGATGAACGGTTTGGTCATGGGCGTCAAGGGAATACTCTCGTTTCTATCGGCACCTCTGATCGGAGCTCTATCCGATATCTATGGACGAAAGATGTTGCTGCTGATCACAGTGATATTTACCTGCCTTCCGATCCCCGTGATGACGATCAATAACTTGTGGTTCTTTGTGATCAGTTCGATTAGTGGAGTTTTGGGTGTAAGCTTCTCTGTTGTCTTTGCCTATGTGGCGGATGTTACGACAAAGGAAGAGCGTTCCAGATCTTATGGACTGATATCGGCCACCTTTGCCGCCAGTTTGGTGATTGCCCCGGCTTTGGGTAACCTTATAATGGATCTTTATGGAATTAATACTGTGGTACTTATAGCTACAATGGTTTCTACAGCAAATGTGATGTTTGTGCTGTTGGCAGTTCCGGAAAGTTTGCCCAGAAAAGTGAGATCCACCGGACTGAGCTGGAAACAAGCGGATCCATTTCTTTGCCTACTAAGAGTTAGCTCAGATCCCAATATCCTGATACTCTGCATCGTGGTCTTTATGTTCCTGCTCCCCGAAGCTGGTGAATATTCCAGTGTACCTGCATATCTTAAGCTAACAATGGGATTTGATTATGTGGAACTCTCTACTTTGGTAGCCTTTATGGCCATTTTAAGCATAACTGCGAATGTGACTTTGGGATCTCTGGTAAAAACTATAGGTGCCAAGAGAGCGATAATATTGGGTCTATTTCTGGAACTACTGCAATTGATCCTGTACGCCGTTGGAGTGGAAAAATGGCAAATGTGGCTGGCTGGAAATGTGGCCGCCCTGAGTTCGATTACTTTTCCTGCAGTAAGTGCCTACGTTTCGCTCTATACGGATGGTGAAAGTCAGGGAGCAGTTCAGGGAATGATTACCGGAATGTCGGGATTATGCAATGGCCTGGGACCCGCCGTATTTGGTATACTATTCTATATCTCGGATATGGACTTGAGTGAGGATCGGATTCCAATGGGGAGTATTAAAAGAGATCACACTGTTGCCGGTCCCTTTATGTTTGGAGCCATCTATGTGTTTATCGGCATTCTATTGGCCTCGTATATCCCAGATGAAAAGGAGTCTAGGGGAAGGAAAGAGGAGTTCTCTGCCCTGAAGTATATCATCGAAATGGAAGACGATATTTAATGATTACTCTTAAAATTTTTAATATTGTAAACATTTTTTATTTTATTTTTTATTTAAGTTAACCGAAATATATATGTTTTTGTAATTTAGTGGGTTAAAATTTAGACGACTTGTCGTTCTGTTGTCGGTTTTTGTTAATAAGGTTCCAAAAAATGATGATTTTTAATATTGTAAACATATTTTATTTTATTTATTTATTTAAGTTAACCAAATTATATATGATTTTGTGATTTAGTGGGTTAAAATATAGACTATATGTCGCTCTGTTGTCGTCATTTAATCAGCCACTTTTCCTCAGCCTCTCAGTCGACGACCGCGTCTGTTTATTTTGGTTTTTGTTTTTATTTTTCTTGGCATTTCCCCGCTATTTATTTATAAATTTTGATTTTGCTCTTCGTTTTTCTTTTTTTTTCAAGTAGAAAATTCACAACAGTTTGTTGACTCTTACGTAAGAGTCTGGCGTTTTGTTTGTTTTGCTCATCAACTTGGTCCAACAAACCAAATTTGCCAAAAGATAATTTATTAACAACAATTGCAGAAACCCAAAAATAGACCAAGCTCCTCTGAATTCCCATATTGCCCAATCACTTGGCCAAACGAATATTCCTGTTTGGCAGATGTACATATTCTCTCTTCTTTTTTTTTTTTTTAGGTTTTGTTCAAACTCAGGCAAAACCGAAAACTTTCCATTTGAAAAAGCGAGTCCCAATAGATATGTACGTAAGGCCCAGCGAAAGAGAGCCATAAAAATCAGAAAATAGTGTGATTATACCGAAACACGTGCTGGCAAAACCGATTCTCTCGCTCTCTTAGGGGAACTAATATTGTGGGGAGAATATTATGAGCACGAGAGCAGGGTAACCCACTGGCGTCGGGTGGGCAAATATTACTTAACTGATATGCGGGGACGGATTAATTGAAAACAGGGTGTTAAAAGATTGAATCGAATACTTAAAAAATTATGGATTTAAAATTTTTTAAAATCGAAGTAATGTATTTAATCTCTTTGGAAATCCTTCATAGCAGAAACATTTTAAAATCAAAGTAAAGTATTTAATCCATTTGGAAATCCTTCATGCCAAAACCACTTTAAGCTTAATAGTATTTTTTTAATTTTAAATGTATTTGCTAAAAACAGTACTATTTTCCCCACAACACACGCTAAAAATCGATTTTCAAGTACATCTTAAAAACATTGATATTTCTATTATATTACATTTTTTTTCAACTACAGGGCATTTAGGAAGAAAAAAGTTGTAAACTTAATTAATGATCTAAAATCTAGCACTTTACGAAATAATTTAGATTTTCTTTTTGGGGAGTTAAGATAAGAAACCATTTTGAAAAGCACATAAAATATCAAAGCTTTATGTTTTTTCTTTTAAACCCCCTTCCGAAAAACCCGCCCTATACGAAAAATTGCAGAGACACATAACTTTTATCTCGCTATATGTTGGTTTGGTTTTTTGTTTTTTTATTTTTGCTGGCTGTCAAATGAATGCCTTTTTTTTAGTTTTTTCAGCCGTTGTTGGCTGCGTCTGGGTTTTCTGCCATTGGCCTTCAAATTCGATTCCTTGGCGAGACCAGAGGTTTGCCAGCGTTATCACCCAGGCATACAAATATATAAAAACATATGTTCGCACGAATCCGCCAAACATACCGACTTGCATATGTACATAAAACGCGAAACTTTTCGATGAATCAAGAGAGAAATTTCGCGCTACTTTGTTGCTACACAGGGAGAAATATTGGGGTGGTACACTGGGGTCGCAATCGATAAGCCTTGCCTTGATAAGATGTCTGAGGCCCCCTCGCTCTCGCTTTTTCACTTTTCCACTAATGCGATGCGAATTTCTATGGGTTTTAATTAGCGTTGCGAATGTCTGATGGCCGGGAAATCGTAGGGAATCGTCAGTCGCACAAGTTTACAGCCATTTACTCTGTCTAACCCTAGAATTGCCCATGTACAAAATCCAGGTCCGGAACTCAAAATTATGTCATTGAACTGGCATCAGGCGTCTCTTATCAATTATCTTGGAGCCAATCGAAATTTTAGCACGTTACCAGGCGGAGAAATCGGTAACTATATAGTCTAGCTGACCGATAACACTTTGACCTTTTGCCAATTGCGATTTTGAGTGAATAATGCCCTTCGAATCTGTTGGAAATTTTATTTCCTCCTGCCACTGAACTTTGCCAATGTCGGGCGAATTTATGCAAAAAAAAAAATTGTATATTTGGGTCTGGTTTCGCTTTTTTTTTTGCTTATGCTTCAAGAGAGTCAACAATTTGCGAGAGTGGGTTTCGGATTCAGATACCCTTTATAAGGGGTGTTTTTGCACAAGGCCCAACAGCTCAAAAAACCTTAAAGTTGATTTATAAAAAAATCCTGAAAAGTTGATAAATGACTTATTGAAGATATTGTTTTCTAATATATAATTAACTTATCTTATTAAAAAAAGCTATTAACCTAATACCCTTTGTTATTTAGTACGTTTGGGAAAAAAATCTTAAAACTAAAAATTCAAATTCCATTTTAAATATATATTTTAATGAATTATTCAGTTACTAAAAAGTATTTGAAAGTATTTATTCATGTATTGAACTCTTAGCAAATTAATTAATATATTGAAATATTTTTTTATGTAAGTAGGCCTTTTTTAAAACTCAAGTGTGGGTTACCTAAATTGTAAGATAACTAATTAAAAATCATCAAAATCCTCAGTAAAAATGTACCCTTTATGGAACCTTAAAATTCATAGCTAATAGTTAGGGTATCCCAGGTGGGGCACTTCCCTTGGCGAACCGTATTCCATGTGATAGAGCGATAAAGCGAACACGTGAGAGAGCGAGAGAAGTATGGGGCGAAGCATAGAACGCGATTACTGGGGCCCCTCTTTCATCGCTTTCGTACTCCCCATTCTGCCGGCTTTTTTCGGAATCTCCCATGCATACTGGGCCTTCATTTCGAAAGCCCACGTCGTGGAGATCGGATCGTAATAGTTCCCACTACTTAAGAAACCTGTAAATTCCAGAACATGTCCCTTTTTAATAACTCATAAAACTAACTAATTTTTTCGCATAATTTTCCAGGCAACACCGCAAACAACGTTGAGCTAATGGAGGCCATTAAGAAATTGGATGCCGATCTGGTGGCTCTTTTTGCCACCGCCGCCTCTGCAGAGCCGCTAAAGATGAAGCTGTGGTCGGAAGCCGAGTCGGAGCAAATCGCCCAGGATTCGGAGGATGAGCTGGTGATCACCCCGGATATGTTCCGCAGCTGCAACAGCCTGCAGCTCCATTTGGAGGCGCTGACTTTGCAGCCGGAGGGAACTCAACGCATGGAACTGGTCCAGAACGAAGTGCGACCCATTTTCACCGTGGAGTGCCAGCTGTCCGGGGATTTGATACGCAAGGTGCCCCGCTATCCGATGTTCCACATCATGCAGTTCGAGTCGGAGAAGTTCCAGAGCCTGACGCAGTGCACCCGTTTCGGGCAGACGGCCCAGCGGCAGGTGGATATGGAGGATAAGCGTTTGGAGCTGGAGGATCAGAGCGTTGGCCATGTGGACATCACGGTCTGGTGGCGTGAACCGGGCACCTGTCTCAACGAAATGCTCGGCATGGGTCGCCTGGAACTCAGGGAGCTCTACAAGGCTTCCCTTCTCGAGCAGTGCAAATGCATTGCCATCAAGCGTCGCGATGTCCATCTGGGCAGTGTCTATGTGAAGATCAGTCTGCTGCAGAATATAAATGGTAACCCGGAGCAGCAGCAGCAGCAGCAAAAGCAGCAGCAGCCGGGTCAAAAGAACGAAAGTGGAAACAAGGCAGCAGGTGAATATATATGACTAATGTCGTGTGGTTGCCAAACGCAAGAACCATTGATTCTTGGGCCCCCAAATCGAATACAACTGATACAAGCTGAACCACACGACTATAAATTTCACCACCAACAACAAGCACAACCAGAACAACAACAACAACAAAAGCTACTACAAATCCACACCAGCCGCCCACAACCACGCCCACGCCTCCTGCACTTACTCTATATATTATTGATTGCCGTTATCCAAGTGCTGCCCATCATTCTGTCAATAAATACTTTTCATTTTCAACAAAAAAATCAATACAAAACAAAAAACAACCAAAAAAATCAAAAAAACAAACAAAATCTTTATCGTGTTTTATGTTTTTTATCCCAGCTATATTTTAAATCATCTATTTTGTTTTCCAACAGCTTTGTTTTTGTGATCATGAAGCACAGTGGGTTGAGGAAATTATTAGAACTCTTTATTAGTCAGCTATTATAACATTTAATAGTCAGATAAACACTGAAAGTATTAGAAAAACTCGTTCAATTTATATTAGTTTTCATAGTACTATTATATAAAAGAAAGATTAATATTAGAAAATGTTTTGAGATCACAAAAATATCTTTTTAGCGGTAGGATTAATTTAATTTATTTCTTTCATATTTCCTGATGCTACAAGGATTTCCTTATAAATTAATGCATTAGTCACAAAAATTAAAAAATATTTTTGTTTAAAAGTTAAATCTAAACTTTAAATGTTTCTTTAAAATTTAATCTTTAATTGAGTGTGCATAGCATATAATTTTTATAAATCGCTTCTAGGTTTAAAAATATTTTCGAAAAAATATGTAATTTATATTTTTCCCGTTTCCAATATTTTTCTTTTATAGAGTATTTAAATATTTATGAGTTCTTATAATTTAAGTCACCACATTGCCCACTGTGTCCACCGCTTACGATGCTTCTGGTGCGTCAATTATCGGCCTTGTTTAAGATCTAGTTGGTCTATTTTAAGCCCACTCGATTCCAGTGGTCGGCCAAGTTGTCAGTTGTCCGCTTTTGGAGCACGTGCTATAACCGATTCGACCCGGTTTTACCCGCTTGCCGGCGCAATCTTTTCGTTCCGCTTGAATCGATTTTTGGGTCCGATCGTCTGTTGTCAAGGCGATAAGAACCGGGATCGAAGATCGCAGCTGATTCAGTTCTTAAAGCTTGTTTCATTCAAATCGGCGAGTTCAAGGTTCTCTGAAGAACTTTGAACTGTGATTAATACAGCGCCTTGCATGTTTAACAATCTGTACCGACTATATAACTAATCCCCTCCTGCGTTTTCGAATATTTTCCAGTTAACTGCAACTCGAAGGCCGTCTTAACGCCCCCTCAGCCGCCGCCCCAGCCACCTCCTCCTCCCCCAGGCAGCAACAACAACAACAACCGGGCCATTTTGGAGTGCGTCAATTTCATGGCGGAGACCAATAAAGTCCGTCTCCTGCGGGGCTATCTTTTTGCCGGGGAGCTGCGTCAACTGACGGCGGAGAATAAGTTGGCCTGCCAGGAGCTATCGCTTCAGCCCTTCTGGCAAACGCAGCGGCTGCTGGTGAAGATCGGCGATGGAGGAGCGTTCAAGCTGCAGGAGCAGTTTGCCATCATCAACGACGAGCGCTTCCTGCAGAGCGTCGAGCGGCAGCAACTGATCCTGGAACTGCGTCCTCTGGGCGGAGTTGTCCGGCTGCCGCTGCACCAGTTCTTCATCGCCTACCGAGATGCCAGCATCACCAATCACCTGTGCAAGGGAAAGGTGGGAAGATCTTAATAATTAACTCGTTTAAGTAACATGAAATCCTGAAACTTTTTTATAAATCCGTTCTATTTATTTTGACTAAGGATTAAGCATTTGAAAAACATTTTTTAATAGTTTATAAAATATTTGGAGATTTAGAAAATTTGACGCCCTTAAATTTTGAACTCCAATTGAATTTTTTATAACTCAAAACGACAATAACTTTATTTTAACTGATCATGAAAAGTTTCATAAATTCAGTGTTTATTTTGACTAAGGATTAACCATTTAAAGATTATTTTTTTAATATTTTATAAAATATTTAAAAACTTAGAAAATTTAACATTTATAACTCAAAACAAAAATAACTGTATATTAACTGATTATGAAAAGTTTTCAAAAATTCATTGTTTATTTTGACTAACGATTAACCATTTAAAAAATATTTTTTAAATATATTATGAAGTATTTGAAAACTTCGAAAATTTGACATTTATAATATTGAAATTTTGAACGCCAATTCAATTAGTTATAACTCAAAACGACAATAACTGTATATTAACTGATAATCTTATAATACATATATTAAACCCGTAGAAAAAAAACCTACATTTAATTCAGTCCAAACTAAGATAAACCACTGCAATTGGTTTGGCAGAAATGTTATATTTAGTTCTTTCCGCTTGCTTAAAGCTAATTTTGCCATTTTAGTTCATTCAAGTTCAATGTCAAGATCATAAAAACCATTTATTTTGATAATATATACAAACCCCAATTTGCTAAAAAATACTGAATATTTCCGGTTCTTTAAAAATAGATTATGTTAAAATAGCGCCGGTTATTTCTGATTTTTAATAAAACATTTCATAAAACTTGAAAATACCGCTTAAATTTGGTTTATTTTAAGTCAAAGAACTGATCTCTCTTTTCTTAATTGCTTGAATAAACCAATAATATATTCCTTTATTCTTACAGCTACCAGTGATTTCCATCGACGGCTGGGCTCCCATTGTCAGTGCCGAGACCCAGTCGCCTCTGGGTGAACTAAAGGTGCTTCTCGCCATTGGAAGCGAGTCGCAGATTGCTCAACTGAAACAGCAACGCGGCTTCGACCAGGACAACAATGTAGTTGCGACTCCAAGTAGCACCACAGATTTGCTTGACATGCTTCAAAATGCCATCACATCTCCCGGACCGAGTGTCTTAAATCCCGTGATGCCGCCGCCACCGGCTCCTCCGGCGCCCAGTAACTTTAGCTTTCAGCTGCGCATCGTTGGAGCTGCTGGACTGCCTCTGAATCCTGGCTATGGAAAATCAAAGAAGCAAGTCAAACGTCAGTCGGCGGCCAAGCGATTCCCGCCCAATGAACCACCCAACACCTACGTGACCTTCCAGGCCATCAATTGCAATAGTCAGACCTACAAGTCGCACGAGGGACTAGTCTATGCCACGCCCATTGTGGCAAGGTCCACGAAGCCCCAGTGGCTCAGCAAGTTCCGGGTGGAAGTGAGCCGCGATTACCGCAGCAATGTAAGGAGATTTGAAAGAATATTCCCTTCATAATCATTCTAGATATTAGAGCCCTGCATAAATGGATTCAATGAATTATTTTGAATTTTTTCATTGTTTATATGAATCAATTAATTAGAATTTTGAGTTTAATAGAATTGAATGAATGAATGGCATGAATTCCGAAATAATTCAAACGACAATTTCTTTTAAAGATGAAAGGGCCATAATTTTGTGATTAATTCTGCATAAATTTTATTTTCTAAGCAGTTAACATTGATTTGTTAAAAATTTTACACTTTTTGTTCTCAAAAGAAAGCAAAAAAAATTACTGGCAAATTAAAAAAATTCATAAAAATTATTCATTCAACTCGAAATGAATTAGAAAAACATTTAATTTACTTCACAAAGAATTGAATTAAATAAATCAGAAATTTCATGTCATACTATGATATAATAAATAATAAAAATATTAATTACTTTCCACTTGCAGCCCCAGAAGCTCTTCATCTTGAAGCTGTGGAAGAAGGCAATTGTTAGCCCAAATGGCAGCATTGAACCGTCGCCCCATGAGGATGCTATCATAGGATTCGCGGCCCTGAATCTCAACCAGAAGCAACCGGGCGGAGGCTTCCCTAGTGGATGGCACAACATAGTGGACTTTAATGGCCGTGTGACTGGTGGGATTGAAGCGCATGTGGAGCCCATACCGCCCAGTGTGGATACGGTGATCGATCAGTTCGAAAAGTCCGTGGAACTGGGTCACCTGCAGTTGGGTCAGGCCATCAAAAGGAAGTACACCGAGCTGGAGGAGATCTCTCAGAGATTGCGATCCCGTTTGGTGGACGTCACGGGGGAAACGCTAAAGTTCCCAGAGTTCGATGTGGATAGTGCACTGGACAGTTGGCAGCAGGATGGGGATGATGATGATTTGGCGGAGGATTTCGAACGGGCTCTGCGCACTCCAACGCCCCCCGATTCACCGACTCCCTCCACCAGCAGCGCCGCACAAAACCTCAACAAGTCAAATGGCCGGGAGGAATAGCCCTGGGCCAAAAGTCAGTCAGTAAGCGTGTTTTTTCCTCTCTCCGCATCTCGATGTCGTCTCTGATATTGGCTCAAACGTAGCTATAGTTAACCATCTAGTTATAGACTATATATAATATATAATACACGGATCTTAATCTGATATTATGCTGTACTTAAATTGGCATCCCAATTTTGCCTCGATTCACCGTCTTATGGCTGTCTATATAGCATAAAATCAAAGCTAACAACGATCACCCAGCGATCGTTCCATTGAGTTTAAAAAATTGTCGATTAAATATTGTTTTAAGTCACGAGCGGATTTCCCCTGCAACCACACGGAATATGTATTAGTTTCGGAACTGTGTTAATCACCTAAGTATTTAGACACTATTACTTAATACAAATTTAAATAAAAATGCTAAAGCAAATTTAAATAGTTTGCTGTTGTTATTTGGATAATGATTGGGTAAAACATTAGGATTAACAACTATATAGCAATTTAATTACAATTTATTTTTATACTAAAATATTTTCCGCTTTTACGAAGGGTTGCTTTAAGTTTCTCTCATTGCATTTTCGATCAATTGTGTTGTTTGTATTGTTTTCGCTTGTTAATTGATAACCATATAGCCCATCGGTTGAGATCAACAAAATCGATTAGCACTTCTGATGAAATCCCTTCTTATTCTGACTCACGGCTGGAAAATAATAAACATTAATGGCAAAATGCCAAGACTTATTGACAAACAAAATCTATTTGGCTTTATAAAAAGCACTCTTAGCAAACAGTCTCGTTAGTGCAAATAAGTAAACATTTTGCACGAGCTCTTAATCTCCAGCATTTAAAACTGAACTCAAGAGATACTAATACTTTTTGGCCTTTCCTCAAATACGAGATCATCCATATATTTGAAAAACAGCAGGTAGCATGTACTTAACCACTTTACTAGGATTACGAGGAGATTTCGGCTTCCAACTAATCCTAAAAGATCAAATAAATCCCCTCTTTTATCCTTTAATCCACCATTGAAAAACGTTTGAAATTTTCTTTTAAATAGATATTGAAAAATATTTTATTATAAAAAATCATTACAACTATTCTGTTTTTTTTTTGTGGGGGCTAACCCCTCCCTCACATATTAATCTATATACTTATGTATGTTTGCCATATATGGGTTTGTTTCTTTTTTATCGTTTTTCATATGCTTAGAAAATCAAAACATTTGACGATTGTTCAACAAAAAGTACGATCTGGATACAATATTATTCAACTACAATATTATTCAACTACAATATGCCTACAAATGTATATGGATGTACTATGTATATGAAGAATGAATGATGAAGTTGAAATTCTTTAAATGGAGTTTGGCGTACACTTGTATTGGATATAATGTACGATTGGGTGCTAAGACATACGGCTAAAGCAAAGTATATAGAGCATCTTCCTCTATAAATGCTTTTCTGTATCATTAGATTTGCTGCCTTCATATATAACGTGTTAAATATATATAAAATTATATAAAATATGTATTTAAAAACTGTTCAACCCTCGCCCATCGGCCTTTTCTTGTTTAGTTTGCTGGCTTAGAAATTACATTTTACATTTTTATAGGTATGTACTGAATGAGAAGGTGTCGAAAATGTGGACTTCCGATTAAAATACAAATGAGTTGGAATACGGTTGGCTGTATATAAATGTGTATACTTCGATTTCTTTTATGGAACGCTTTGTGTGTTCTGTTTTCGATTGATGTGCATATTGATAGATTGAAAACGTTTATATATTTTCTGTTTCTCTTTTTGTTTATGGCATCTTTCAGTCAATGACCACACGGGTGAGCAGTATGCCCCGCTTGCTCAACCACAATCTATAAATAGGGATCAGTAAATTAATTATGAACCTGGTAGAGATTTCAGAGGACACTTACCCGAAGCCGGCGCCCAGCAGCAAGGACAGGACATTGGTCACCAGCAGCGAGTATAGAATTTCGCGGGAGAACAGCGAGTTGGAGCCCAGACGCTTCAAGCGGATGGAGTAGCCTGTGTTAGTCTTCTTTTTCTCGTCCTCATCGCCGGCATCGCCACTGACAGCCTCGAAATTCCAGCTCCTATAAGTGGTAAGGATATGAAAATTAATAATATGTTGTATGATAGCGGAATAACTGAAAATCTTAACTGACTGTCTCTCTATCTCTGGTAAACCCAATTGTATTAAGATTTCAGATGAATATATCTTTAATTTAAACTGTCAATAACCGACTAAGGTTACAACCTTACGAATCAGAGTATGAGAAAAGTCGTTAAATAACCATATATCTATATCTTTCGTACTTGGGTGGCTGCTCCTCGGCATTGCGATTCCAGTTCTTCAACCAATCTCCATTGTCGGCATTCTGTTTATCTCCACCCTGGCAAAAGAAAAAAAAACACAAAGAATGGCATTGTTAACAAGATCACCTCGGTTCCGCCTCGATTCTCATCGCTTACCTTGGTCCAGTAGTTGATGTAGACGTTTCTGAGCTCATCATCCGGGCAGAGCTCCGACTGGGGACTGTTCGGTGGACTTTTGGGGCTATCACGGGGCGTATCACGACGGGAGCTGGCCAAGGAGACGACTCGGCTCGACTGGTTCGATTCGCGCTGGGCCTCGCGCAGAAGTCTCAGATACTCCTCGCCATTGTTGAATGGCAACGGAGTGATTCTGTCGGGGCTCTTGATTCCAGCCATCGCAGCTGTTGTGCTCAGTTCAATCCAAGATTCTGCAAAAGTCAGGCCAAACGAACTGGGTTAGCATAAAATGCTAGCAAATAGTAACACAAATAGATCATTTCATTCACATTAAAGCAGGCCGAACCGAGTGGGTGAAAGCTAAAGCCAAATGGTGTGAAATTGAATACTTAGTAGCTTGCATTTGGTGCTAGTTAAATATAGTACAGACATGTGGTGTCGAAACCTTTTGAGGCGAATTGAATAAACATTAGGAATACAAATACTTTGAACGTCTCTTTTTAACCCAAACTAATTTGTTTTTGCTCAAGGTTCAGAACATCTTCAGGTAAATCTATTAAATCAGGTAAATCATCAAATAAATAATAAATCTAGTCATTTGATGATAAATTTAATTTATCAGTTATAAATTTCAAGAGATCTATGCAAAATTAACAAAAAAAAATGCTAAAAAGTAGAAAATTCAAATTAGCACTCAGTGCTATCAAAAATTATTTAAATATGTAAATAAAAATTATCATTATTAAATTATATTTTTTGATACCTGTAAAACTGCTTTAGAATTTAATTATAAAATATAATACTTTTTAACTTTTTGTTTAGCTCATTTTAAATAACCGTTCCGAAAATCAATAAAAATATAATAACATACTGCTAAAAGTCTACTTAAAGTAATTACTTGTCTGAAATTACACTTGTTGTCGAAAATATGGTTTTTATTTGTTTACTTGGGTAGGCAGCTACAGTTTTAAAGCCACTGTACGGCGGCAGTGCCCCTAAAAATGTGCCATCGTCACCCCCTTTTGCGTTTGTTTTTGTTTGTCTAAACGTAACAACAACTTAACCACACGTTCGGTTCGTTAGCCCATGTATCGTATATATTTGTGTATATCTGTTCGAGTGCTCGTGCCCCATTGATAAGGCTAAAAACCCCACAACCCGTACAATTTCCGTTTCTTTTCGGCGTATTGTATATATATAGAAGCACACATGTTTTGTTTTATATATTCTCGATGCTTATCAACAACGCGGCACGGAGAAAATTTCATTTTCAAAACAAAACGAAAAACCAAAATTGGCGATGCAATATGGGCACGAGAAGCGTGCAAGTTACATGATAGCGATGCTCGAATCGCTGATAAGGAATACAGTCCTAACTCCCTAACTTTGAAAATAAATTGTAAATAAATTTAGGATGAAGGTTTTTGAGTTACAAAATAAAGAAAAACCTAATACAATTTCTCGAAAACTAAAAAACTTATTTATATTCCATTACAAACATGAACATATTTCAAGTGTAAACTCGAAAATGTAAAATATTATTCAATGTTTTGAAAAAAAAATTGTTTCATATTTTTTTAAAATGTAAAATGGTTTTTGAGGATTTCACAACTCGAGTTTTCACTTTAAAAACAACTAATTTAGACAATTTCACAGTGCCAATCAAATAGAGAATAGTTCACATCACTCACGTGGCAGACCAATCATGCTGACTATCGAATACTAAATGCGTCGTCTAGACGAAAAGAGTGATGCATTTATGATGAAAGTTGCGAAAAATGGGAAATGGTAAACAGAAAAACCCGCGAGGACAGGTAAACGTGAAAATGGCACAGGTAAACAGCATTTGAACCGTTATCGGGAATCCGGGCTACAGGTACGAAAATGTGCAGCGAAAATGGGAACAAAAACAAAGGCAAAAGCAAAAGCGTATCGAAGGGTGGCAAAAACAAAAACTTGGCTTGCTGACTGACTCACGGCACGTAGGCCTCTCTCCCTCTCTGGGTCCCACCCCCTCTCTTTCTATCACTCACTCCCCCTCTCTCTACCCACTCTTCTCTCTCTCCTTCTTCGGGCTTTGTTGTGTGCATCTTGATGCGCAGCTGTCCAAAAGACCCTGAGTTGAGCCCATTGAACCGCCTTTATTATTGGATGGATGACTCCCCGGTATCATAATACAATTTCTTACGTAGTATATGGCACAGTGCACAAAGGAAAAGTATACCTCCTAAATTGGTCATTCGTTTCGCACATGTTTCGAGGTCAAAAAACACCTATAACCGGCGTATTTTTAGCACACTTATTTAAATTGAAATTTTTAACTTTAAGTAGTCTCTGGATAATGCGATTATTTCGTTCATACAGTAGTTTACCTATCACAAACATATATTTTTCATAGCATATGGTACGATTTTGGTTCAAACTGATAAGACTAGTACTATATTAAAGTGATAAAAACAAATTTACGTTGAACCGGCATTATTTTTGTGTATGACTGGGCAGAATAATAATATAATTTCTTGCGTAGTCAACAACCTTTTGGACAAACAAAAAATGTTTTTTTTTTTAAATGGTAATCAATAAAGATTATACTTTTGGCATTTTAAAATGACGTTTTAAAAAGACTTGGACAAATAAAAATATATATTTTCACAATTGCAAATATTTTAAATAATTCATGTTTTTTACATTTTAAACTATATTTTTTTTTTTAACATTTTTTAGGGTTTTATAGTGAAATTTTTAAATCTTCCGATTTTCTCGGTTTAACCTTTATTTCGCCCCTACTGTAAACGTGGGATGTTGATAAAGCGGGCAGCCGAAATACAATTGAAGCTAATGCCAAAGGCGCAATTTCTGGAAACGACCGATAGGGAAATGCCCTCCCACAAAATGTATTTATTTACGAATTATTTTAGCGAGCCAGACGAAAGAGCGGCGGGAGGGGGGAGCGAAGGAGAGCGCAAAAATGCGACGTCTGACGTCAAGCGGGCCAAGTGCAAAGTAAAGAGACATGACATGAATGAAAGAGAGGGCGGGGGAGGGGGTGGGCGGAGAAAGCAGCTTCTTTGTTTTCATTCGGAGTTTTGCGGATTCTTTGTCGTCTCTCTCCGCTGCGTCAGAACAAGTGCAAAGTAAACAAGTAAAAGCAAAACAAAATCAAAAAGCAGACAAAGTAAAGCCTTGAAAAAAATAGTATATGGGATGCGGATACCAACAAATTACAAATCACTCCATAAACATATACATACATACACATTCACTTACAACGACAACAACAACAAGGCGGCATAACGGGTTACCGTGTTATTGTTATGATTGCAAAAAGGAGAGACGCAAAAAAACACGAACGAAAGAGCAAAGCAAAGGGAAACAAACAACAACAACTTACCACCCAGCAAATCTTCGCTTGATTTTGGTGTCGTAGACATTTTGTTTGTTTATCGGTATGTGTGTTCAACACGTCAACACCCAAGATAACTTGATTATATTGCTTATTAACTCGGTTTTAAGTTAAACTTTGTTTTTCTCCTTAGTCGCCCGAGTTATTTTGGCCCTTCTGTTTTGTGTCCGTCTGCGTGTGTGTGTGTGTGTGTATTCGCTGTTGCTGCTAGTGTATGCGTAGGAAAATGCGTTTTACTTTTCGTTTGGCGCTGTTTGTCCGCCGCTGCACTCGATTTGGCTATAACTAACTGTTCCGGGCTGGAGCTCCGGAATATTGCAACTTTGTTTGATGCTTCGAATGAAGCGACTGGCTAGTACTACAATTAAACACGATTCGTTTCGTTCCCCTACGCACAAGCTTAATGCGTAGTTTAAATCTTTTGTGACAATCGATGTTTACGCTATGCTATCGATGTTTTCGCACATCTGGCATCCCGGCCAACATCGATTGTTCCTATCGATGGTTATTTTTTAAATAAATAAATGTTTGATTTTTCAAATATTTTTAAAATAAAGTAAAAATGATTTTTAAATTATTATTTCTACATTATTTACTATTTTATACTATTTAAATTTACGAATATTTTTAAAACAAAGTAAAGATGATTTTTAAAATAATATTTCTACATTACTTTGTGTGATTTTTTCCAATCAAAAAACGTTATAAAATTTTCAATATTTTTAATTTCTTCTTATCTCGTTTTCAAAAACAAATCAAAAGTTTCCAAATCGCTTTTGGCCACATTTCTTACGAAGTAAAAATTATTGCCTTCGACTATAGTTTTGGGCGATATATACATATCCTTTTGGGGATCGTACTGGGCGCGGCCCAGTAACTTGAGAAACTCATGACGTTCCCGCAGGCGAAACTCCCGAGAGGCCAGCAATTCAGGACACTGGACAATCTGGGCATGCGAGAGGCCCATATCCTGGTGAATATAGCTGAATCGCTCGATAAGATCGTCGGGAGCTGTAGGGATATATGCTTTTTAAAGGAAATCCCTTTGCTTTAACCTTAAATACACTTACGAGTCATCATTAACCGGGGTTTTCGAACCACCAGGGCACTCAGCTCCTTGGCATTGAATCCCATTTCCTCCTTGAGCGTAAATATGGACTTTCGCAGGTGCTCCATGTTGTAGGTAACGACATTAGGTTCCTTGGTGGCCAAAAGACGGAGATCATGGCCACTCAAACGGAACTCCTTTTGAAAGTAGCCCAACCGACGATCCACTCGCCGCGTGGAGAACATCAGCCAGTAGGGATTGTGGGTGAGAATCCTTTGCCTGGCCTCATCCGTAAACCGCTTGCTCTTCAGGTAATCCACCCTAGTCTGCAGATCATCCAGGTCTTCCTTGAACAGCAGCGGGTTCTTTGTGAACATCCTGCCAAAGTCATCGGGTTTAATTCCCTGATCCACCAGAAATCTTATGCAGGGTTTTACATTCTTCTCAAAGTCCAGCTGCAGCACAAACTGTCCCAATCCCTTCCGCCTTTCTATGCTGTGCAGATCCACGCCCAAACTGATGAACTGCTGCAGGGTATTGGAGTTATTCACATAGGCCGCCAAGTTGAAGGAGGGCACATGGGCCTCCCGCTTTCCGAAATCCAGAGCCACTTCCTTGGAACTTTCCTGCGTCGACGGCTCTCCTGCATTGTCATCCTGTTTGGTTGTTATATCCGGCGGTCTGAGAACTTCCACCTCGCTTGGGGCTCCTCTTAGACCTCGAAGATTCCGTAATTGTGGCTTAATTGCCGCGTATTTAGCCGCATTTTGTAAAATATTACGTATTGTAAACATGGCGGCGTTGCCAGACTTTGTAAATGGAACCAGCTGTTGGTTACTAAAATAGCTATAAGGTGTTGGCTAGAAATAGCTAGATTTTAATTAAAATATTCTTGTTATATACTCACCTTTTTAAGCTTATTTTTAAAATTAAGTCGATTTTTAAAACGGTATTCATTTTACAAAGATGTAATAAACAAGTATAAATAAAAAAACCTGTTGCACACTTGTTGCCATACAAATGGCCAAGTCCAATAATGCAATAAATAATATAGCAGAACAGATTATATAAATTAAGGGTTTTTTTAAAAGATGTAAATGGATAATAATTTGTTTTAATTAAAAAAAACAGAATACTTTTTTTTAGTATATTTTTCTCTGAGCTCTGCGGTATGTTTTAACGGTTCAGCCCACGGTCACGCTGATCCGATCTTGATTTTTTATAGTGTACAAATTCCGGAGCATAAAAACAGAGGAATTCTTTGTTTATAAATCACCGCAGAAGAACCGGGAGTCCTCAGTCTGCCACCTGTTGAGCATAATTCCAACGCAACAACATAATGGACAAATTACGCCGCGTTCTGAGTGGAGATGAGCCCACTCCGGAAGAGGAGAGCAGTATCATTACACAGGTGAAGTCTCCAATGGGAGTGATTTCATTAAAAATGTTGTAAATATTCCGGATTATAAATATTCATGATTTTGGAGCTCCCCCCTGGGAAACGCCCCCTGATCACATGGCGATAACAGCTGTGTGACTCAACGCTTATCAGTGAATTTAGTTAACAATATTATTGACCCCCCGAATTATTTACGCAGATTAACGAGATGTCTACTTTGAGTTGGTCCACTCGCATCAAGGGATTTTGCATTTGCTTTGTGCTGGGCATTTTACTTTCCCTACTCGGTTCGGTTGCCCTATTTCTGCACAAGGGAATTGTGGTCTTTGCGGTCTTCTACACCCTAGGAAACATCATCTCGATGGCCAGGTAAGCGGGTTACTCGCTTATTAATACTTCACACAGGCCGGCTAATGAGTTTCGCTTCTCGGGTTTCAGTACTTGCTTCCTGATGGGGCCCTTCAAGCAGATCAAGAAAATGTTTGCGGAAACCCGGCTGATAGCCACCATCGTCGTTCTGGTGATGATGGTCCTCACGTTTATAGCAGCTATAGTGGTAAAGCATGTTTTTTTCTTAATTTATCCATTTTTGGTTGGAATGCTCACATAATTTTAGTTAGATTTCGATTTTAGAAACGTTACTGATTTTATAGATTTTTAAAAAAATAAAATCTTTTTTTCTGCAATTTACATACTCAAAAGAGAACTCATCTTAAAATATTATGTAGAAAGTTACATTTTTTAAATATTTAGTGGATTTGTAATATTTAAATTATTATTTCTTATAAACATAATATTTATCATGTTTTAAAATATTTAATTATTAACTTTATTCAAAGAACGTAAGTCTTGCCTAGACATATAGAAAATTTTCAATTAATCAACACACATTTTAATTCTCAACTGAGACGTTTGATTTTCAATTGAAATCGAAAAAATTATGGGACAACCAATGAGTTATTTATTTACTTTATTATTATTTCTTTTAATTTGATTGGCTTTGTTTTCGTTTTTAGTGGAAAAAGGCTGGACTCACGCTTATATTCATTATCATACAATCTCTGGCCATGACCTGGTACTCGCTGTCGTACATCCCCTATGCCCGCGATGCGGTCAAGAAAACCGTGTCCACATTCCTCGAGGTCTAAAATCAATCGCGCTTCTGTACATAACTTGAGAAAAGCTAGTTTGAACTAACTTAAGCTAAGACAATTAAATCGTGTGTATTAATCTAGCACTAGAACATAGCCAAGTCCTTTGTATTCTCTTATTAACAACTATATTTTGGTTTGTCTTTTTAATAAATATATATATATATATATATTTCTTTTATACATATATATATTTACATGTTTTGTATTTAATTTAATCAGTACAGTTTTCTTTAGTATATGTACATAATTCTCTTGTCTGTTTTGGTTTTTCTTTTATAGAATGGCCTGATCCACTTTGTTTCTGTAGCTTTCAAGTGTTTCGTTTCTCTTATCAACTTCTTATTTTACTTTCTTCTCTTTTTGCGGCGACAATTTACCTAGAAAAGTGAAACGAAAAGGTTTTAGATCAAATGTGGCAGATATAAAAGTTAACATTAATTGTTTAGACTATTTTAATTTTAATATCGTAGTGCGTGGTGCTGGGTGCATCAATGGATTTACTCCTTGGCACTTGTGCTTTTTTATTGTGGCAATGCAATCCGACGAGAAACGGAGAAAGAGACAGAGAAGGGGAGAAACGCAAGGAGAATTCAAATTGAGAGCAAAGAGTTGAGAATTGAGTTGTGATTAACCATTAATTGAGCCAATAATAACGTAAGTTGGTGAGTGCAAAAAAAGAAAGTTAGTGAATAGAGCAGGCAACATTAAAGTTAATTTGCTTTGCCACATTAATGTAATATTATTTTATAAATCTTCATTAGAATTTACTATCATTAAGCCTTATTTCTTAGACTTCTCGCCCCATTTAATGTTGCCTGCTGCTTTCAAATGGCTGAACATACCTTTAGAAGGCGAAGATAAGATGGCAGGACTGTTTTCTTTTCTTTTCGTCGGCGTCGATGAAACCTTTTTCAGCTGCCGTTGCTGAAAAGTTAACATTTTAGATTTGCATTGCAGTATAACTATCTGTTTAAGCTCCTCTCACCTGCCAATAAACCGCCAGGTAGACAAATGCCACCGAGATTATCACTTGGATAGTCAGCCACAGGACAATGTTGATGGCTTGCGTGCGCTCAAACAACTCCTTGCCATTCTTGATGCACAGAATGGCTTCGGAGACCATGATGGCGCCGTAAACCCAACACTGGGTGCCGACTCTCTTGCAGCGTGTATCGGTGACATATACGTAGTATTGCCTGAAAGTTGAATACTAATTAGTATTTATAAATATTTAAATATCCTATTAAAGACCCACCTAACCGAAGGCGCCACAAACAGTCCAATGAATATAAGGCGACCGATCACAATAAAGTGATCCGGCGGCATCTCGAAGATGTGCTTCAAGAAGAACGTGTTCAGCTCGGTGACCTGCCAGAAGATCACCAGCTGGATGACGGCGGCGAATCGCATAGCCGTGGACTTGGGATCCAGCCAGCGGATGGCCGACCAGCTCTCCGGCGTAAATTGCAGCATGGCACGCTTGATTTTTCCCGTCGTAGTGGATATGTCCTTGATGCTGGCCCACTTGTATTCGCGCATCTCGAGGATCTGGCAGATCTTTAGACCCATCCAAATGCCCAGCCCATTGCAGATGATGACGTCCAGGATGAGGGCATCCCACCAGCACTCGATGAAGTTGGGCAGCAAGTGGGCAAAGGTGATCTCGGTGATCTCCCACATCACGGAAATGGCCCACAGGATGCCCATGTGACGGATGAGGATGGCCTTGAAGGCCCAGCCCAAGAAGTGACCCCAGGCGAAGACATCGAGGTGACCCTTGACGCGATCCCAACTGATGTCCGAGCAATTGACGCCATATTCCTGGGAATTTAAGTAAATAAACATATAATATATAATATATATAATAAACATAAACTTACCTTCTCCATATCGATGTGAAAGTTCTTCAACTTCGGATCGATCCAGTAGAATATGCTCCTGATGGTCGGATAGTTCTGGAACATCAGGAACTGAAGCGTCAGCAGGTAGAGCACGGAACACCCAAACAATATCCGCCAGACGGCGGGATGGGGACGCGTGAAGGGTCCATTGGGAAATGCAATCACCGAGATGATCAGAAAGAAGAACACAATGCATAGGAGGCCGGCCCAGAGATTCTCATCGACGTTCGCCTCGTTTCTGTAACGATATTGCATTGCTAAGTGGATGATCTTGGCTTCCATTGTCGCTACTATTTCGGTCATAGTATTCCTTATCAGCATAGCACGTTTTTCGATGGGGTTTTGGGGGTCAATGACACGACGATGTGAATGTCGAGTACATTACGTATATGTTTTAGTCGATTAGACTTATATATATATAGTGTAGGCTAGAATAGCGCATATACAGATATATATATATTTGTATGTTTCGGTTTTTGAACCTTCGGCTGTCTGAGCTGACACATTTGGCAGAGTATGCGTGATATTTTCAAGTGCTTAACCCGTACAACAACTAATCTATGTGCTAAGAACGCACGTGGTACAGATATTTGATTAAGAATTATGATTTGCTCTGAAGTTTTTTTTTTTAAGATTAGGGGAATAAGGGCCGCCATTGATTAAAATGAGTTAGGATGGATGATTATATTTTTTAAAGTGCTATGGGTAACTTTATCTAATTATAATTATCCGTAATTATTTAAATATTACTTAATACATTTTTAAAAATTTTAAATCGAATCATATGCTTATAAGTTTTTTGAGTTAAAAAGTATTTTTTCAAAACTATTTTCAGGCCCTTATGTAGTGTTAAAAAACTTTTCTTATATTTTCTTTTGATATCATACTATAGTTTAGTATAGAAATGTAGTATAGTATAGAAATGTATTGGGGACTTATTATGCAATACTGATATGCTAGGGCTAAAAAATAACCAATGAAGCTTAATATATCATTGAAAGTAATCAGTAATGACAGAAATGGAAAAAACACATGAGCTTACTTAGAGTTGACTGACATATCTATAGATTCAATGGCCAGGTATCTAAAGTAGAAACCGAATTAGTTTTAAAAACTTGTATTATTAGGTAATACAAACAATTTATATAACCCTTGGCCAAGAAATTTTAGAGATTTTCAAATGAGATTTCTAAAAATTAACGAATCTAGACAGCCGCATGAACAAACATAGGGTTAACCCAAAAATCTTAACGATTTTCCACTCTCGCTCACCTGACAAAGGCAAAGTACTAAGATTAAAATAAATATAAGATTATCACAAGTCAGTTGGAATATGGAAAGGGCAAAATAAATATAAGATTATCATAAGTCAGTTGGACTATTGAAAAGGCATTCTCCTAGGTATTCCCAAGTTTTCCTCTCACCTAACGAAATTCTACGATTTATAATATATGGTTTTTCAAAGCAAAATAATAGTTAATGATAAGAAATGGGTTTTCTGAGGGCGTAATATCACAGAACTATGAGTTCCCGACCCTCTTCTCACCTGACGAATGCAAAGTACATGACCGCGAGCACGGAAACCGCCAGCAGGGTGATGGTATGTGGCTTGTAGAAGAAGTCCAGGGATATATCGTCCACAGGACGCTCGTTGACGATCACAAATGTCTGGGCGATCTCCTCCTTGCGCTTCCGCCGGGCGCCCGCACTGCTGCAGCTGCCATCGCTGCCGTCCCGCCGCTTGGTGGGCGTGGCCGGGGCACTGGCCGCCCCCGATTTGTAGGCGGGATGATCCCCGTCCGCATCGCCGGCGGAGGAGGTCGGCGGGGTGCCACGTGAATTGGAGCGCTTCTTCATCGCCGCGGCCTAACTAAATTCGATTATCAGATGTAAGCGGATGGCGTGATGTGGTTGTTGTTGTTGTTAGGTGGTTGGTGGTTCGGATTCGGAATCGGTTCGGTGGCCAAGTACATGCGGGGACAGAAGGTTGCGCAACATTCGATTCGATTCGACTCCAAGCCCCCCACTTTTTTGGGTTCCTCGCTGCGGTCGCTGGAGCTCCCGGTTCGGATGTTAATAGGGACTGATGAGTAGCTGCGGCTCCTGGATCCTCGATTCACCTTCGATCGGGGCACGTTTATTTTATCTCTCGCCAGCTACCGTCCGTTGTTGTTAATTTAACATGCTGCGCGCGACGACTTGGACCAATAAAAATCGACACTTGCCGGCTAGAGCTGTAGAACCATCGATGAAAATATCGATAGTTATGCGGGTACCCACGATAGTTTTCTCCTCGCATAGTTCGAATTTTTATTTTAAATAATTAAATTTAAATGATTAATTTATTTAAAGTATTTATCAGTATCAATAAACAAAATAAACTATTCTAATCTAAAAATTAAAAATAATTATTACCAATTTTGAGTCTAAAATGCTTAAGCAAAATGGTTTTCTATAACAAAAATTAAAAAAATTGTAATTTTTTGAACAAGTATGGAAAATATTAAAGGTTTAGAGTTTCACTATCGAAAACAGAATTCAGGGAATTTAGAATATATAGGGTGTTCTATTTAGCTTTGTATTTATTTATTTTAAAGCACTTAATAAATAAATACAAATTCTTATTGGGTCTACTTTATTCCATTTTGATATATATTTGTCTTTCAAAAGACAGCAACTAATACCGATTATTTATTTTATCCCAAATCTCATCAAAGATCTAAGCCAAAATAAAACTATAAAATTAATAACTTGATACAAAATGAGTAATTTTCGAATAATATCTGGAGTTATTTATTTGAGATACTAAATAATTATTAAATATCAGAACACCCTAAACGTAATTGTTGCATCCCTAAAACAGCTGATTGCACTTGCTGGTCAAGAAGCAATGCACGATTTTCTGTTGTTTTCTTATTTATATTCTATTAAACTGCGTTAAAAATGCTGGACAAGGTTAAAAATATTATCGTAGTGCTCTCCGGAAAAGGCGGAGTTGGGAAATCCACAGTGAGCACCCAATTGTCGCTGGCACTGCGCAAAAATGGATTCAAAGTAAGCTAAACAATTTCACCACAAGAACATGACAAGGAATTTTGTAAACAGATTTATTAAATTGATTAGGTTGGCTTGCTCGATATAGATCTGTGTGGACCCAGTGTGCCTTATCTCTTGGGATTGGAGGGACGCGATATATTCCAGTGCAGCGAGGGCTGGGTCCCCGTCTATACGGATGAATCCCAGACCCTGGCCGTGATGTCCATTGGATTCCTGCTGAAGAACCGCGAAGATCCGGTCATTTGGCGCGGACCCAAGAAGACCATGATGATCCGTCAGTTCCTCAACGATGTGAGGTGGGATGAGTTGGATTACCTAATCGTCGACACTCCGCCCGGCACTTCGGATGAGCACATCACCGTGATGGAGTGCCTCAAGGAGGTCAATTGTCATGGAGCCATCATTGTGACCACTCCGCAGGAAGTGGCCTTGGATGACGTGCGCAAGGAGATAACCTTCTGCAAGAAAACCGGCATCAAAATCATGGGCATCGTCGAGAATATGAGTGGGTAAGGGAATTCTTATAGCTAAGCTGTCAGGAAGTCTAAAAACGGGTGTTTCTAATGACGAAATATTGAGAATATATTAAATTTTACTATTTAGTAAATTATTTCCATAAAAAATAGCACCTTCATACAACACTCTTCAAAAAATTTTAATCAAAAGTAGGATATATTATCTAAATATCTTCCTATAAACGGTTTGTGGTTGCTGACTTATTGAAAATGTAAATAGAGATATTAATTGGACGGCTGCGTGTCAAGTTTATGACGTGGTGACACCTGTGGACTTTAACCAGGTGATAATTTATCTGATGTTTGACTAAATTATCTTTTATTTGATTTCCCCAGGTTCGTGTGCCCCCATTGCACCTCATGTACCAATATTTTCTCTTCAAACGGTGGCGCTGCACTGGCCGCTTACACCGAAGTCCCGCATCTTGGAACCCTGCCCATTGATCCACGGGTTGGTGTCCTGGCGGGAAGCACTGCATCCGTTTTAGACGAGCTACCGGATTCCACGACGGCAGAGGTGTTCACTAATTTAGTTGAGAAAGTCAAATCGCTCACGGTTGTCTAAATAAAACCAAATAAAATCCTACATTTGTTGCCAATTTTACATTAAATGTATATTATATTGTGAATAGATAAAATATGTGCTAGTTCCGAGCTTGTAATTTTTATAAGCTAAAGTTTATAAGGTTTTTATAAGGATTTTATGATGCACTGATTTTAGAATTTTTTTAAAATACGGTAGTTGAAGTCTTCCTAAAATGGAAATAAATTTTATTCCCACAAATCCCCAGTTGCCCAGTAATTACAATCACATTTCTGTTTTCGTTTAGCTTTGGTTTCTTTTTCTTTATTTTTTCATGATTTTTATGTCTTAAATGTAATAATAAATGGTTATAAAGGAATGAATGTAGTCGATGCGTTTTGGGGTAACTAACTAGGTATATGTACGTATAATAATTTAGTATTGAATGAGTGCGCGGAGCGTTTGATATATAATCACTTTAATGCTACAATTCTGGTTGTACGGTAATTATAATTTTCAATCAAACTAATACTTTCCAATTACAATTACTTCAGTATGCCTTAACTGATTTCCTCGCTTTTGCTATTTAAAACTATCACATTAACGTAGGTTGTCTTACTGCTTAACTTAATCGCTTTACTTATTGATTTGAGCATAGTCTTAAGATCAAGATGTGTGCTAATGCATAAAGTATCGCTAATTTGCCAGCAAGGGTCACCATTGATCGATCGGCTGGGCTGCGGATTGTCCTTAAATTCTGCGAAATCAATTTGAAATGCTCTCTTGACTGACGACGAAGTTAGTTTCTTTTCCTAAACAGTATTAACATGCAGACTTCTTCCACTATTTTGGTATAATTTCCTCTAGTCAAATCAAAACTAGACGAAAGATTTTCAAGATCAAAAATCAGTCTGCGGGAGGATGTAAATCACACAGAGAAAAATATCTTTCATTTCCATCTGCGGCATGTCAAGAATACATACTTTTTATACTATTTTTCTTTTAAATGAAATGATAAACTGAGATGGCAACCTGGAATTATGATTTTCTCTGTGCAGGAATCACAACTTATGCTTCGTTTTCCCTTGTATCATTATCATTTCACTTTCGAACTTTCGGATCCTAAAGTGCAACAGTCTCACGGGGCTGTTGAGATACTGCAGCTGTGGAGATCGCATGATATTTTTTTATCTCGAAATATCTCCTATACATAAAGATAGTTACGATCGCAACGAACACTACGAAAACCACCAGTCCACTTATGAAAGCGGTTATATAACCCCAGGTGAGACCATTTTTGATTTGCTCCTGCGGCACATCGGCATAATGAAGGACATTCGTATCGTTGAAATCCTTAACTTGACTGGTGGATTCTGGGACCACAGGATCCTGCTGATCGGTGAAGGGATCATCGGTCATAAACGAATTTATTTTGACGCTTTCTGAGGATATATCATATTTTTCTTCCGTGGTTTTTTCAGTTTTTATAGTATCATTATCTGTGGAAGCTTCAATCGTTGTGCTTGCACCCGTAGAAGTTTCCAGATTATCGGAAGTGGTTGGGTTTATGGTAGTCTCTATTGGAATATCAGAACTAGAAGTTGCCTCTTCTTCTGTGACGACGTTCCTGAGATCCGGCGATTCGGAAGTGGCAATATATCCCACCGATTCAGAACTGGAATCTGTAGTTGTATCAGCCGCACTGGTAGATTCACTTGTAATCGGAGTGGGTGTGTAGATTTCAGATGATGTAGTAGGGTTATTGGTTGAATCCGTAACGAGAGCAGAACTTTCAGTTGGCATGTTGGAGCTATTAACCGATGAACTGGTGGAAGATTCGGTTACAGCCGGAATTTCAGATGTGGAGTTGATATACTTAATAGTAATCTCCTCTGCGCTATCTTCACCTTCAATAATTTCGGGACCCATGGTTGTGCCATCGAAAGGCTCATAATAGGAACCACTCTCATCGACTTCTTCCGGGCAAACTGGACAGCATTGCCCCTCGATCCGAATGGGCTTATTGCACGGATATATGTGGTTGCATTGAACTGATGTACGGGAGACATATCCTCCCAGGCAAGTGGCGGTTGTGCAACCATTATCTTCACTCCATACTGCACCAATTTCCTTGTATTCATTGTTATCGGTTAAACAATTGGGTGTTTCCTCTTCCACTGAACAGTTTTCCTTGCATCGAACTGCCAGCGGTTCGCAGGGATCGCAAACAGTGCACTTGTTCCTATAGAACCTCATGGAACTCTCGCACACGGGCTCCTTATCGTGGCATTCGTAGCGAGGACATCCGCAGTCGGGAAACCCAGTTTTCCTGGCCACCTCGACGAGAATATTGCTGCAAACAGGCAAGTCAGTCGGACATGGCGGACACATCACATCCAGGCTATCTGGCTCCAAAATTGGCAGAGCTGGAATAAAAAAGAAATATATTAGAAATTTTTGTTAAATTTGTTTCTTTTAATTTGAATAAAATTAAAATTAGATACACTTTAATACGAATTTATGAATTTTGTAAAATTTAAGGCCTTAACCTGTTCTGATAAACACAGGCTCTATATTAACATTAAAAAATCTGATTAATGATTAATCACTATCAAAAGCAACAATGTTCTGCCGAGAACAGATATTCGATACCCGAAAAAATTCCGACCTGATTTGAATGCCCTTCAAGTTCAATATTAACATATCGATCGATCTTGAAAATCACATTCCACCCCGCTAACCATGTAGCCATGAATTATTCAATAAATCTAGAGGTAAATTTATAAAAATGGCAATTTGATTAGGCACACACTTAGGAAATTTCTTCAAGAAAGCAGAAACCCAATCAAAACAAACGGAATGATATTTATTTTTGGTGGAATACAAAGTACGGGAGTGACACTCTCGTTTATCATTTATTTATTGTTATTGATTTTTGACATTTTATCATTGAATTATGTATAAAAGGGGGAAGAAGGCGCCAGAGCGATAAAAATGGGAATGGCAAAGTACAATAGCAATGCGAAGACCGAAAAAGATATACAAGTGCACTGACAAACAAAAGCGAAAGAAAAAGTTTTGAAGCCCTCCGTTATTGGATCGATATGGATCGATATCGATCGTTTCATTGAATCAATATTGCCCCAATTGCGGGTATTATTAATTTGGTGTGGTAAAGTTTTGTTACAAAAATGCGTCGCATCAAAGCTGGTTACAAACTCTTCCCGATCGTGATCGAAGGTTATCAATTATTTTCGATATTGACGTCACTGTCGCAGACTTTGTAGGTGAAGCGCATTTAATTGAACGTAATTTAAAATAGATATAAGTTGTTGCTTTCGTTGTTGTGGCTTTATTCTTTGGCTATCAGGTCGTAGCGATCTATATGACAGCAAGCAGACGGGGCAATTATTCATGTGTGTGTAGTTATGTGTGCGTGACCGTACTCGTTTGATTGAGAAGCGCATAGAAGGGCGCTGAAAATGTCAGGGAACAGTGCGTGTTGGGATCAATAGAAATTTTTGGAATACCTTGAAATTCCAACTTGTTTGCTTGTCTTTTATTTATAAGCGACCTGAAATGTCGACGGACATGACAATTTTTCGATGTGATGCTATAAACTGCTTTAATATTTCTGAAAATTTCTCGATAAACCATAAAAACAATTTCTTAGATTTTCCTGGTTCAACGTTCAACAAAAAAACAATTCATTCTGAATCTAGTTTCTGGTGAAAACTGTTTTTCCAAATAAATATTTATTAAATTGCTGAGCTAGACAATAAGTTGCCCATGTGCAAGGTATTCACTCTGGGTATTCATTTATTTAATACATTTTTCTGTTGCTTTGCACTGCGGGTTTATTGACCCGAATGGATAGTGGTAATTTTTTTTATCGCCTTTGGGTCAGCAAAAAATAAAAGAAAACGGGAATACAAAAAAGCGACATGAGACGTTGCGGTGGGGCGTTGGAGAAGGTTTCCAGGTTCCAAAGGTTACAATAATTCGATGCAAATTACCTAAGCACATATCCGCCTTATAAATGGGTCGGGGCTCATTAGCGGAGATCTCTGGCGACGACGATGATCATTATGGTCGCGATCGCGATTATGATGATGATTGTATAGGGGAGCACCAGCAGAAGTAGCAGAAGTGCTACTGGCCACTTACGTCACCGGTCTGGCCACAGATACTGAGATACACCGAGATACACAGAGATGTGGAGATACGGATACTTTGAAGCTGCGAACGAGGCGATCCATATTTCTTTTTGATTGATCTACAGCCGAAGGCCGGCATGCAAAAATGCAATTCAGGCAGCGAGGAGCAGAAAAGCTGAGGAGCAGCAGCTCACAAAAACCAGATACAGATACGGCGAAATAAATTCCACTACAATTAGCAGTCGCTTATTTTTGTTTCAAATTTTTCTTCTTGTTGTTTTTGTTTTTCCTGACACGCTTGCTGTTGACATGCAAAGTTACTTAAAGCAAACAAAACAAACATTACACGAGAAAATACTAAAAACTAAAAAAAAAAAATCAAGGGGAGGAGGTCGACGTTTACTTTTAACTACTATCTAAAAGTTCGTCGTTTTCGGGGCCTCAAGATGTGTTAGCCGTTACAGGCGACAAAGACCAACCGAATAGTTGATGGAGTAATTAGAGACCGTTCAAGTTCGCTTCAAGTTGAAAGAGAAACGAGAAACTATTTATTTTTAACCATTTTGACGCTTTTTCTATTTTACCCATTCACGTCAATCACCGTGAACATTGAAAAAGTGTCTCTTTGATAATTTGCTGATGGCGAATCTAATTTTCTGTCGGGAATTATCATATATTCGTACATTTTATGACATTTTAAGCGAGCTTTTGGTCATTATGGCAGTCATAAAACGGTGACTTTAGTAACCCGAAAACCAGGAAGACAGCAATTCGTTAAACTGTGATTTACTAGCCATGAATCACAGTGATGAACTCGGAATGAGTCACGTGAAAGTGGTGATTTCATTTAGGATAAATGGAAAATCAAAAGGTAAGCTTTCCTTGTTTATTAAAAATATTAAACATTTTCTAGCCAACGCACTAATAAAATTTTTAAAATATTTTTTAAGTTTTTAATCATATTGAAAAGAAATGTTAAATTTTTTAAACTGTTTTTTTATTTTAATTTATTCAAAACATAAGTTGAATATTTAAAAGAAGAAGCCTCACTCAATCAAATTTAATTCATAACCGAAAATATGCCTATCATATTTAAAATCACCCAACCGTGAATGATTAATTAAATAAAAAATCCCATTTAAATTCAGCTTATACGCGTTAATTATTTTATTAGCCGAACTGTATTTTGAGCGATCCCATTGAGTATTGTGATCGTAAACAAAAGCTTTCAAAATTAAAATAAACTATGACAGATGTGATTTAATCACACCCGAATTAAACGGCAATATAATCCATGTATAGCGGGCCGAAAAAATGTGACATCAGACCTGCGGTAATCAGTACTATATTTTTCGTGAATTTATTTCATTCTAACAGAACAAAAAAGCAATCAATCTTTTTTGCCAACGTCTCTCACACGTCCTAAGTAAGCGTAATTTATGCGATTTAATTTAATCGCCAGCATGTAGAGCAAATAATCGTTCGTCACTCCAGATTTGGTTGCTTTCCGCATAGCTACCAATTAAGAGAGTTGTACGATTGTTCAGTTAAGTTCACTTCACGGTTCACATTAACGTTCCTTCCTTTTCGCCTTCTGCTAATATTTCCACCTTTTGATATTTTTATATACCCTCTGCGTAACTCTGAGTAACCGCAACCCCCCAAAGTTTATAAAGTGGCCAACTAATTCGTTAGAATTGCGTAAACTAAGCATTTTTCGTACGCTCGACGCTTTCTATTTTTTACTTTTTGGCCCCGTTTAAGCCAGCGGCGACAGGAGTATTAAACCTTATCTTAATTATAGATCAATTATAGCAGTGGGGGCTACCACACAAATATATATGGGCAAATATATTCAACCGCACATCATTAATAATAAGTGCAAACCGAAGTCAGCCATATGGGAAAGGTAAGCGCGCCAAATGGAACAGAAAATTAACTAATGCGTGTCGCAACTTTAGATAACTTATGGGTTATTAATAAGTTAGTTTCGAACGTTAGGGCTAAATTTAAATTACAAACGTGTGATTAGAAAAATAAACATAAATATTTATTTAAAGCAAGGGAAATCTGAATTCTATTAAAATACGCAAATAATATAAATATTATACAAAACCAATTTATGAGCACTTAGGCCAACTCAAAATAAATAGAAAATCAATTGCAATATAAACAAAAATTATTCAAAATAAACAAGCCATTTTTTTATTGAATCAAAATTAGCGCAATGCCGAAAATTATTATTAGCAATTCTATAAATTTTCCTAAATAATCAAATTCGCATTTCGATATCAAGCTAAACAAACAAGGCAATATAACCGCGACACGACTTGATAAATTATTTCATATGCAAAAATGAAAACAAAAATGTGGACCTGCCATGAATTTTGATGGGGGGAGGGATGTCCCCCGGTGATTATTTCGCATTATATTCTACAAATTGCACAATTACAATTAAATTATACGGCACAGCGTAAAATGTCTGATTAATGACAACCACCCCTCATTTCCGATCCCCTTGCCAACCAAAAAATAAAAAAAAGAAAGGGGAAATAGGCGAAACGAGAGCAGGCAAACAGATGTGCGACGATATTCAATTTATATGTTTTGTATACAAAATAATAATAATTATTTTTTAATAATTACTGCACTGGGGCCGCAATGTGTTGACTTTCAATGGTCATTTTCGTTAGTACGATGACTGACGCCTTTCTGCTGGGATTATTATTATGCTGCCTGGCATTGCCCGTTCTATGGCAGCCATCGTTGGCAACCGTACGTAGCAGATGTGATTTAAAAAGAATTTTACCTCCAAACAACACAAAAAATTTTAATAAAATATGTTAAAATATAATTAAACATTTAAATAGGAGCTTTAAATGTATTTTAAACGACGAAAATAACATTTAATAGCTTTTTAAAATTTATATACCCAACTAAAGACCATTTCTTAGAAATACAAAATTCAAAGAACCGATCCACTTAAAATCAAAAATTATTCAACAAAGGAAAATGAGATGCAGTTTTTCTGTTTTCCCTCGCCAAAAGTAGCCATCGTGACTAAGACCATAGGTTTATAAATTCAGCATATGATGCGCATTTATTTAATGGGCTCACCCACTTGTAGCGCGATTTCGAGATACGTTGGCGGGACATCAACTGTTCGGTCAATGATCCCACGACGGCGGAGGTCTTTAAGTGCGACATTGTGGAGATGCCCAAGAAGCAGGGAAATTTCCTAAACACCTTGCTCCTGCTGCGACGACCTGTCCCCAAAATGTGGGTGGAACTGAGTGCGGGACAGATCGCCAATCGAAGGGATCGCTTTCTTCAGCAGCTCCTTAAAATTCGAGTGGACGGCTGTCACCTGATCAGTTTTCGCAGCAAGAATCGCATTTTGAATGCGGTGCTCAAGAAGCTACTGCAATCGGGAAACTATCCAGATGCCTGTCCCCTGCTGGCGGTAAGTTATTTCGCAAAGCCCATAAATATTGGCAAATCAAATCACGTTCTATTGCAAAATGCAAATTAATGATAGTTTACAAAGCAAACGATTTTTTGGCGATGCATTTCAAACCATTTTTGCGCATGATTTTTATTTTGATTTAGCAAAAACCCGTTTTTTTTTACCCTATTAAAAAATACGTTTACCGCAGAGCCTAGTATTGAATTTAACCTTTTAGGGCTTCAAGATAAACCGCAAGTAAAGGTTATTATATGCAATAATTTTCAAACATTTGTGAATGATATTTACTTTGTGGGGAAAAATTAAATGAGGTACATATTTTGGGTCTTATATAGACCTCACCTTCTATTTTATTATATTGTTAGATTCATAAGAATTTAAAAAGCCCCGCCTTTTAAGAATAATTATAATACATATCTCCAATATTCTTTATTAATCTTTTATGGCGTATTGGGAATTTTATTTCCATTTTATAACAACAGAAAATAGATTTCGAACCCAAAACGCAAACACCTGATTAAACATAAAATAATTTCTGACCTACTCAAAGTCAAAATCTTATGAAAATTTCCCGTAATCTTTATCTTTACGAGCTGAGCGTAAATAGAGCAACAAATTAGTCAAATGTTCTCGCAAATAAACATAGCTATCTATACGATTGTTCAAAAATACACCGCTATCATTAAAAAACGGAAAATAAACAAATGAAATAAATAAGCATGAATACGAATAAACACATCAATTGCGCATTAGCCGAAAAAAGCAGAACCGTTTCAACGGAACGAAAGTTTGAATGAAACCCAAATCGAAATGCCCCCATATCATTTTCATTCGCTCAACAGGTTCTGCTATCTTTATCCGCAGAATGTCAACTATACGTCCACGCGATTCGCCCTCAATCCGGATCACTTTCCGGCCTACATGCCGGACATGAAGTTCAACACGAAATTGGTCTTTCAGCTGAGCAGGAATATTACCCTGATCAGGGCCAGTGTGGATGCCGAGGTGATGAGACGATCGTGAAGAGAAATATTTTAATAAAATACAGCAGAAAGAAGAAAAAAAGTACATAAACCAGGGGCAAATACTTCAATACATTTATGCGTTTCCATGACTAAGTCGACGGCCAGTGACTAATAGCTTTGGCATGGGATTTATAACCCGACACACATTCAGATTAGACGCCTATCTGGAGCATTCGGTTTAAGGTGGAAATGCCTGGTGGATTTCTTATGAATATCTATTTTTATCATTGAACCCCGAAACAAAAAATTTCACTGCCATGACTTTCAAATTTAGTTTTGCTCCACTTTTCATGATTCATGGCTGAGGAATTTGGCATCAAACTGGTTGACTGATTTCTGCACCTCACTGTTAATTAAACATAAATACAAAAGCACTATCCATAATTTATGAGAAATCAGATTAAAATAAATAAATAAGTTTTAGTAGGGGATTAGCGGATGTCTGCACTTCATTGTTAATTAAATATAAATACCGATTGGCCACAACCATAATTTAAAAGTTTTGGGTTATAGCAGAAATCCGATTAAGCGAACAAAATTAATTAATGGGTGAACTGGTTTTCAAACTGAATGTCGTTAATCAAGTATAATTATTATAATCTGGCTTCTAGTTGTATACATTTGTTTTAAGTAGTAGTAATTAGTATTTGGAGTAAACAAATATCAAATTTATTTAAATAGAAGGAATAATATTTAAAAAATTTCTTGAGAATTTCCTTAAATTTGTTTTTTTTCCATAAATATGACAAAGGATTAAACAGTATCTTACAGTCTGAACACGAACTCGTTTATATATTATAAACAGACTAATTTGTTGATAATGCGAGTGCAGAAAAATAATAGATTAAGAAAGCTCAGGCCCCTTTTCGAGTGCCGGCCAATCAAATTAAGAAATGACGTGAGTTTGCCCACAAAAGATATTTAGCAGAGCATAAATAGAACAGCGTTTATCAAGAGGCCCCAAAAAAAAAACAAAAAAAACTAAAACACACGCCTTTCACTCGAACAGTCTGCAATGTCATGGTCGCAGAATCTTTTTCGCATTCCTCTTTATTTCTTTCGAGAATTGCCCCTGATAAATTCCTTCTCGCACCGTGAAAAGTCAAGTGAGCAAAGTCTATTTATCATTTATTGACGTCTGAATTCGTCATCAATATTTTTGCCATGGCAAAGAAACTCTAGCCAAATGTATATTGACTTAGGCAGAAGGAAAACCTCTGTCAAGGCCAGCCATAAAATAAAAAGGAAAGTGTTTCCGGCCAGCCATTTCCACTTCCATTTCCATAACCATTCGCATTTGCATTTGCCACAACAAAAGTCTGGAATGGTGACATAACCCAAACCAGCAAAGACGGAGAATTCTAGGCCAAAATATTCTAGCCACCCCTAGTAACTGGTTTTTGGGGGGAATATGGCTCTAAATAGCTCACTTAGTGGGTTAGTCAGCAAACACATTTCTGAGAGGTTAGTCGGAAAGAAAATGCACTTAGAAGAAATTTTTCCAAAGAAATAAAACCAAATTTATCAAACAATCAAAACTTTTAATAACCTTTTCCCAAGAACTTATGGTTTTATCAATACAATTTTTTCAGAATTAAATTTACAGAAAAACAAAACATTCTTTTATCAATTACATCCATTTTACTAAAAAATCTGCTGAAGTAAAAATTAAATTATTACAAATTTCAAGGATATTTTAAAGACATATTTCGTATTTAAATTTTCGGGGTTCCCTTATTTTTACATAAAGATATCTATCTTATCATTTTCCTTTATGACTTTCTCCAAAGTGCACTCACACTTTCAAGGGAAATTCCTGGCACGAAAAGCGAATTACAATGTCATCAGGTAATGGAAAATAAATTATTTCTAGGGCTGGCCAGCGTAAGAGAGTTATTTTTCTTTATCGGCCCGTGGAAAACGGCTAAAACCTAGTGGCAATATGCCTTTGTTCTGGCTGTTCTAAGTTCACTTATCGTATTCATCTGGATGGAATTCGTTGGGCAAACACGGCAACAACAAATGCCAGCTGGACTCTATATGTCCGTGTGTTTATAAACTATATATACAAACGTAACAAACACGCTCTACAACAGACTATCTGTCGTTTGTCACCCATTCGCACCAATTTGATAAGAACGCTGAAGATTAAGATGGAATTCCAAATAAAAGTGTGCGTTGCCACTCCTGGGCTTTCTATAAAGAAATCAAGACTCCACTCCAGACTCAAGGTTAAGTTCATTAGGTTTCAATAGATTAACACATGTTTCCCCCCTCGCATATCTATAGTGAGTTGCGAAGCGAGGGAATTCTTTATATCGGGTGAATAAGTGGGAAATGCACCCGAGCTATGTACTTTCAGTACAGTATTATTCACAAAGTCAATAGTGAATAGTGGAAAAAAAATGCGACATTACTTCAAATTATGTTCGCGTGTTGTGTGCGATAGTGTTATCATTTCTGCGTATTTGCAGATTTCTATTTGCGAAAAACTAATCTTACCATGTCCACTTTTATTATTGATATTTATATAGTTTATACTAATCAATGTGCACTTGTAAAAATTAATTGGTTTGTTGAAGAAATGTTTTAGGAATTAAAAACTTTCTTTTAAATATGACCTAAATATTACCAATTTAGGATCTCCCAAATAAAGTATGTGACTCATAGCAGCATCTTTGTTTGTCGACTTCAGAAACTTTCCTATTTCGGATTTCCCCCACAACATTTTTTGTGACGCACTTCAGGTAATATAGTTTAAACAAAAGCTTGCCCATGCCCTTCGCTATCCACTATCAAGGTCATTTCGGTTCATAGAAAAACATACGCCCGCGAAAGCCAAACAAAACCGAATGGAATAAAAACAAACAATATTTTGAGAAATGCCCCAAAAACACGGAATAAATAAAAAAGAAATAAAAACAAAAATACAACCGAATACTCAGATGATACGCGGCCATTTGAATTATCAATGAATTCGGATTCAGAAGGAAAACAAAACAAAAAAAAAAAAAGAACAAAAGCAGAAACCACAAAATATGCGCGGCAACATGTGTTTTTTGGGTGGGAAACACAAAAAAAAATAAGCAAAACAAAAAGTCGGTATGCAAGGAATGAAGAAGAAGGGGAGATCCGCATGGCATATGGCCAGAATCGACGCTATAGATAGTTTTCGACACGTCATGAGAGAGATCCGAGTGATATATATATAGCCACATGATGCCGCTGCCGTGACGTAGGCTCTCGACTTCTGGCTTTCCTTAATGGAAAGTATCTCAATAGGGTCGAAATAAACAAAAGTCGAAAAACAGAAACATCTGAATTATCCGATGGCAGTGATTCATTAATGAACTAATTTTGGCACTATTTACTCACCCGAAGATTTGAGAGTCCATAAAAAGCAGCAAAGTATGATTAACTTGGCCATGTCGCTTGAGTACTTCGATCAAAGTCCAAAAAATATATATATACAGCTAATATATATCTTTAATTTATTGTGAAATTGGTCAGAAACGGGTTTCTTTTTTAACGTTTAGTTGCGCTGCACTGAATCTCTGGAAAGATAAGAAAACATAAATAAGAAATTAGTTATTATAAGTATAAAGTATGTTTTAAGTATAAAACTAAGAACCTTAAAACTTGTCTTTTATATCTTGTTTAATATTAAATAATTACTTTTAAATTTTAATTTCACAACTCCTTGAAAATTCCCATTCATTTGTATACCTTGACCAAACGGTGGTTGGTAGAAAACTGCATATGATAACGACTCGCCAGACCTTTAAATACTGCCTGGAAACGCATCTTTTATCTAATCTTATTTGAGCATATGACGAATCTGCTAAATCTGTTAAAATACCAACTAAATAAATAGATTCGGTAAATTAAAATGCCTTATTAAGAAAATTCTATTTATATACGAATCTTTTAAACAAAACTTCAATAAATCACTGACGAATTAATTTTAAGTGATTCAAAATCTTCTATTTTCACTTCAAGTAAATAAATTTCATGCTTTGGCCCTGAGATGCACTTTTATCTTATCTGTTTTTTACCTATCTATCTATTTCTTTTTTTGACAACAATTATAACGACGCAGTTCCAATTCGCATCTGGTTTATTTGTCTACCAATAAGATTCGTATCTGAGATTTTCTGGTTTCCACCCGAAGTTGTAACCAAGTTGCCAAGTACACTCTGATTACCGCTCAAACACGCTACCTGCGTTGTTTTTTCTTCGATTCGCACGATAAGTGTGTTATAACATATGCCAAAACTGATTGCCTGATAACTCTTCATTTTTGATACCACACACAAGGTGAAGGCAGGCACATGGAAAGCCAGCCGATGCACACAGTTTGGGCCAAAATATTAATGCTGAATTGGCAATTAGGGATTTTTCCCTTCTTCGATTCAGCGTTTTCCAAGGGTTGTGAAATTTTATTTTTATAAAACGGTGTATTATGATTTCCGTTCATTTTTTTTGCAAAAAATATACTTAATTTAAGGCATTATTTGATTTTTCTTTTTGATAATTGGTGTGGTTTTTGTGACTAGCCCAATAATTTATATGTTAATCAATTTCTTTTCCAAGATGATAATCACTTTTAATAAAAAATAATTAAAGCACCTAACATTAATATTCTGTCCACATCTGTATTTAAGTGCAAGCAAGTGAAGTGTCGGTCTGGGCGACTAAATGCAGACATATATGTAGTAATTAAATTTGCCCGTGGGCGTCAGAATGGAAAGCTGTTAGGTAAACGACGCGTCGCAACGGCGACCGCAAAGGAAATCAGATTTTTCCATTATTTGGCAAAAAACTTGAAAGCAAAATGCGGAAAAAATCCGCCGACACGTGCATAAATGCAAGTGCATTTGACCGATTCGCCATATTCGTTATATCACAAAGCCAAAGCTCATGCGCAGACCCCTCAGACTTGTCAGTTTATCAATTCTTGCCATAAAAGGAAGCAGCGAATGAAATTCCATCTTTCGCACTTGCAGCACAAATTGCTCACATTGGCCAGTAAAAAAGAGGAAAAAAAATACAAAATAACAAGATAGCGAAAAAACAAGAAAAAAAGGCATAAAGCCAGGGGAAATACTTAGCGCCGAAATTAGGTCGCTTGGCCTACGCAGATTACGAATATATTTTGGACTCGATTTGGCTTTACCTTTACTTGCCGAGAGTCCAACTGATCCAAAAATAAAACTTCATTGTACTATTTGTTTTCAATTGACAGTCTGTCTGTCCATTTGTCTCTTTTTCTGTTGTTTTTCTTTTTGACAATGCTCCGTATTTTTGTTTTGTTTAGGCCGCCGCTTTTAAGGTGATAATAATATTATTATTTCGGGGATTTTTCACTGGCGCACAGCACACAACCGATTTCAATGGAGGTTCTCAGCAAACTAAAGAGGTGTTTGCCAAATCAACCTTATTTGTTATTCGCCCGCGCTCTTTTTTCCACCCGACTCGCTCTCTTTTTCCGCATTTCATGTGATTTTCTCTTACGATCTTGTTTGTGCTTCTGTTGTGTACGTTTGGTAAATAAATCTGGTTAAATGCGTAATTACAAAAAACAAAGCATCGATTACTTTACTTAAGCGATCTGATTTTTGGTAATTATTCAATGTGTTATTGGGTATTTCTCCTACAGGTTTTTTTTATTTTATTTAAAATGTATTTACTTTCTATTAAGTTAAGAAATAATAAGGGTTTATGGTGTGTTGTATATCTGGGTTATTATCAACTAATTCAAGGTTTTAAGGTTTTTCGCTCGGCATTGTAAGATATAACATGGTTTTATAAAAGGGTTCAAATATTATTTATATAAATTTATATAATATTAAAATATTACATTATTTGCCAATTTCAGAAAATACGATTTATTTCAAAAATATTTAAAAATTTTTTCTTAGTGTATAAAATATAGTCAAATATTTTTAGTAAATACATAATTTAGTATTTTAATTTTGCAATTAATATTTTTGATATGGTAAATTCCATGGTACAATTTGTTGTACCACTGTTCGTATGCTTAATATTCATTGATATTGTGCGTATACGCGATAACACGTATACGTTCGTTACGACCTATCGACGTGAGCCGGTCAGCTGTGCAGCTTTTAGTGCTGTAAAAAGTAATGGTTTCCGATAGTGTTGCCCGACTAATAAAAATAGTTGAATTGGCGGCTGGCGCCAAACTCGAATTCAAACTAAGCTTATCTGGCAACTCTGTCCGTAAAACTACGATTTTGTAGCACACTTATGGGATGTAAAAAATACATTTTTAAATTTAATAATTAATTAATTTTAGTAAATTAATAGAAAATATATATATATATATATACAAATTAAGTAGGGGAGAGTGGGGGAATTTCGTCACAGGGGCAATTTCGTCACCTGCAATATCTCGGAATCCATAAGTCGTAAAAATATATAATTTTTTTGTTTTAGTCCTTCAAGACGGCCAGACACAACCAATGCATTTGTTTTGCACAGAAGGCCAAGATATTTAAGCTATAATATTAAATGTGTTTTAAGGGGTTATATACCTTTTTTGAGCGAAAAAATTGAGGGAACTTTGGATTTTTTTTTTGGTGTGTAGCAATTATTTTATGACAGTGAAGTTATTATTTATTGATAGTACACGTTTTTATCGAAACAACAAGCCTTTGTTCTTGAAAAAATATGAATAATTTACGAAGTTATGGCAATTCTTTCGGAACCCTTTTTTTTTTATAGCGGCTTGCGGTGACCACGATGGAAGTCCAGCAGGTCAACTGATATCAAAAAACCAAAAATTTTTAGTTAGTATAGTATTATTTCCAGTTCGTGAACGATTACTTTTAAGAATGTTTCCTTTTTTCTGCATACAGTAACAATTTTTCCAAAAAGTTGATTTTTCAAGTTCTAAAAATTTTATTAAAAAATTCTGATCTGGGAAATTAAAATTGGCGCATAAAAACTGAATCGTTCACGAACTCGGCACAATCATTACGAATAATTTAAAAAAAAATTGAAGAAGATCGATCAAATAGTTCTTGCGCAATCGTGGTCACCGCGAAGGCACTTTTGGAAAAACACGACTTTGAGATAATCGCATTCAAAGTTTTACGTTGACGTTGCAACTATTGAAGTCGAGCGCGTCAAAACGCTGTTTTCCTATCGAACTATTATTCGGATCTGTATGAAAATTTGGGAAGATGTTCTCTAGGGGATATATTTTAAGATTCAGCCAAAAAAAAAATTTCGTTTTTTTGAAAAGAAAAAAGGTATATAACCCCTTAACAGTTCAAAAGCTACATTTAGTTCTCGACGAAATTTTTTCTGTATGCCACAATTCAAAAGGAATAAGATACACGATTTTTTATATAATACACAGTGCTATAATGTGCATTTCTGCGTCAGTGATTTTTAACTTCGCGCCTATTTTCGCAAGAAAAATAATTATTTCTAAAAAAGTACGGTCTGGGGAAATTTCGCCACCCTACGCTAAGGGTAAATTCGCACCTATTTTAAATACATATTTTTATATTTGACGAGCTGGCTAACGAACAGACTACCAGCAGCAGCAACAAATATAGGACGTCAACAAAAATGGTACGCTTGATCAGTGTAGCATATTTTCAGGCGTTAAACTCCCTACATTTTTCAGGTGACGAAATTTCCCCAGTTGTGTGGTGATTTTACCCCCTGTGTGGTGAGATTGCCCCAGTATATTGGTTTTACATTTTATTTTTTTATAAATCACCAAGCTAATTAAAAAAATAGGGGAATGTCACATTTTAAAGCTTGGTGCTAACCGCATTCAACAATAAAAATAGAAATATGATATCGTGTCTCAAGATGGACAAAAAATAGCTTTGAAAAAATGCTGACGAAATTCCCCCACTCTCCCCTATATTAAAGTCAAGATTAGATTATTTGTAGTTGTTAGTTTTTTTCTCAGAAATAAAGCTGAACAAAAACATAAACCACCTTTTTTAACAGCTTAGAGAAAAATAAGATTAAATAAGTTTGCATTCCATTTTTTACAAATCCTTTGAATATTTCACAAAAAAAGTTAAATCATTCACAATAAGAATGTTAGAAATTTTAGTATACATTTATATTTATTTATAAGTATAAGTAAGTATATTTATATAAGTTTATAAACTTTGGTGCACAATATCAGGTTTCCATTATTGATTTAGGGTATTTACTTTAAAGTTAATGCAGAGATAAAAATGATTTTTTTTTAAATATTATCACAAAAATAAAGTTTTAAGAAAAAACATTTTGTAATATTTAATGCATACTCGTTATTCCGCACTATCTCACATTAAATGGATATATGGCCCGACCGACTTACGCATCTTTAAACATGTTGTGGCGCCGCTGACGTTGACATTTTCCCGCCTGCCATTTCTTATTGTTGTTATGGCCGCTGAAGTTGCTGCCGAAGTTGATGTTGCTGTTGCCACTGGAGTTGCTGCTGCTGCGGCATGTTGCTGTTCCTGATGTTGCTACTGTCATTGGCTGCACTCACAACTGGCATTGGTAATTAGCACGCGCGCTGCTAATTAACACTTTCTGGAAGAGCGGCACAGCACTCGGTGTGTTTGTGTTCAGGGGCCGCTTGCAATTCCCCGACGACTGCAAATTGCACGCGTGGCGGCTGCAACAGCGCACCAACTTGCGGCAACACTCTGAAAAAATGCATAGCATATTCAAACAAAATTTAATTTCAAAAAAATTATTTAAAATGATTTTTGAAAGTTTGATTTATGTTTTTGGATTTTTTTGTACAGTAATTATAAAATTGTGAACTTGTTTTATATTATATTATTGTTAAAATTATTAAGTTAAAGGTAGTATTTATTTTAATTTTTTTAATATGTATTTACTAAAATTGACTTAAGGTTCCAGGCATTAAAAATCTTTATGTTTGCATTTTTATGTCCATTAATATTTATGAACATTTTAAATTCCTGTCTTAAACATTTTTGAATTTTTTTTTTGGGCACAGATTTAAGTGTGATTTTGAGGGTCAAGAGGTTGGCGTTTGCCCACTTTTTAGGACAGTCTTTGCGGTGAGTGCATCGCCACTGAAAGATTGCTCCCGGGTTTTGCCCTCAAAGCGAAAATGCCGCCGCACTGTTTTCGTTCGCCGGCTAAAATGTAAGCCCAAAAATGGTAAAGGTGCTTTTTTTTGGCCTGGCTCCTAGGTGGTGTCTTTTTTTGGTCCTGACGGTCACTGCTGCTCCCCTCTGATGTCCTCCGAAAAAAAGCGTGAAATTTTAATTGTGCCTTTCGGGGCGTTGTCGTCTTGGCCGATCGGCCGCCGCCTCGACCCGAAATAAAGATCTCTCGCGGCGCACACAGCTCATCCCGGGGAGATTCCGATTCCTCCTGCCTGCCTTCCCACTACCAAAAGTTGTTCATGCCAAAAAGGTGCAAAAGGCCAAATAGTATTCTGTTGTTTATGTTGTTACATGCCTCGTTGTCTGTGTCTTTTTAGCTCAGCAAAAATGTCCGCTGGAATTCGCCCAAACCACACAGTTGAGCTTATGCAGTTGCCTGCACCAAAAGAAATCTATACAAATCTATACTACCAATATAACAATTCCTAAGACTAATTAAAAACAGAGTTAAGCTTAAAACAAATAAACCAAATAGACAAATTTTACAATTTACTTAGTTATTAAACTTCTAAAATCTTTTGGGTTACCAGGGATTTTTATAAAAAAATCTATTAGAAGATAAAACTTTAAAATACTTGGGAATTTGGATGAAGGATAATAGGTTAACAAACCGGATAGTTTTAAAATGTTTAAGGATCATTTTAAATTTTTATATTTATTTTTAAAGGATATACTTAAATACCAAATATAAAATATAAAATAAACTATTTTGACATATTTAAATTTTGATATTAACATTAATCTTTTTGGATATTTTACACACATTAAAATTTTTTTTTTATGCATTATTATATTCTAATAATATATAAAACGCATTTCTAAATTTTCCTAAGTGTGATTTCCCTTATGTAGTCCCCACTGTGGCTGCACCTGATGTCATCCACATCCTCATCCACAGCCCCTGCAGCCGCCGATCATCGAGTGCGGCTCTAGGGTTATTTCACTGGCTCTCGGGCCAAAGATGAATCCGCGGCTTTGTTGCTGTTAATAGTGGCTGCGGGCCAAATCAATTCCAGGCCCAACATGTTGGCCTGTCCGCCGGATTGGTATTGGTCCGACGGACAACTTTTGGCCTCTTGGCCGTTTTATTGGTTGACAATAAAAGTGAGCCAGGCCAAGTGAAGCGCCTGCTCCTCCGTGCCATGCATAATAATTATAATCCATTTAATTTCCGCTGACTCCTCAGCTGGCAATTCCATCGATCAT